CACGTTTTCTTGTTTCTTTAAACAGCTGGTTACTTTTACTATATGTTGTACACTGTCTATCTTATATGAATTCCTGATTTATCTGTAAACTTCTCTGGACTGTGCTTAGTTTTATTTTAGCAGGTCCAGTTAAGTAGCAGATCACACTGAACTTCAAGGGACTTACGTAATTTTTAGGAGAGTTGATTTTGCTTCTGCCCTTATTTCTTATGTGGATCTCTTATTGCTGCCATGAAGTCTTTACTCTCAATGTCTGGACCATTTGGAATTCCATTGGAAAAGCCAAGATTTTCACTTGATCCTTGGAAAGACTAGAACTGCAAATTCAGCCTTCTCCACGCTTCACAGCACTTGAAATCTTTACAAAGCTCTTTCAGTCTTCTAGTCCTTAACTGCCCTCAAAATTCCTATACATCATGCCTAATTCTGGAACAAGCTAAGGCTGCACAAGAATTCATGTACAGAATTCACAGCTTCCATCAGGGGCTCCCTCCTTTCTGAATTCCTCTCCATCTAATTCCAGCTGCTATGGAAGGATCACTCTGACCACAAGATTGGAGTTCTTATTTGACTTCTACCTGTCTCGCCGCACAGAGGGAGAACTGCTCAGAGGAGAGAAATGGTGTAGACAATAATACTTCACCCAATATGACGCTGTTCTTTCTGTATTTGAATACTCTTCCAGTTCTGCCCATTTCTGGACACACTCCAGAGAGTTTAAATAATTTTTTAAAAACAAATTTTGATGGGAGAAGCTCTTGGCTCCTGGCTTTGGATCAGCCCAGTTCCAGCCATTGTAGCTAGCTGGGGAATAAATCAGCAGATGGAAAAAATCTGTCTCTCTTGCTCTTTGTCTTTAAGTCTACCTCACAAATAAATAAATCTTCCAAAAAAATACATTTTGCCTAGAGTCTGTATTAAGCACAACAACTCATACTTGCTTTGTCATTATCTGATATTTTTAGGAAGAGGGCAGTGATGAAAAATTATAAGAAACTGTCATAATCGTTATAACACTTAGGGAAGACTGATTTTGCTTTCATTTGTGTTATTGTTGCAAATAACAGGTTATTTCTTTCTTGGCTGGTCTCAAAATCTCCTCCATGTTTTTTTTTTTTTTTTTTTAAAGACTTTTACAATGCTATTCCCTGGCAAGAAAATCCTACGTGGGGTTTACATAGGTTCTGGAATTTTGTATTATGTTTTAATCTGGTATTAGTTTGGGAAACTTTTTTTTTTGTAAATTTAATAGTGTTTATTTAACTCCAAAAACATCTGAGCATTCTAAACTTATATTAAAAAGGAAAACAAAAAAAAGAATGCTGCAAAGTGTGTGAGTACAGAAGGTTCTTGAACTTCCATTGACAGTACTGGCTCTTCTCTTCACTGACACGGAAGAGTTCTACAGTTTGTTTAAAAACTAACACACTTAACTCCATCCCCCTTTCTTCCACAGCAACAAATGCTGTCACTAAATACAAAAACACAACCTGAAGCAAAATGGATGCCAACCACAGTGTCACCAGGTCCAGCCTTGCAGTGCACACCCTGAGCTTCAGCTCCTGCAAAGCTTCATTTTCCACAGCCTCAGTGCCACGCAAGGCGCATCACGAGTTTGTCTCCATTGATTTCCTCTTTTTACAAACTACAGGTATGTACAGTTGGTATTCAGGAGCTCCAGCCCACAACCACAGAGTTAACACCACCTTACACATTAAATGAAAAATGCCAAAAATATCTTGCAATGCCTTGTCATACTGCCAGCAAAGTGCAGCATGAGAACATGAGAGTGTCTTTTCCTTTTAAAAGGAAATATGCACAAATCTGATACAACTTCAGGATGCTCCAGGCACCCATGGCCACATCATGTAAACCACTGACAATTTCGAGAGCACGTTGTGAAACTACTAACTGACAGTATTAGGTTTCATAATTAAAACCTAACGAAGGCAACAGACATGTCTCAAATGAGAGATGTGCCAGTCACGGCACTCCCCTACTGAAAGGTATTCACAAGCAGACAGAGCAAGGCTTTTATTCTTCCTCTTCCTCTTCCTTTTCCTCTGTCTTCTTCGGCTTTCTCTTCCACCTTTTTCTGAGCAACTTTGGCAGGATCCTTTGTGTCATCAAAGCTTCCCTTAAAGTCAGCACCATCCTTCTTCTTCTATCCTTCAGCTTCGCCACCTTAGTGATGGGTGGCTGCTTTTCACTGTTCCTCAAGTTATTACACATCTTCCCTGGTTTTGAGCCACATCTCCAATGGAGATGCCAAGGTTTGCAGATTTGATCTTGAGGGGGAATTCGAAACAGAATAGGAAGAATCCAGGCAACAGGATCTTTTTCCTCCCTCCCTCAGCTGGTCCACAGTCCTCATTCCCCAATCACAGAGCGCTTCACTTGCCTTTGCTGCTTCATCACATTTACATTTTTCTTGCTCAGACGTTGTCTTCCACCTCTCGGAGTACTTCTTGGAAAATTCTGCAAAACTGACAGGGACCTCTGGGTTTTTTTTCCTCTTATGTTCTTCTCTGCATGTCTGCACAAAGGAGGTGCAAGCAGACATTTTGTCCTTTAGCTTCTTGGGCCATTTTTAGCCACCCTGACTGTACTGTTCACTGGTTTGGGCCGCGCAGGACACAACACGCAGCTCAGCACACCCCAGCCTCCTGCTAGCTGCCTCCACAAGAGCTGCCTCGGGAAACCTTCTACTTCCAAGTATTGTTTACGTCCCTGCTTCAATCCACTCTTTCTAAGACGATAAGCTCACAGGTTGGAGTATTTCACTGCTATCCACGTCACACTTTCTTTTAATTCCATATAGCTCCCATGCTTCATTTGGATTTCTTCTGATGCATTTTGCAGTTTACTAATGTAATTTGCACTATCAGATCCATCAACTCAATGTGAGGTACCAGTATGAAATGTCAGTTCTTTGTGTTTGCTGGCTTCTAGAAGTTGCTCACGTTTCACGGCTTCTGCGTGCTCCCATCAGCACATCACTTCCTAAACTCCTGACTTCTACTTAGATAAGGAAGGCACCTAATCTTATCAACCCTCCATGTAACTGAATACTCTGGTCTTTAGGTTTTTCCAAGACACTACGAAAACAAATGCGTAGCCAAATCCTTGGCTTTCTCTCAGAGCTTTTCCAACCATGAATATCTCATTTAGCACCTTTTGTGATCTGGATAGGCTATAGATCCCCTGAACTGTCAGCTGTCAGCTGCTTGTGTCACAGTTCTCTTAACTTACTCCTGTCCTCTCCTACTGTACTATAAGCAGTCAGGAGAAAACAGGTCGCACACAGCTTTAGCACCAGCTTGGAAATCTCAGCTAAATATCCAAGTTCATTATTTACATGGGTTGCTCTCCACATTGAAGACACAAATGAGCAATGGTTTCTACCACTACATGACAAAGATCCCTTTCCCTACAGACTACAGTAATGTGTTCTCCACTTCTCTTTAACCTATCAATACTTCTGACATCCATATTTCTACTACGCCTGCTTATGACAATTTATGCAGTCTTTAAGACAATGAGGGTTTTCTCAACCACGATCCTCATTTTATTCTGAGTCTTCACCAGTATAGAGGTACTACCCACATTTCTACTAACAATCTGTTCAAGGCAAGCCAGGATCATTTTATCACACTCTTCGATATTCTTCCACACTCTGCCAACTACCCAATTCTTTTTTTTTTTCTTTTTTCTTTTTTTTGACAGGCAGGGTGGACAGTGAGAGAGAGACAGAGAGAAAGGTCTTCCTTTGCTGTTGGTTCACCCTCCAATGGCCGTCGCGGCCGGCGCACTGCACACCACGCTGATCCGAAGGCAGGAGCCAGGTGCTTCTCCTGGTCTCCCATGGGGTGCAGGGCCCAAGTAGCCGGGCCATCCTCCACTGCACTCCCTGGCCACAGCAGAGAGCTGGCCTGGAAGAGGGGCAACCGGGACAGAATCCGGTGCCCCAACCAGGACTAGAACCCGGTGTGCCGGCGCTACAAGGCAGAGGATTAGCCTAGTGAGCCGCGGTGCCAGCTCCAACTACCCAATTCTAAAGTCAATTTTGCATTTTTACTATTACAGTACCATCTTAGTTCCAGGTACCAATCAATATAATAAACCATACTGAATACTGTATTAGGAAAATCATTTTCATTAAGTAATAATAATCTTAAGAACGTTGGAGTCTTTTCTGCATCATATAATGAACTAATTGTGATATTACTTTTTCCAGGAAAACATTAAATTTTACTTACATCTTTCTCTGTCAATCACCTTATAACATGGTTATATCATCTTAAAATCAAAATGTCTTAAACTTTTTGAATATTAAGTAATCAATACCCATTTTTAAATATGCACTGTTGTGAGTTTAATTGTATCACCACAAAAGATACACTAATGTCCTAAATCTAGTATCTGTGACTGGAATCTTCATTAGAAATAGGGTCTTGGGGCTGGCGCTGCGGCGCAGAAGGGAAAGGTGCCTCCTGCAAAGCTGGCATCCTATATGGGTACCAGTACATGTCTTGGCTGCTCCACTTCCTATTTAACTCCCTGCTAATGGCTTGGAAAAAGCAGCAGAAGATGGCAAAAATTTCTGTTGTTTGAAATCATCCAGTTTGTGGTAGTGTTAAACCAGTTCTAGGAATCCAAGTACATGTATATATCATATACAAAAACAGAGAATTATTCCCCACCTCATTCAAGAAGCACCAAGTGCTCTGAATTTAGAACTCTCCATGTACCACACTACTACCTCATCAATAAAAAGAGCACAGAAAGTACATATGCCAGCAACAACACCATCAATGAACAAATAAGCACATTAAATTAATATGCTTCTGTTATCATCTAAAATGGAAATGACAACTAAAACTTGAAACTAAATGGCATGTGGGCAACCATATACTTAAGTTACTCTCTCATTTCCAAGAATATCCATAATTAATATCACAGCTAAAGAAACATAGAAATGAGAATGTTAGTGTGACAACCATGAAATTATGATGAAGCATCACATTGTGATGAGTCTGGCAGCTGTCCTTGGTATCCAACATTTCTTTAGACCAACTAATTTTCATGAAGTTCTGTACAAGTCGACCCTGGAAAGATTTATACACTGCTCAGTAAAGGGAGGGGCACTTCTAAAAGGTCACAAGTTAGTTAACAAATAAAGGAATGAAAGGCTGTGCTACGGAATGATACATCGACTTATGAATCTTACATTACCTGCTGAATTACTTCTGGATATAGCATGGGTAATCTTTCTGCAATAAGAGCCAGTCCACCCATTCCTGCAAAAACTTGTAATGGTGACTGAATGGGACAGGTTTCAAGTAAAGATTCATCCAATATGCCATCCATGCACTCATCGCTTGGAGTGAGGGCCTCATCTTCTGGACAGCTACCAAGTAAATCTCCATGATCTAGACAACAAATTATAAATCAGTAAGTAAGACAGGCTCTATTGGTATAATACTTTTTTTCATTTTTTTTTTCAAAAGCACTGACATCACTGCATTCTCTCTACCAAACAAAAGGAAAGAAACACCACAGTTAGAGCTGGATTAAGGCTAGATAGGACAAAAGACCAGTGACATCTGATATCGTCTATAGACTTGCTAATCAAAAATATAGTTCTAGGACTGGCAGCATGAGCACAATTCTGTCAAATATAGAATCTCAGGTAACACCCCAGAACTACTATAAATTAAGAAACTGTATTTAGAACAGTTCTGTAGGTAATCAGTAATCCCACTTAAATTGGGGCTCTTTCCATTAGGAAATGGTTCAAAATTATATGCTATGTAAAAATTAAGTCTTTGAAAGATACTCAGGGCAAATAATATTCGTACATTATGCTCTTAAGTACCCAATTAGGAAAAATTGAATGACAAAGACCAAAAACTAAACAATATACCACATAGGTTTAACTTTGATTTGTTCAATAGGAAAAGGAAAAGTTTCGTAGATTCAACACAAAACCAAATCTTATGAACATTTGAAGAAAATAAAAGAAAACCTTGCTGAAAACTTGTGCAAAGAATATGCACAAAAACATACTGAATAGACCTAACAACTGACCATTAATCATGAGACTTAAAAGTTTAAATAAGGTGATATTTCACACTATGAATATTATTACTTAAACATTTGTGTTGGTGAAAAACTGTAAATAACCAAAAGGTTCAATGATTGGGGAATAATTGAATTTTATTATATACATATGAATAAATACCCAATCTAAAAATCAATTAAAAATACTGAATGGAATATGTAATTAAAACATAAGGAAATGTATGATACTCTCAATTCTAAATGAGGAAAAAATTGTTGTTGAATATAACATTAAATGTAAATTAGCAGTACACTATAAATTCAGGTTCTCACTTTGATTATAAAATCAAAAATAATTCACACGGCTATTATGAAAAAATGTTAAAAATTAACAACACAGGTGTTCAAAAAATGAGTGACATTTTAAGAGGAACGAATACAACTTAATTTCCAAAGAAAATAATGGCAATTTTTTATCTGAATAAACAGGTCATAGAGATATATAAGAGAAAAATGAAAACCAAACAGGTTAATTACATCGTTTATTAGCTATAAAAATCCCTTCCTCCTTGTATGACAAACTATGATTTTTGAAGTCATATCACACACATACCTTTTTCAGGGTGCAGTCTTTTAAAAGAATCTGTTTTTGACAGGCTTGGGTCTGTGATAACCCTTGATCCCAATTTAACAGTCAGATCTATTGAGCGATAACCCTGAGGCAGTTTTCGGTCATACAGGAGAGTTAAAAGCTGGGCAAGTGTCATTTCAGCTGGCAACGGCTGGCCTAAAAGTGAAATAACGAAGTTAAATCTAGAATTCAAGGAGACATTTACTTGATTCCTTACTATTTTTCGTAAGTTACAGGCAAAAATTTGATTTTGATCTCAATTTCAAAATAGCTTGAAAATCAGCCATTGGAAATTGTACAAAAACTGATTTCTCACATATGTGAAAAATAGTGTTTGTGGAAATTTTAATCAAAGTAGAAAGTCACAAACAGAAAAAAAGAAAAAACTTTACCATAAATCTAAGACTGGCAAAATTTTCCATAAAGGGCCGAACAGTAAGTATTTTAAACTATGGTCACCGAATGGTCTCTACTACAACTACTAACTCCTGTGCTGCAGCAGCAAAACATCAATGGACAATATATAAATAAGTGGGCATGGCTGTATTCTAATTAAATTTTATTTACCAAAATAAATATTCAACCCACCACAGTTTTTAATCTCTGCTATATATCTATAATGAAAAGCTAAGAAAATATATTCACAGTTAGTAGGCAGTTTTATTAAAAAAATAGCAAAAAAAGTGATAAAATGGTCAGCACCTTGAGAAAATGCACTGGTCAAAGAATCTCTTTGGGCTAAAAAGATTGTATTGTTTAACTATCAGAAATAAGAGTTCTACTTCTAGAACTAGTCCCACAAAATCAGTTTCACTTTGCTTTGTATATAATTTGCTGTCAACTCTATAAACATTTACTTTATCAATCATTTTATGGAACATGGACAATCAAATTTAGGAAATTACAATAAAGTGGAAACATACAGTGGACAGGATTAAGGAGGATCATAATAGGTTACTCCCTTTTTGTTCTCCCATTTCTCTTAGAAGGAACTGTATGGAGAGTCTTATTAACTCATTCACCTCATTAACTGCACCTGGTCAAGCCCAAGTCTAGAGAATAAAGATCTAATGGACTTAGCTGGAAGATTATTGAAATTTGTTTAACGTTTATGCATTTTGAATATTACCTGCCAAGAGTTTGTGAAATAGATGAAATACTGGGACAGTAATGATTTTGTTGGCAGTCTCTGCTCCTGAGGAAGTAGTTCCTATTTTATCAGGTACTGTCCTCCCCCGCCTGGAAGGTGGTCGAGGTGGGGTAGCAGACACAGCACGTTTAGACTGAGACTTCAGCCCTACAAGAAAACAGTCGGTAAGATTCCAGAGGCCAGGACACTAACATGACGTAAAGCTTGTTTCTGAAATATTTTTATAAAGCAGGCATCCTGAGGTAATGCCAAAAGGGACATGTCTGCTCTAATCCAGTACCTAATCTCCCAATTCTATTTGCCTTTCATGACACACATAAAGTAATTTTGGTTTTAATCTACAACTACTTTCCAAGAAAGTAAAAAAATACTGCTAGCTGCAGTGGTTTCTAACACAGATGATCATCCACTGAGTGGAAAGTAGTTTGTATAAATGTGTAAGAAATCTTTTGTTCATTTTTCTCTAACGTAAAACAGATTAGTAGATAAATCTCCTAAGTGAGTAAGATAATCTTTGCTGAGTTTTCTTGTTCAAACTAAAATCATGACACCCATATTAAGGAAATAACCCTCCAAAATTATCAGTTATTCTTGTTGTTTTATTTTCTTCTGGAATCTAATACTGAAAACTCATATTTTTCATCAATTTTTTCTTATTATCTTTATTTTCAAATTTTATAAAATAAACAAAATTAAAAATAGTAAATAGTTTTTCATTCTGTTTCTACTTTGAGTTGATAAAAAATTCCTTAACAGTTACTAGACCTATGCAGAGTATGATTCAACCTGTGATAAAAGCACCCTATATCAAGTCCATATGAAAATCTGAACTATTTACACATGTTGTAGAACTGATGAAATATGGTAAACTCTGGCTATAAGATAAGTTTAATAAATTCTACTGTGAATGAGTAATGGGTTTTTGCTCACCATTAATCTAATATTGACATCATTAAAAGCTTGCCTTTTCCATTAATATTTTTTAAATAAAATTCCTATAAATTAAGCAATTTATAGAAACCCAAAAAACATTATAAAAACTAGAAACCATACCAGAAGCAACAACAACACTATAGTTGTCCTGAAATCCATTTTCCGCCTTAACTTTTTCTTTTTCTTCATGGTTTTTCTTTTCTTTGTCATCTTTTTGTTCACTAATTAGTTTAGCTGTGATACTCGGAGTATCTGTAAGAAAATATCATCTAAAACACACTGCTTTTCCAAAATATTAGAAAGAAAGCAATAAACAGCTTAGCGAAATATTAAACAGGATATTATCCCTAATATTCAGGATGTAAAGGAATTTAGAAGAAGTGTTATGACATAAACCATGATGTCCAATCCTCACTACTATCATTAACATACACTTGTTACTGTCCTTCAGCCAGGATATTTAAGTTCTAATCTCTGAAAGTATTATGTTTTACAACAGACGAAATGAATAACCACTACCATGAAAACTTGCTTTTAAACATAGCATCTACCTCTAAGCTGGTCCTCACGACATAGAGATCAAAAAACAACATCCCTGGAGCCCATGCTGTAGTGCAGTAGGTTAATCCGCCACCTGTGGCGCCAGCATCCCATATGGGTGCTGTTTCTAGTCCGGGCTGCTCTTCTTCCAATCCAGCTCTCTGCTATGGCCTGGGAAAGCAGTAGAAGCCCAAGTGCTTTCACCCCTGTACCCACATGGGAGACCCGGAAGAAACTCTTGGCTCCTGGCTTCAGATAAGTTCAGCTCTGGTCACTGGGTCCACGTAGGGGTATACCAGCGGATGGAAGACCTTTCTGTCTCTCTCTCTCATTGTCTAACTCTACCTCTCAAATAAATAAATAAATAAATAAAATATTTTTAAAAAATACAATGTCCTTTTCAAAATGAGCAAACAGCATTAGAAAGGCTACTGACAGGGGTGACATAGCAGGCAAAACCAACCGCCTGCAATGCCTGCATCCATATGGGTGCCAATTTAAGTCCCAGCTGCTCCACCTTCAAACCAATGCCCTGTTAATGACCTGGGAAAAGCAGCGGAAGATGGCCCAACTGCACCCAAGTGGGAGACATGGAAGAAGGTCCTAACTTCAGCCTGATCCAGCCCTGGCTGTTGCAGCCATCTCTGGGGAGAAACGAGGAATGGAAGAATGACTGGTTTCTCTCTCTCTGTCTCTCCCTCTATCTCTGCCTTTAAAATAAATAAATAAATCTTAAAAAAGAAAAAAGTTAAGATAATTCAAAAATATGAGATGCAAATATGAGACATATCCTCAGAACTCGCTTGAAAGCATTATATTAATTCCTACTTATATTGCAAATGAGAGCAATAAAAATAAATTTCTGTAACAGAAACTCCCTGTTAGTACTTAGAATTAGGACTCTTAGATAGTAAATTAATGTGTTTATTACTATTTTCAAAATGAACACTAAGTGTATTCATAGATATGGATTATATTCTGAAAAGCATTACTTGGTTGTACATAGCATGTTATTAAAAAATAGGATATCATATGACAATGTGTTTTAGTCATTAAGACACCTAAAGAATGAATAAACTGTTTTCATACTGGGATTTTTTTTTCACTGTGTTACTATCAATGAAAAAGATCTTCTTTTAACTCTTCTAATTTAACACGATTAAAATTTATTTTTTTAAATAAAATTTATTTATTAAAATATAAATTTTTGTGTCATTAAAAAGGCTCAGAAAATCAAATAAGACAACCTCTGTACTATCTTCTATTTCTTTTTCTTTTTCTTTTTTTGACAGGAAGAGTGGACAGTGAGGGAGAGAGACAGACAGAAAGGTCTTCCTTTTGCCGTTGGTTCACCCTCCAGTGGCCGCCGCGGCCAGCACGCTGCGGCCAGCGCACTGCACTGATCCAATGGCAGGAGCCAGGTACTTATCCTGGTCTCCCATGGGGTGCAGGGCCCAAGCACTTGGGCCATCCTCCACTGCACTCCCGGGCCACAGCAGAGAGCTGGCCTGGAAGAGGGGCAACCGGGACAGAATCCAGCGCCCCGACCGGAACTAGAACCCAGTGTGCTGGCGCCGCAAGGCGGAGGATTAGCCTAGTGAGCCGCGGCGCCGGCCACTATCTTCTATTTCATAGTCTTTTTTGAGCATCCGAAAAAATACCTATGATCTCAATTTCTAACTCGTGATTGCATTTAGTTTTTTGTGAACTGAGAAAATTTTGTAAATGTTTTATAAGTGCATAATGCAATAATACATTTTACTTATTAAGGAAACCAAGTTCCAGAATAAAAAATTTAAGTAACTAAAAATTTTCACAAATTCATTGATAGCATAATTGGGAAAAATTTGTAAAGAGCACTAGGTGGTATGAATTTATATACCACAAAGAGAAGTTCAACTGATTCCCATTTATACTCTCAGGGGTCTCAAACACAAAGTAAATAGCGTTCAGATTCTAAAAGGTATTACTAAGAGAAATTTCCTCAATTTCCCATTTAAAACTGCTGTGTTGGGGCCAGTGCTGTGGCTTAGCACGTAAAACCACCTCCTGCAGTGCCAGCATCCTGTATGGGTGCCAGTTCGAGGCCTGGCTGCTCCACTTCCCATCCAGCTCTCTGCTATGGCCTGGGAAAGCAGTAGAAGATGGCCCAAGTCCTTGGGCTTCTGCACCCACGTGGGAGACCTGGAAGAAGCCCCTGGCTTCGGATTGGCACAGCTCTGGCCCTTGTGGCCATCTGGAAAGTGAATCAGCGGATGGAACACAGACCTCTCTCTCTCTGCCTCATCTTCTCTCTCTGTGTAACTGTGACTTTCAAGTAAAATAAATAAATCTTAAAAAAAAAAAAAACAAAAAAACAAACTGCTGTGTTCCACAATCCACTTCTGGCCAAGATCAAGGTGGAGTAATTATGACTAGGTTTGCACTCTCACCTGAAGTAACTAATAATTATGAAAATATATGAGGGGCCAGTGCTGTGGCACAGCAGGTAAACGCCCTGGCATGAAGCACCGGCATCCCATATGGTCGCCGGTTCTAGTACCAGCTGCTCCTCTTCCAATCCAGCTCTCTGCTGTGGCCTGGGAAAGCAGTGGAAGATGGCCCAAGGCCTTGGGCCCCTGCACCCACATGGGAGACCCAGAGGAATCTCCTGGCTCTTAGCTTCAGATTGGCACAGCTCTGGCCGCTGCGGCCAATTGGGGAGTGAACCATCGGATGGAAGACCTCTCTCTCTCTGCCTCTCTTCTCTCTGTAATTCTGACTTTCAAATAAAAATAAATAAAACTTTAGAAAAAAAAAACAAAATACATGAAGCAGTTTTCTGAAAACGGGCATCAGGTAGGGTGGGCCAGTGATGCCTAGGACATGAAAATAAATGTGGTGAGCACAAGGATTGTTCTTTCTTACTGTCTGCAATTTCCAGGGCCACAGCTCAACCCAGTCCCAGCGTCACTGTTATGTTGAGAGTATAGAGCTGGGAATGCAGGAGACAAAGGCAGTTGGCTACAGTTACAGTGTGCATTTCTAGGATGGAGAAATTCCAGAATAGAAAGCTTTAGGCATCTGCAGAGGGTCTCCTTTAATTCTTCAATGTATACTGGTAAGTATAAAGAGAAGAGGCAATGATCACATGTCAGGGAAAGCACCACCCGAAAGTAGCAAGGGGAAGAACCCAAGGTCTGAATGGGGGTGTGAATATTTTGTGTTCTCAATGTCCAGTGAATTCTCAGCAGAGAAGTCAGAAGGGTACAGCCTCAACAGTGGAGCCCAGGTAGCCCTACACCTGCATTTTCAAATCTGCATCTTATTCCTACTCATAATTATCTATTTAGAGTTAAATTCATTAAAATTAAAAATGTAGTTCTTAGATTTATCAGCTAAATTTTATGTGCTCAACAATCACTGAACTGGACAACATGGGTTTATATAAAACAAGCATTATCACAGTGTCTTTTGCTTTGTAAAAGCTGCTCATATTCTACCCAACAAAGCTTAAAAGCAGGTCTTAAATGCAACAAAACTAATTAAAAGTAACGGGTCACATTTAAGGAAACATTATCATATCAAACTTCTATCAGTGGCTTGTCCACATTTTTACCTGCTATTTTGTCAATACTATGCATAATACACATCATGTCAAAGGACTACAGATGCCTGAGTGTTTTGAACATTTTATCTACTTGGTTATCTTCTTACTTCTTCAAATAATGATGACATCTTAACATTTTCTAGTCATTGAGAGATTTTAGAGTATGCACATATAATAAAATAAGGTTATAAAACCAACAAAATAAGCTTACATCTACAATAAAGTTCAACAAAAATACTTAAATCTGACTTGCCTGACACTCTGTCAAGGACATCTGATAATGTTGTTGAGACTGGCAAATGAAGAGTGCGGAACTTGTGGCCTGCTCCATACATTGGATGCTGGATGACATGGCTAGTGGCATTAATTCTACCTTTGTACAGCTAAAAAAAGGAAAAATAATCAAGAAGTGATCTTTGGAATATATCTCAACATGAAACAACTTCAAAAGCACAAAAGAATGAAAATTCAATGAAGCACTCAAAACAGTTTTATTTTACTTATTTCTTTTATATAGTTTTATTTTACATATTTTTTTAAATGAGGCATGTTTACCACATGATGTTTTAGATGGTCAACTTGTACATTTGTGGTAACATATTTAAAATCCTGTCATTTTTCCACCTCATCAAATCATGCTTCCTGAGCTAAAGTAAAATTCCTGTTATTCTGTGCATGGGCAGAAATGGAAAGTTATCCTAAGGAGATTTGCAAGCCCTGTCACTATGTATAAAGACTGTTCTGGTTTGTTAGAAATTAGAATAATACAGAGATAACAGCAAGCTTTCACACAAAATTATAAAATACACTCATATTTACACACAGCAGATGACCAGTAAGTGTGAAATACTCACCGGGCAGGGAGACTGAAGAAACATTGTCACTTTCTCATCTTCTAGCATCAACTGTAAAAACAATCTGCGGATAAACCCTGAAATGTTCCCAGATGTTGGAAGGTTCCCTCGCTGAGGAGCTGTCTGAAATAGTTCACAAAGAACCTGACAAGGCAAGAGATTCAAAAACTTAAATGCAGTATTTGTCTGTAGCTTTCTTATTTTGAGGAGTAAATGGAAATTAAGGATTGTGGATAAATATATTTTAATATATCAAATCAAAAATTAAAGAACAAATTATTCTACTTTAAAGTATATGACTACAAAAGCAGACTAAAGGTTAAAAGCATCATAAACATTTCTGTGGTTAAAAAGAAACTACTACTTAAAGCTCTTCACATAATGAATACCTAATATAACCAATTTATTTTTAACTTTAGTCAATACCAATGCAGCTGCAAAGCAACAAAACTTAACAGAAAAGATACACTAAAAATATAAAGCAAAGTCTCAGAAACTGAGAGATGACGATTAGGCCAGAAGACAACAGGACACAAAGAATGCAGTCTACAGGTCTGGCACTGTAGCATAGCAGGTTAAACCTCCACCTGTGATGCCAGCATCCCAGAAAGGCACCAGTTGGAGACCCAGCTACTCCACTTCCAATGCACCTCCCTGCTAATGTGTCTGGGAAAGCAGCAGAAGATGGCCCAAGTGTTTGGACCCCTGCACCCATGTGGGAAACCCAGAGGAGGTTACAGGCTCCGGGCTCCTGGCTTCAGCCTGGCCCAGCCACAGCCATTGCCGCCATTTGGAGAGTGAGTTAGCAGATGGAAGATATCTCTCTGTCCCTCCTCCTCACTTTGACTCTGCCTTACAAAAGAAAAAAAAAAAAAAAAAAAAAAAAGAATTCAGGCTACACAAAAGCACAAATCAAATCCTGAAATATCCATAATCATGTCCATGGTTCAAGTTAGTAATTTAAGCAGTCCCTTATAAAAGTATGCATATTTAATATATTAAGCACATTTTCCCATTAATTATCATAAAGTATTGTGCTCTTTTCTTTAATTAATTAGTTTATTTGAATGCTAGAGTTACAGAGAGAGGGACAGACAGAGCTCTTCCATCTACTGATTCACTTTCCAGATGACTGCAACCACTGGGACCAGGCCAGGCCAAAGCCAGGAGCATAAAATCCATCTGGGTCTCCCACATGGGTGGCAGGGACCCAAGTACTTTAATCACCTTCCTGCAGCTTTCCCAAGGGAACTATCAAGGAGCTGGATCAGAAGTAGAGTAGTAGGGACTCAAACTTGTGCTCATATGGGATACCTCCATCGCCTCCAGTGCACCACAACACTGGCCCCTTTCTTCTTCTTAATGAAGTTAAATTATTCAGTATTTTATAAAAGTGCTAACTATATTTATATATACTAATATTTTTGGCCAGGATATAGACTATTAATTAAAGAGGCAGGGTTGAGAAGGCGATTACCAATATAGCATCTCAGATTCTATATGGGAGATTCTTTATATGCATCAAAAAGTACTCAACCTTATTAAAAAAAAGAATCCTACTTCATATTGACCAGAATAACGAGAGCCACAAAATAGCAATTAACTGGCAAAAATAATCTAGACCAACTCCCAAAAGATTTTGGGGCACATAGGTTTAATAAAATCAATCATCTTTCACATATAGTGAAAGGACTTGGGCCATCTTCTGCAGCTTTTCCAGGCCATAGCAAAGAGCTGGATCAGAAGTAGAGCAACCAGGACTCGAAATCGTGCCCATATAGGATACCAGTGCCGCAGGTGGAGGTTTAACCTATTACACCACAGCACCAGCCCTTACTGGAAAGTTTTTAAAAAGGAGGGTATATGACCTATAGCCAGAACTCCCATCAATTTGCCAATCGTCTCATCATAAAAAAAAAATTGATTTATATGACAGCAAATTCAGAAGAAGGGAGTTAGGCAGGATCAGTACTTTAATTATGAATTAAACTCAGATAGTTACAACATCTACCCTTTTTTTTTATTTTTTGACAGGCAGAGTGGACAGTGAGAGAGAGAGAAACAGAGAGAGAGGTCTTCCTTTTGCCGTTGGTTCACCCTCCAATGGCCGCCGCGGCCGGCGCATTGTGCTGATCTGAAGCCAGGAGCCAGGTGCTTCTCCTGGTCTCCCATGCGGGTGCAGGGCCCAAGCACTTGGGCCATCCTCCACTGCACTCCCAGGTCATTGCAGAGAGCTGGCGTGGAAGAGGGACAACCGGGACAGAATCCGGCGCCCCGACCGGGACTAGAACCCGGTGTGCTGGAGCTGCAAGGTGGAGGATTAGCCTAGTGAGCCATGGCGCCGGCAAAACATCTACCCTTAATACATGGCTCCCAATTACCTAATTCCATATGCTATGAGAAAGCATATTACAATAAGCTATCTGAAACATAAGATAGCTTTCCTTCTCTTACCTGTGCCATCAGCTTTTGATTATTAGGGTGGCATGAGATGCACTGGAGAAAGAATGCAACAGTTGCATTCTCGATTGCTGTCCGTTGTTGAGTAGTCAACCCTGTGGTAGCAGCTGAAGAAAGGGAGGTTGATCTTACACTGGTCTGTTGCGCACCTAAATTATGAGCTCCAGAAGCCGAGCCAGGGTGGCACAATAAAAACAGAAGTGCTGTCCAGAGGGGATTGACTTCAGACCCTCCAAGCCAATCTTTCATTATATGGCTATTGCCAACTTCTGTCAAAAACCTCAGAACAGGAGCGACCAGGTCAGCTGTGATGGGCATCTTACTGCACTGCTGTGGAACGTGATGCCGCCTGAGTTTGTCCTGGGAAACATCTATTGACTGGGCGATGTTTTCTGAGTAAGAAATGTGGCTGAAGCAGAAACTAGCCAGACTCCTCACAAGTAAAGAAGGCAAACCTGAGTCTAGTAGCTGTTTGATAGCTTCTGGAGACTGAGAAGAGGAAGCAAGGGTCGCCAAATGCGATTCAGTTAGCGTCAATGGTGCTTGAGCATTTTTAGAGTCATCTGTTAGAGATGAACTGAGATCCTGCTTTTTGCTATCGTCTGTCATGGAAAGTCTGTTGTGACACTGCACTGGAGGAGGTGTGATGCCCATCCAGCCCATGAGCAAAGAAAAGTAGCTGGGGTGGATGTGACACATGGAGCAAAGCAGACTGTCAACAGCTTTCTTCAGAACCATGTTGCAGGGAAGAGACATGGACCAATTAAAAAGCAACCTAAAAAAAAAAAAAAAAAAAGAGAGAGATAGCATGTCATTTTCTTTAGGTTGAGAAAGAACTCATTGCTTCAAGTATTTCTATGATAAATCAATCTATACTCAGAATAAAATTATACTTTATTTGATAATAGAAAGACATTGTAATGTAGGATTTCAAAAAACTGTTTATGCTATATAAATTATGCCAGAATTTAGGCAGATGGAAAGTTAAGTCACACTTCTGAAATGACTATGGAAAAGCAAGTGATTGATTATAAAATGGTTCTACTCTCTGGCTCTACCACTATTTGTGTGCCTTAAAAAAATTACACTAAAGAAATCTTTATGTTAAATTTGGCATGATTGACAGATTAAATTGTTTGTAAATCAAAAACCTGTGATGAAGGTCACTAATAAATTGTTTGCTCAACTAAGATGACAGACTAGAGGACAAAAAACCTACCTTACCTGCTATCGCCTTGCCAGTTACCAAGTAATAAGTTCAGCAAAGCCTCAACTGAATACAGTGAAGAAATGTGAATGAATTAAAACTACTTGTCAAAAAGAATATCAATAAAATAGTGTGTGTAGTTATACATCCACAAAAGAAATCTAGTTGGTAAATTTGTAAATAACAATAAACACTATGCATTGTAGGAACACTTATATAAAGCATTCTGATTTTTAAGAAAAGTAGGCAGCACCACTAATATATCATCTGAAAATATGAAGATAAACTCATTCAATTTGTGTGACATCTCATTTCAAAAGTATATGTGAAAATATTATTTTTATTCAAATTAGAAAACAAAACACTCTTTCATCAAGTGAAAGCCTAAAGTGATCTAGTACTGGGGAAAAAGGTGTTATGCAAGCATACTTACTCAAAGAGCTCTCTGTCTAGCAAGGCTGGTAAATCATACTCTACAAGCAGTTCATAACTGTGCCACAGAATCGCTGCTACACAATGTAAATGCGAAGGAGATGGCATCAGAAGACCATACTCTATTGCTGAATAATTAGGGCACATGTAGTTCATCCTGCCACTTCTCTTCATAGCAGCCACTTTTGCAGAATCACTGACCCATTTTAACAAGGCCTGAATTCTTAAAAGAAGGACATTAATTCAAATAACCAATTACAATACAACCCACACTTGATACAATTTAATACCATCTTTGCAAGTAAGCAAAGAAAAAATTATGAGGTTAATATACTAATTTTTCTTGATCATTTTAATCTTAAATAGGAGGGAAAAGAAATTTACAAGCAACATTGACATAGTGGATCAAATTTTTTCCAATAACCTTACTGATTTTAACTGATCAAAAGGTTTGAGACAACACAAATGACTCAGTAAGTAAGCACCAGTTCCTTACCTCATATATAACAAAAAATATTCAAATCTAGAACTGTAGAATATACATCTCAACAAACTCACTCTTTCCTTAAATTTCCTCGACCTCACAGCAAATCTATACAATGTAAATCAGTGACCTGGCGCTAATTATTCATCATGCTTTTCATTCATGAAGGCTAGTATTACAAACCAGGACCCTAAGCATTCGTTCTGACAACACAATGTAGCCTCAACACACATACTTCCCAAGTGCCACCCTTCCCCTACCCCTATTCCTTTCAGCATTTTCTGTGCATGGGTGTGCATTAATGACATGCAGAGTTATCAGATACCTGTCTTTTGTTCCAGGATCCTGAGTTGTTCCAAGCTGGTAAAGAATATCTATCGTAGAGTCAGAAGAGAGTCCATTCAGTCTTCCAAAAAGTAAAGGGCTATTCAAATCTTGCAAAGGATCAAAAGAACAAGTTTGCTAAGTCAGTAAACACAGGACAGGAAGGCTTTCTTTATTGACTTTTTAGGTCATTCACTAAAAACATTTTATAAATTTCAACAACAAGAAAAAACAAACTCAAACTCAATTAGAAATTAATTTTGGAATTAGTTAATCACAAATATCACTTAGTCTATCCACCATTATTCTGTGTATATACTTCAAAGCATGCATTTCAAAACTGTTTTGCACCAAAATACATTATGTTTTAATACTCTTTTTCCACAGACTTTCTGACGTGCCCTTACACAAAAAAATTAAAATACCAAGTGTAATCATCACCTGTAGGATCACTGCCTGATGCAGCACAATTTCTCAAGAGAATGTCTATAAGCTTCAAGCCAATTCTAGTGGACTGCAGCCCAATTTTGACGAGCACAACTTCAATGTTGGGTGAATGCATTCCACAGTACGGTGACATCAGTAAGGCAGCACAAGTCTGTAGCAGATTAGCAGTAGGTGCAGCTGCACTGGCCATCATTCCTTCCAGATCACTTATGTGAGTAAGGCAATGATGTAATAACCGTAACCATCCAATGCTGAAATACAGAAGAAAAAATGACTTGCATGGTCAAGATAACTAATCCAAATTATTTCAGGGGTGAAAAACAACTTTTTGAAGAATAACATATTGTGTTTCATAAATAGCACCAACCAATATAATACAACTTGCTTAAGAATGCTACAAAAATAAAATATTAATGCAAAGTTTGCTCTACAATATCTCAAATATAAGTACAAGTATTCAAAGTATTCGAAAGCTCTATGCTTGCTCTATTAAAAAAAATTAGCCAAGAAATCTTTATATTTAAATAGATACATATTCATATTAGTATCAACTGATAAGGATCACGGATTTAAAAAATGTGAAGTCCTGACACCTTGAGAATACAAAAAAAACTGTAAATTTTGTTATAAGGCAAAACACTAAATAATAAAAATTTTAAACATCAAAAATTTATCAGGAGAATGTTGATTAAAGGATATGTTCAGGTCCTATTTGGCCCAAACACAACCCTTGTGGTAACTGGTCCTTAGGCATTACCACTTAAGACAAGGTCCCTGTTTCTAAGGCTCACTATAACAGATGGTGAATCCAAAAACTACAACATACAAACACACCAGTGTGGATAATCTCAGAGATGTAACACACACACATTTTAATTGTAGTCAGATTCAGGGTTATGCTTCCCCCAAATTATTATCTCTATCATATCTAATAAATAAAATTTTGATGTTATATAGACATCTACAAAAACAAAAAACACCCCAAGCCCTAAAAAAGAAACAAACCAAGTGAGGAACTTCAAAGTATGGAAAGTCATTTTTACAAATGAGAAGACCTACCTTGTTTTGGATACCTGATCTTCAGACGGAAGGAAGGGGTTATTAACTGTTGCTGAAGAAGTGGTACCAAAGGCAGTAAGGCCCAACAACTTGATCTGTGAAAGGCCCAATGTACTGGCATCTCGAGGACGGTGCAGTCTAAGACAGACGGCAGAAGCCACTTCAGCTTTTACAAGCTGAATTTTTATGTAGGTGAGACCACTTGTGACAACAGGCGTAGACAAGGGTAGCATATTTACCCCATCTGCACTTACTTCAACAGACACTGAGGATGGGCAGGCTACAGGAAGAGAAGAGAAAGATCACAAAAGAAAAAGTCAACTAGAATTCTCAGTCTAATAAAAACACTAGTAAATCAGCAGCTTTGGTTTTATTCATTATGAACTTAATAAAATGAAAATTTCTAGACCAAATCACACTTTGTGACTTTCATCATAATTAATTTTAATATCTGATCCACAATAACAAAAATTGAAAATATTCTTTTCAGAAAAAAGAGAAAATACACAATCTACATGTAGCTGTGCTTCCCATGAGAAGGAAAATAAGTCAAAGAGGTGATTACTTCATCATTTCTACTTTACTCATAATCATCACAAGCAACATGTGACTACATTAAATATGCTGGGGTTTTATTGTTTTAAATAATTTGGGAAAGAAAAATGATTTTGTACCAACTCAATAACAAATATATTGCAATGATTTTAAATATTGAGTTTACACTCACAGCTGAGTTTTAAAACTGTTCCAACTCTATTCTGTTTCCTCTTCAAAACTGAGTCAATACAAGATTTCCTTAACATTAATTCTTGTTAAAAGGTAAGAATCTTAATAAAGTAACAACTGGCAGCTACTAAGGAAAAACAGTTTCTTCCTAGGATAACATAGAAACCTATGTAATAAACTTCTTTATCAACAAAAATGGCCAATGAAATTTGGTTTTATTTTGAGTGACATAACTTTTACAGTAAGTCCATTACATGCCAAGTTTATAATGAGAATTGGGTAAGTCCCTTCCCTTAATCTTCCTTTTCAACTTTCCACACTTTATATGAGCAGATAGTAGAAAACATTAAGTAATCCAATTCCCATAAGAATAAATGGTATATCTTACATTCAATTCCATGTTTGATTTTAAGTCCTACATTTTTTCCACTGGAATACATCATCTTCAATTTCTACTCTTATCCAGATGTAAAAAACTGTTATTAAATGTGGGGAGCAGGGTCTGTCTCCCACAACACGGCGGGGCGCCTGAGAGACAAATAAGTACTGACACTGTGGACTGAAACTAACTCTATGCGTCTGATCTCCCACCGTATGGCGCTGAGAGGGAGTAAACAAATCTTACACAGCTGTTTCATCAATTAGCTGATTCCTGATCCAACCTCTGATTGGAAGAAAGCGGCGTGCTCAGCACGCGGGCAGCGGAGCACGGATTGGTGGGAGAGGACTATAAAAGGGGGAGAGAGACAACATGCAGGGCCCTGAGAGAGTCGGTCGGAGAGCTCGCTGGAGGAGTGGCAGCAAATCCGGGAAGGACCGGGGAAAGAAAACAGCGGTGTCGTTCCTCCGCGAGTGGGGGAGCGACAATTAAACACACTTAAGTACTGAATTATCTAAACCTATAAAACAGAATCCCTTTGTCACATGCTTCCTATCACTTCACATGTGCGAATTCTAGTCGTACTTCAAAAGCCACCATATCTATGAATCACTTCTCTGTCCCAAATAAAAGCAATCTCTCATTTACGATTCTTCCCTAAGTCTTATCTTAAATTTGCCCTTTAATTATAGTTATATTTTGACCAGCTGAAGCACTGTTACACTACTATATTTTCCTTCTGCCTTAGTATTAATTCCATCTGTTTCACCTGTTTTTATTCAAGTATTCTAGATTAAAAAACCAATTAGGACATAAGAAGTCTAATTTTGTAAATGAGGAGAAAAGTTTATTCTTCCAAACAAACAGGAAATCTATAAAATTACCCCGTTTTTCACGCATTTGAGTGACATATGATAGCAATCAATCAATGAACATCAACGTAACAATTTTAGTATTTTACAGGGGCCGGTGCCATGGCATAATAGGCCAAGACTCTACGTGCAGCATCGGCATCCCATATAGGCACTACACTGATAGTACAGGATGGGGGACGAGGCTCTTTCTTTTTTGCCATCACAACTCTCTTTTCATGTTTCGACATTCATAAAGGTAACTAGATATACCTCGCACTCTGAAAGTAAAATCATCTAAAAAAAAAAAACCCAGTATTTGGTTCTTTGCATATCCCTCATTTCTGGTTCATGTCCCGGCTGCTCTTCTTCTGATCCAGCTCTCTGCTGTGGCCTGGGAAAGCAGTGGAAGATGGCCCAAGTCCTTGGGCCCCTGCACCCATGTGGGAGACCCAGAAGAAGCTCCTGGCATCGGATCGTTCCAGCTCTGGCCGTTGCGGCCATTTGGGGAGTGAACCAGCGGATGAGCTTTTTTTCTGTCTCTCCTTCTCTCTGTCTATAACTCTACTTCTCAAATAAATAAAATCTTTCTGAAACATAATATTGCAAAATTATATTGAAAAGTAACTAAGAAAGCTCAATAATAAAATAGCATTTAACTTTGTGAATACTAGAAAGAGGTTCCTGCTCCACCTAATCTACACTTTCTAAAAACTTTGAATTACTTATTTTATAAAGTCACAATAAAATATATTCAATGAATAAACATCAAATTAATCACACAATTTTTAAAAACTGTAGTACTATACTACAAAATATTGTAACTTTTGAAATAGCACCCAAATATTCAAAATATTGCAACTATTGAGACCAACTGGTAGTCTCTTTTCCATTAACTTCTAGCTTCTGGCCAATATAAATGCTGGTTTTCTTCTAGATTTGGCCAAAGAGTATTAAAAGCTCTTGGTAAAGTACTTATATATTCTTCTCTCCTTTTCCTTACATGCTCTTTTTAAGTTTTTCTGTATGTTTTGAGAATGTATTCCTGGCCTTCCTCATTCCCTCTAAGTTGATGTAGTCCTCATAATCAGGATGATTTTTAATTTATTACTGACAGTTTTCCAAGTCGCATGATAATCTCTAACAGTTTGCACAAGTTTTTCAAACTTATCTGTTGCTCTGACAACAAGCTGTCTTTGTGTTTTATAAGCTTCCAGATAGGGAATAATTTTAGGCTTGCACGAGGTTTATCCAGCATTTATACCAGTGCCGTAAAACACGTCTCGATGTTGACATTAAATCGTACTAATGTTTCCACTAAAAGAAGCTTCGTTCTGTTCAAAGCAAATGCCTGAATTTCTCAAAGGTAATGATCCACGCATTCATCACATTTTCGTTGCTTCTGTTATTACAGGTTTTCTTTTTACTTTGATAGCTTGACAAAAACGTTATTCACAAATTTAAGTTGATCATCAAATGTCCTATTGTATCCCTGACTTACATCAATGCACAGTAAAAATTCACCTACATTGAGCTTCCCTTCAGGCATTTTCTTCCACTCAAAGTCTTGCTCCAAGCCTAGCTGATCAGTGCAAATGTACATTAGTTTTTCTGCTGACTGCAATTTGGAGGAAGCTGCAAATTTTATATATGGTTGCAAATTTGTACTCCAAGGAGGCAAGAAAGTTTGCTGATCAATGAACTCTGCCTATTCAATGACATGAATTTTGCATTCCACTCCATGTTCACCACTTTGTTACTGTCGCCCCAGTACAAAAACTGATCATTGTTTACCACTCATCCTCCAAAGTCAACAATGCTAAGCACAGAAGTATGCACTGGATAATATTTATCTGCTTCTGAATGTACAAATCTATTGCACAAACACAACTTCCCAACTCCACAGTTACTTTAGTTTTTTTCAGTCCGAGACAGTCCTACTGCACTGATAGTATAGGATGGGGGACGAGGCTCTTTCTTTTTTGCCATCACAACTCTCTTTTCACGTTTCGACGTTCATAAAGGTAACTAGATATACCTCGCACTCTGAAAGTAAAATCATCTACAAAAAACCCTAGTATTTGGTTCTTTGCATATCCCTCATTTCTGTGCAGAAAGGTCTTCACAATCATATGGATAATCTTCCTCAGCATCTTTCCCAGCATGCACCACTGGAACGCACACGCGCACGCAGCCATACACTCGGCCATGATGCTTTGTAAAATACACTTACTTGCAAGGGATGCCAAGTGAGGTTGGATATGTATCTCTTTAAGAAGCACTGCTGCAGGCAAGTGAATGGTGAGATCACACCATGCTTCCTCTGGCAGAAAGATGTAGGACCAAGCAGCAGAGCGAGCTCGTCTATGGGGTGGAGTAGCCTGCAAAAGCACTTCTGCAGGTTGAGCGGTAGGACTGCTGGATGTGATTGTACCTGTGGAAAATATTTTAAATGAAATAATAAACTGTCCCCAAACGATGCAACACAATATTGACAACTATTCAAATCATAACAATTAAACTAGAAAGGTCAGCTAAAAACATACACATTTGATGCTATTAAAACCCTAACCATCATGTCTCCAAAACATCAGAAAATCTAATCAACTGGCAAGGTGTTGAATTCAATAACTGCTGTCCGATTTCTTTATTCTCGTATGACAAATGAAACTAAAATAGTGACTACAAATCTAGCACAGTGATTCTCAAATGAATTTCAGTAAAAAGTAATGTCCAATAAATCCTGCACCTTGAAAACAGTCATCTGTACTCTCAAATGGAAATGTTTATAAACTGGAAACATGAAAAGAAAAATACAAAAAGAAAGTACATGGACTGGATAAAGGAGTGAATATCTAAAATCAAAACTTTAAAGAAAGTACCACCTAAGAAGGCAGAAGTTCTTTCAACTTTGTCATCTATCAAAAGAAAAATGGACCCAAGAAACTTTAAGTCTCATAAACTGTGCCTCTATATAACCTCAGAAATAAGACTTTCTTGCTATCAGTTTAAATTGTCCTTCTGATCAGCAAAATGTTTTGACATCCACTACCTTTTTTAAAAATCACTGATAATTGGCCGGCGCTGTGGCTCAATAGGCTAATCCTCCACCTAGCGGCGCTGGTACACCGGGTTCTAGTCCGGGTCGGGGTGCCGGATTCTTTCCCGGTTGCTCCTATTCCAGGCCAGCTCTCTGCTGTGGCCGGGAAGGCAGTGGATGATGGCCCAAGTGCTTGGGCCCTGCACCCTATGGGAGACGAGGGGAAGCACCTGGCTCCTGCCTTCGGATCAGCGCGGTGCGCCGGCTGCAGCGCGCCAGCTGTGGCGGCCATTGGAGGGTGAACCAACGGCAAAGGAAGACCTTTCTCTCTGTCTGTCTCTCTCACTATCCACTCTGCCTGTCCAAAAAAAAAAAAAAAAAAAAAAAAAAACCAATGATAATTAACACACTGATAGTAAAACATAATCAACTTACCTCAACAACTAATTCTGCATCAAGCTAACAAAGAAACTAAATAAAATTAATACCAGTAAAATTTAGTAAAACTGTGCTTACCCAGAGGTGCAAAGTTATGGATTCCTTCTGCATTATCAGGCTCAGAAGCCAGGATTCTTGTTTTTAAAGTGCTGTCAACAGCTTTATTCGGGCCAGAATCAAGAAATTTCATAATAGTTGATACCATACTTCTTGCAGTGTTCACAATGGCCCTTGTACTAGTAACCATGTTGTTACAAATTAGTTGAACACCACCTAAATGTACAAAGAATACTGAATGAAAAAACTATTCTTAGTAGAGATGATCTGACGTATACATAAGACTAAAAACGTGAGAATATAACACAGTATCATTGATTACACTCAAATGCCATTTTCAGACTTTTATCTTACCCATATCGTGGAATGCTTTTAACGCATCACTAGTATCCAGCACTCTTAAAATGAACCACAATAATGGTTCCGATAACTGGCAGGTAGCAAGAGAGCCCTAAAAGAAAAATCATACACACTGTGACTTTGGATTTATCTACAGATTAGGACAATTAAACTTTTCAACACATGCACTATTCCTTTATTTTTAATAAAATGACAGGCTTAAATACACTAAATACAAAATACCTGCCAAAATGTGGATGGAAGAAAATCTTATCAGAGAAGGAACTATTTCCCCTCCAAACACAGAGCAATTTTTAAACACATTTCTACATACTATTTCTTTCTTTCTTACTGTGCATTTTATTTTCTTCCTCACTAAACATTAATTACATGCTCTCAAATATCTTTGTAATTTCTAACAAAGAAATACATGCATTCTAAAAATATGTTTTAAAAAGGAGATTTACATACTGCCATAAAACCCTTTAAAATGGTTTTAAAATCTGCTTTTGAAAAATCATGAACTAGAATGTAAAATAATAAAACTGGTTCCTCTCATTTAATTTTTAGGAAGGAACTAGAGGGACCCACACTTCGGTACAGTTGGTTAATCCTCCACCTGTGGTGCTGGCATCCCAGGTGAGTGCCGGTTCTAGTCCCAGCTGCTCTTTTTCCGATTCAGTTCTCTGCTATGGCCTGGGAAAGTACTTGGTTCCTTGCACCTGTGCTGGCTTCGGATCAGCCAGCTCCAGCCACTGTGGCCATTTGAAGAGCGAACCAGCGGATGGAAGAACATTCTGTCTCTCCCTCTCACTGTCTAACTCTATCTCTCAAATAAATTAAACCTTAAAAAAAAAAAGGAACTAGAAAAAGCAAAAATAATTTATTTTTCTTTTTAAATTACCCTCATCTCTTTTAACTGAAACTAAGCAGGCAGCACAAATCTTAAAACAATACTCATATTGGGACTGGTATTATGGCCCAGCGTGTTAAGCTGCCACGTGCCAATATCAGCCTGTGGGGAGCAACTCGGACTAGACTAAGTTACTGGAATTAAGACTTATTCTAGGCATCTGCTCTCCCATAATACGGCGCTGAAAGGGAGTAAACAACTTCTACGCAGCTGCCTCTCGCCAACTTGACTGATGAGCTGCAGGAGCTGATCCTGCTCCTGATTGGAGGAGAGCAGCGTGCTCAGCGTGTGGGTAGCAGAGTTGGGATTGGTAGAAGAGGACTATAAAGGAGGAGAGAGACAACACGCACCAGGAACATCCGGATAACATCTGAGTAGCCCCTGAGAGAGCCGGCCGGCGGTGTGCCGCTCCCCCGCAGAAGTGGGGAAAGTGGCAGGGGAAGCCGCCCCTCCATGGAGGTGGAGGGGTCGGCAGCCAACCCAGGAAGGACCTGCAGCAAACCCGGGAAGGGCCGAGCAGACAAAAGAACAGCGCAGGCAGGGTCCTGTGTCGTTCCTCCGCGAATGGGGGAGCGACACAGCCACTGGCATCCCATATCAGAGTGTCAGTGATTCCCAGCTGGTCCACTTCCCGTGCAGCTTACTACCGCTCTTGAACCTTGGGAAAGTAGCGGAGGAGGGCTTCTGGCACCAGGATGGAGTTCCATGCTCCTGGCTTCAGCCTGGCCCAGATCTGGCTGCTGCAGCCATTTAGGAACAAGCAGATGGAAGACCCCTTTTCTCTGTATCTCTCCTTCTCTCTCTGTTGCTCTGCCTTCTAATCAAGTAAGTAAATAAATCTTTAGGAAAAAAAAAAAAACAATTGATTTTCTTGTGTAGAATCTATTGAAAAATTCTGGTATTCACTTCAATTATTCTATTTTTAGGGAAAAGGAGAGAACTATTTTGAGAGACTATGGAAAGAATTCCAGAATTTAAGAAGATATCAAATGTTGGAGCTGGCACTGTGGTGTATTGACTAACGCTGCCATCTGTGACGCCGGCTTCCCATATGGGGACTGCTTTATGTACCAGCTAATGCACTTCTGATCCAGCTCCCTATTAATCACCTGGGAAAAGCAGCAGAAGATGGCCAAAACACTTCAGCCCCTACCACCCATGTGGGAAACCCAGAAGTAATTCTTGGCTCCTGGCTTCAGCCTGGCCCTGTCCTGGCTATTGTGGCTACTTGGGAGTGAACCAACAGATGGAAGCTCTCTTATTCTACCTTTCAAATAAATAAATAAACCTTTCTAAATTTTTTTTCAAAGATGTTAAATGTGTTATTCTTCTATCACTGTGGGCTGCTCTGAGGGTAACACTTTGGAGCTGGCATTGTGACACAGCAGGTAAAGCTACCATCTGCGATGCTCAGCATCTCATAGGAGCACAGCTGAGGCCCTGCTTCTCTACTTCTGATCCAGCTCCCTCCTAATGCACCTGAGAAAGCAGAAAATGGTCCAACTGAGTGGGCCCCTGCCACCCATGTGGGAGGCCAGAAGAAGCTACTGGCTCGTCTACGGTATGGCCCAGCCCTCACTGTTGTGGCCATCTGGGGAGTGAAGCAGCAGATGGAAGCATGCACGTATGTGCATGCTCTCTCTGTCCCTAACTCTGCCTTTAAAAAAAAAAGTATCACTCCAACGAAACTTTATTCTCCAATTTTTATTAATAATGTATAGTCTCTCAACTACTGACACCTCATTTCCACACGTTTTAATTTTATTACAGTCATGCATGAAATAACAGTAGAAATACATTCTGAGAAATATGTCACTGGGCAATTTCCTTGTTGTGTGGACATGACAGAATGCATTTACACAAACTATCACAGCTATGGCACCACTAGGCAATACAATCTTAGAGGCAACACAGTTAACTGAGATGTCATTATAGATTACATCACTGTATCCTGTCTGTTACTCTCTACTTGCACTGCTAGAAGACTATTGAAATTCCTACAACTGTTATTGCATTGAACTTACTTGTCTGCCCATATATCCACAGGCCATGTATGTTAAAATTGGCTGCAGCATCATGTGGACTGTAGAAGCTTTTTTGCTAAGGGTTGTCAGTATGGAAAACAATCCGTCCCCAACTGAAATAGCGTCTAACCCACCATGGAAGTTCTCATGCTTGGTGAGATGTAGTCCACTTGCCCCTGGTTGAAATAAAAGATTACACATTTTTCAGAAGCATATCCTCAAAAACCAACAAACAGAAAAGCTTAAAAGCCTTTTTTTCCCAAAGAAGGATGCAGACGCAATAGCTACACACATACACACCCACACACACATGCATACACCTTTAGAGATTAAAATATCTACAATAACAATAAAAGAGCATCTTTTGGAGATATTTTGTCAGGTGAGATGACCCTATTGTTAAAAAGCAAAAAAATAAACATATACACAGAATTTAGGTAGAATGTATGTACACATGATATACAAATTGGTACTCCTTGAATAAAACATTCTATTTCATTTTTAATGTGAATAAATATTACTGATCTATAAAAAAATTCGATGTCCAATTCCTAACTTTTCAAATATTAGAGATGCTTAGATATAAATTATGGTGCCTGAGTTACAAGTTTGATTTTCCCACAAAATTTAATTAACTCAAAGTTATTTGTTAAACTTTTCCAATAGTTTTGAAACTGGAAAAAAATGTGAATATTTCACTTTCATTATAGTTGAAATCATTCTGCAAAAGTCTTCATTAGTAAAAATCAATCATGATATGAGGCTTATAATAAAGTCATTTTACTATAAAGTGAAAAGAAAATATATTCATACATTGCTAAAGGAAACAGGAGTATCCGAAACAATCTTTGATGAATACTTTCAATACATACCAATTATCATTGCCATGGCACTGCTGTTACACAGGCCCAGAGCAGACAAAATCTGGCTCATAATTTGTTGGTTGGCTAAGACTAAGTCAGCAACATAGGCAGGAGATCCTTGAGTACTGGTACTGCTTCCATTGACATCTTTGCCTCCTGAGACTTTTTCTTCATCTGATACACTATCTGTTGTATTGCTGGTCACAGACACTCTTGCACTGTATTCCCTATTTCCTGAAAGAGGCAACTGTACTAAAATGTTCACAAGTTTTAACAAATCAAACATAAGTTGGTCTCTTGTCATTTCACCACAAACTGCCTTTGCATCACCTGGACGGATAAGATTGGCAAAGAGTCCACCAAAGCATGCCCGAGCACCCACAGAGCTATCCGATCCACTTCTAGACATTACTTTGTCCGAGCAAGTGATATAGTGGTGTACTAAAAAAGTGACAGATTCAATCACAGCAGAAATAGTACTAACTGAAACAACTTCAAAATTCTGCTCCAAAGTAAATTCTAAAAGCTTCACTTGGGCATCAAGAGGTCCTTGACCTGTCTGGAAAGCACCCCTGAAAAAACAGAGAGAGGATTAAAACTTAAATATTTAAGCAGTTGTAAAGGAAGTAACTAAAACTATAAAGATGGCTAAATTATAACTCTTACTATTCATTATTTCATTTGGTAGCAATGTTTCCATGTGTTTCCAAGATCTGACTGTCTCCAGTTTAAACAAAATAAAAAATGCATTCCAAAGAGAAAATTAAGGATAAAGTAAATCAGAGTAGTGACTTTGAAGCTATGAAATGAAATACTTCAGTATCACAAGGCACTCATAATGGCATGAGCTCTACTTTATTATACATTCAAACTGCTGCTACTGTAAACATGACTGATTCTGATTATCAAAAACAAAGGCTCAAATAAATCACTCTTATAAATCAAAAACTGCACACTTTAAAAAAAAATTTTTTTTTTTGACAGGCAGAGTGGACAGTGAGAGAGACAGAGAGAAAGGTCTTCCTTTTCCATTGGTTCATTCCCCAGTGGCCACTGCGGCCAGCGCACCACGCTGATCCAAAGCCAGGAGCCATGGTCTCCCATGCGGGTGCAGGGCCCAAGCACTTGGGCCATCCTCTGCTGCCTTCCCGGGCCACAGCAGAGAGCTGGACAGGAAGAGCAGCGACTGGGACAGAAGGCGGAGGATTAGCCTATTGAGCCGCGGCGCTGGCCCAAAAACTGCACACTTTCAAATTCTTCTTGTATCTAAGATATAGAAAGCTGGAAAGAGCATCAACCTCAAACTAATGCCATGAAAAAGTCAAACTAAGTATACAGTCGCTACTTTTCTTGAATTCACCAAAAGGCTAAATCAAAGGACAACCAAAAAGAATGAAACATAAAACCACAGGCACTTCTAAGGAGGTGGAATATGACCATGAGCTTTCCTATGGGGTAAACATAAACAAGGGGGCAGTAGGAAAAAACAGGAAAGTAGAAAAATAAGTAGGAAATAGGAAGGAAGAATTCAGCTAAAATATTTAACAAACTGTTGAAGGCCAACGGCATGCTAAGAATGACAAGAAATTTACACTTACAGGTGCCACCCTAGGTCTCACCACCAGCTGCTCTGCTTCCAAGCCAGCTCCCAGCTAATGCGCTTGGGAAAGCAACAGAGGATGGCCCAACTGTTTGGACCCCTGCACCCACGTGGGAGACTGAGATAGATTTCCTGGCTCTTGTGGCGATTTGGGACATGAATCATTACATGGGAGATCTCGATCTCTCTCTCCCTCCCTCTCTCTCTCCCTCTCTCCCTTTCTCCGCTTCTTCCTCTGTAACTCAGCCTTTCAAATAAATATTTTTTTTAAATATTTTTAACTTCCACTGTTATTCCAGAATTTTTTAATTTTTAAATTTATTTTCATTTTATTTGAAAGGCAGAGAGACACAGAGCCACACATACACACACACTCACACACAGATCTTCCATCAGCTGTTTTACTCCCCCAAATGCCTGCAACAGCCAAGGCGAGACAAAGTTGAAACCAGGAACCCAGAATTCCACCTGGGTGTTTCACATAGGTGTCAGGAACCCATGTACCTGAGCTTTGATTTGCTGCCTCCCAGGGTAGGTATTAGAAGGAAGCTGATTAAGAAGAAGCAGAGGAGCCAGTATGCAAACCAGGACTCTGATATGGAAGTGGATATTCCGAGCAGCTCCTTAACTAAAGTACCAAATCCTTGCCCCTTTCAAAACAGTTTAAACAGCTTCAAAATAATCATAACCTGGGGCCAGCACTGCGGCATAGCGGTTAAAGCCACCGCCTGCAGTGCTGGCATCCTATATGGGCGCCAGTTCGAGTCCCAGCTGCTCTGCTTCCCACCCAGCTCTCTGCTATGGCCTGGGAAAGCAGTAGAAGATGGCCCAAATCCTTGGGCCCCTACACCCACATGGGAGGCCAGGAAGAAGTCCTAGCTCCTGGCTTCAGATCGGCACAGCTCCAGCCATTGCAGCCAACTGGGGAGTGAACCAGTGGATGGCAGACCTCTCTCTCTCTGTCTCTCCTTCTCTCTGTGTGTAACTCTGCCTTTCAAATAAATAAATGAATCATTAAAAAAAATTTAAAAACGCTAAAACTACATATTAACTAATGAAACCATTAAAAGCAAGTTATAAAGTACTCTATTCTTTTCAAATTACAGAATCGAGGAACTAGAGAGAATTATAATGAAATGAAATGGAAAAGATCAATGAACTTAGCAAGAAACACTTCCCATGCTTAATCTCTACTGTCCCCAATACTCAGAAAATTGTATTACTTCTCTATTAAGAACATATGAAAACATTGAAACTTACCTTTCTGTTGAAAGTATGTGAACTAATTTAAGCAAAAATTCACTGAATATTTGAGGACATGTTGAAGAAAGATGAACTTGTAATCGGGTAAGAAATTCTTGCATAGCTTGTGTAGCTGTTGGACCAACCTGAGGAGACATATATATCCACTGAAAAGAACTTCACGAATACCATGTACAGAATCGTTCACTTAAAAAGTATCAAGCATAAATGCAAGAGCTATACCGTTGACTATTTGGGTGCAGGGACCCAAGCAAATTTTCCAGGTACATGGGCTCGGAGGTGGATCAGAGGTGGAGCAGCCAGGACTCCAACCTGCGCACACATGGGATGCTGGATTTACAGGCAGACTTAACCTGCTGTGCCACAAGAGATCCTACATCACATTTATTTAGCCCAATACAGAAAGATTCACCTGAATTACAGAAGAAATACCTTTGTAAAACTTAGAAGTACAAAGAATGTCTGCATTGATTCCACAAAAAACCTTATGCACTATTCAATTTCAAAACAAACAATTTGAGGGGCTGGTGCTGTGGCACAGTGGGTTAAAGCCCCAACCTGTAGTGCCATCATCCTATATGGGCACAGTTCGAGTTCTGGCTGCTCCACATCTGATCCAGCTCTCTGCTGATGCATGTGGGAAAGCAGTATAAGATGGCCAAGGTCCTTGGGTCCATGAACCCAAAGGAGAAACACAGAGCTCCTGGCTCCTGGCCTCAGATTGGCTCACTGGGGCCATTTGGGAAGTAAACCAGCAGATGGAAGATTTCTCTCTCTCTCTCTCTCTCTCTCTCTCTCTCTCTCTCTCTCTCTCTCTCCCCCAGTCATTGTAACTCTTTCAAATACATAAAAATAATTATTTAAAATATATATAAAAAAGAATGAGCCAGATTAAGTGATCCACAGAAGATCAAACAAAACAATAAGCACACAAAAAATCTAAAAGCTAAAAGTAAACCATGTCACAAAAAACTATTTTCCCAAATTTCTATTTCATCATCAGTGAAAGAAATGAAACTGAATTCCACACCACGTAACCTGAAGAATGTCCCATAACATTCGTACTTACTGAATTTCCTATATATAATAGAAAAGTTTGCTCTTACAGAACCTTCACTATGCTTTTGAAACATAATCAAAAGAAGAGGAAAAATACTTTATAAAGCAGCATGATCCCTGACACTTTATCTCCACCACTAACAAGCTGCAAGATTGTGGGCAAAGCAGTTGCTGCATGGTTTTGTACATGTAAAACAGTACAGTTGGAATTACTGTTGCCAGGAGTCTTCCTATTCCAAACTCCATCAATTTATATAGAGTTATCACTCAGTAACATGCCTCTGCATCCATTAGAAACCCTGAATAAATCTAACTATTAGTAGTTTCTACTGTTACTTTTCTCCTTGTCTGACTTATTATAACCTACAAAATTAGAGTGTGAGGGGCCAGCACTGTAGCATAGCAGGTAAAGCTGCCACCTGCGTGCCAGCATCTCATATGGGAACCAATTTGAGACCCAGCTGCTCCACTTCCAATCCAGCTCTCTGCTAGCAGTAGAATATGACCCAAGTGCTTGGGCCCCTGTGCCAGTGTAGGTGACCCAGAAGAAGCTCCTGGTTCCTGGCTGCAGATCGGCACAGTGCCGGCTGTTGCAGCCAGTTGGGGAGTAAACTTGCAGATGGAAGACCTCTCTCTTTATCTGCCTCTCCTTCTCTGTGTAACTCTGCCTTTCAAAAATAAATAAATAAATAGATAAATAAATAAATCTTCAAAAAAAAATAAAGAGTGTGAGTATTGACTAAATGTATTTACCAGAATTTAAATTCTATAAAGAAATACTGGCAAATACCAGTATCTCCAGTTCCTAGAACATTACCTACATCTGGCACATAGAAGACTCTTATATACTTACTGAATAAATGAAATAGAATAACTGTTATGGATCATACAACCAAATAAGAGCATGTCTAAAGGGCAAATCCAGATAAGGATTTTTAACTGCCAAAAATTTTAAAATGGGACCAACATTGTGGCATAATGGGTAAAGCTATTGCCTGTGACACAGGCATCCCATATTGCTTTTGGCTCACACCCTGGTTGCTCCACTTCTGATTCAGCTTCCTGCTAATGCACTTAGGAATGCAATGGAGGATGGCCCAAGTCCTTGGGCCTCTGCACCCATATGGGAGACCCAGAAGTTGTTCCTGGCTCCTTGCTCCTGCTTTGGTCTGACCTAGCCCATGCTGTTGCAGCCATTTGCGGAGTAACCCAATAGAGAGAAGATTTCTCTTTGTGTATGCCTCTCTCTGTCTCTCTCTAACTGCAATTCAAATAAATAAAATAAATCTTTAAAAAATAAAAAAGGGAATTTAAAAATAACTTTCAAGATAATCATAAATAACCACCATTTAAAAAAGATTTTATGAATACTAAATGTTATATGAAAATACAATAAAGCAGAAATATTCATATAGAAGCAGTGTAACAAGAAATTAAATTGATATGAAAGAAATCTATAGTAAGAGAGCCGGCGTCACGGCTCACTAGGCTAATCCTCCGCCTTGCGGCGCCAGCACACAGAGTTTTAGTCCCAGTTGGGGCGCCGGATTCTGTCCCGCTTGCCCCTCTTCCAGGCCAGCTCTCTGCTGTGGCCAGGGAGTGCAGTGGAGGATGGCCCAAGTCCTTGGGCCCTGCACCCCATGGGAGACCAGGATAAGTACCTGGCTCCTGCCATCGGATCAGTGCGGTGCGCCGGCTGCGGCGGCCATTGGAGGGTGAACCAACGGCAAAGGAAGACCTTTCTCTCTGTCTCTCTCTCACTGTCCACTCTGCCTGTCAAAAATAAATAAGTAAATAAATAAAAAACATTGCCTTAAAAAAAAAAATCTATAGTAAGAGAAAGGCTTATAGTTAAACAAAATCATTAATATCATAAAATGATTAAGGTACAACGTAAATCTTGATGGTAGAGAATATCAAAAATGATACATTTGTAAATTTTTTAATTTCAAAATTTTCCAAGTGCTTTCCTAATTTTTTAATAAGTACTCATTTTTATTCAAAACGTTTATTAAATAATCCAAAATATATTACAAAAACATTTACCTACATCAAAACTTAATAACATTACTCTAAAAGATAATTTACCACCTACTTTTACTGTCAGTATAACATCAAAATATTTTATTATATTGATACATAAAAGGCTATTATTAAACACTTTAGCAATGAAAATGTTACATAGTTCTACTTTTAAAATACTGTTTCTTAAATAGTATAGGTACATCACTAGTTAAAAGTATACTACCTGTGGACTGTGTTGATTTGTTCCATGTGGACTGGTGCCAGAAAGAAATTTTACTAACACATGAATAAGGTTTGGATCTGAAACCAACAGATGTGCAGTACTTTCCTGAGTTCCAATAGCATTACTGCATCCAGCTATAAGAAGAAACAAACAAACAAACAAACAAAAAAGAACCTCTTAACAGACAATGAAACAATGGAAAGTATATCTGAAAACATTTTTAGTGCCAGGGAAAACTTGGTCATATATCCCCAGTACCGTTTTTATTAAGAAGGTTTCGTCTCTACTGAGCTGAACATCTCTATTTTCACCTACCATGTATCTCTGCCTGCCTTTTCTCTATGTTTATGAAAATACTTGAGTTTAATGTGCATCTTATCCAACATATAGTCAAGTTGCCAAGAAAGAAATGGAGGCAAAATTTATTCCTTTGTACAACTTAAACACATTTTATACTGGGAACTAATGTACAGGAAACATATCAGTTTTGTGAGCTGAATAACACTCTTTGGGCTAAATCTATCCTCAGTATCAGACAGTGGTAATTTTGACCCCCATTTTCGGGAAACACTTTCCAAGTATGAAAGAATGGCACTTTGATGTTAAGCCATATTAACAGCTTTGTCAATCTGACAGAACTCTTTAGTTAATGATGTTATTTCTGGGGGCCGGCACTGTGGCACAGAGGGTTAACACCCTGGCCTGAAGCGCCGGCATCCCCTATGGGTGCCGGTTCTAGTCCTGGCTGCTTCACTTCCGATCCAGCTGTCTGCTATGGCCTGGGAAAGCAGTAGACGATGCCCCAAGTCCTTGGGCCCCTGCACCCGCATGGGAAACCCTTAAGAAGCTCCTGGCTCCTGGCTTCAGATTGGCACGGTTCTGGCTGTTGAGGCCAACTGGATAGTGAACCAGTGGATGGAAGACCTCTCTCTCTCTGCCTCTCCTCTCTCTGTGTAACTGTGACTTTCAAATATGTAAGTAAATCTTTTTTTTTTTTTAAAGATTGTTTTTAAAAAAATGTTATTTCTGAACAGAAATAAAATCCATCCACATGTTATCATAACCTGAAGATGAATGAAGACTGAAATTCACAAATGGCTAATACTTGTTTTCTAATACAAACTCTGATCCCTACTTCACAAGACAATCAAGAATGCCAAACAGAACCTTGACCTAAATGGGAAATGTAAAAATCAATAAATACTATATAACACAATGGAGTATGTTCATACCACACAAACGGATAATGTCACAAAAAAAACACTCCATGCTTCTTTTGAAGAGGCTTGTATTATTTTACTACACTAAATTAAAAGGGGAGTTGGAGTGCGGTGAAAAGAGTAGAAAACTTAACAGGATATTAGAATCTGAAAAACAGCCACTACATTCAATAAACATATCTTTAAGATGGAGAAAACAAAACCTAGGAATCTAGTAATACACGTTTACGAATAGCACAGAGGGAAACTATTTTTAAGTACAAATATTCCTTAAAATAACCAAGATAAATCCTTGGAGGAGTCTGAAATTACATGTTAAAAACAATCAGTTTTGATAATTGGCAAGTATTAAGGAGATAAAAATGTGATTTGAACTTCATCTACTGGGCAATAAAGGGAAGGATATTTGTACTATCAGAATTTAAAAGTACAAAGCATAAGAAAAGTAAAAACAAATTCAGAAAAGGCATATTCAAATGAGGAATTCAATCGGTTCTGACCCATGTGTCACTTCTTAGAACCATCTACTTTAACAGATACCAAGACCATTAATGTGTATATCAGAGTTAAATGAATAGATTTTGAACTTACAGTTAAGCTGCATGTTTGTCATGAGTGTTAAGCTATGAAGCACGAGGCACCATGTCCGAAGCAAAGTATTGGGATACCAAGCTAGCACTGTGAGAAAGCTAGTTATTGACGCTATGTAGAAAAGAGAAAAAGGAAACATATTTACTCAGAAAAACAACGTTTACTAAAAATTAAAAACCAAATGAATAAATTCAAAAACAAGACTTCATTTCTTTACTTCACTACTTAGTATCCTCAAAATATAAAATGAAGATTCCCCCATTAAATACAACTCAAGCACTGAGAGAGAATAACATCTTATGGTTAAGCTTAATACTCAGCGTACAACCCATAAATGATGTTATCAACACAAATTGCTGTAACTTTCCTAACTACAGTCTTTTCTACAGCAACATAGCTTGTGTGCTACAAAAAACTTCATATTTTGGGGCCAGTGCTGTGGCATAGCGGGTAAAAGTGCCACCTGCAGTACCGGTATCCCATATGGGCGCTAGTTGGAATCCCGGCTGCTACACTTCCAATCCAGCTCTCTGCTATGGCCTGGGAAAGTAGCAGAAGATGGCCCAAGTCCTTGGGCCCCTGCCCCTATGTAGGAGACTTGGAAGAAGCTCCTGGATCCTGGCTTCAGATGGAAGACCTCTCTCTCTGCCCCTGCCTCTCAAATAAATAAATCTTTAATAAAAAAAAAAAAAAAAAACACACACACACACACAACACTTCATATTCTATAAAACCAAAAGCTGAAAATAATAAGGAAAAATGGAAGATCTGGGACAGATTAATGAAAACTAATGTAACTTCACAACAAAAACTGGGTAGCTAGGAAGGCCCAGATATGAAGAACTCACGGCAGCTGTAGAAGCGAAAGAAGTTGTTAAAAATGTACAAACACAGAGTGGGCATTTGGCAAAGCGCTTAAAATGCCCCTTGGGATGGCAACTTCTCATACTGCAGTGCCTGGCACTGAGTCCCACCTCTGCTTTCTACCCACCTTCCTGCTAACGCCCCTGGAAGGCAACAGATATGACCCTTGGGTTCTGGCCACCTATGTGGGAGACCCACACAGAATTCCTACAACTGGCCCAGCCCCAGCTGTTGTCGTCATTTTGGGAAGTAAAACTCAAATGGAAGATATCTATCTTAGTGTATGTGTGGCTCGCTCTGCCTCTCAAATAATTAAATAAATATATCTTTAAATTTTTTTTTTAGCAGCTGGCACTGTGGTTCAGCATATTAAGCCACTGCCACTGATGCCAGCATTCCGTATGAAAATCAGTTTGAGTCCTAGCTGCTCCACTTTGGATTGTGCCACTGCTAATGTACCTGGAAAAGCAAAAGATGATGGCCCAACTACTTGGGCCCATGGCATCCTCCTGGAAGACACTGATAAAGTTCCAGTATTCAGTCTGGGCCAGTCCTGGCCATTACCAACTGGGGAGTGAATCAGAGGATGCGGAATTCTCTCTGTGTCTCTCCCTCTCTCTACGTAACTCTGCCTTTCAAAAAATAAGTAATCTTTTAAAAATTTGTTTTTTAAATAACACAGTGGAAGAAACAGAAATCTATGGATTAAACCAGGGGTAGGTAGTGCTGATACAATGCAAGTTTAAATGGAATCATAAACCAGTTTGATCTGTCACAACAGTTGGAAGACAGATTTTTAACAGCTGAGCACGAAATGGAAAAAGCCTCAGAAATACTTTTCTTAAAAGTTATCTGAAAGAAATTGCTATAACAAGAGCTTAAGAATAGTTGTTTTCCTATTGAGATATTTGATTCTACTTTCATATATTGCATCTGTCAAGGAAAAAAATAAACTGCTACTGGAAACCGACATCCTTCAACAGGAGGCCAACCAGGGAATAACCCACATTTGGGGAAAGAAAAAAATCTGCTGTAACAGAACAGTCAAAGGAAACACAACTCTGCAGAAATACAACGTGAAGAGCAACAGAACACTGTAAACTTTAGTTGCGCATAGGAATAGCAGAAAACAGACAAAAATAATTGTTTTTTCTTGCTAAGTCAGTGCATTTTTTAAAAGATGGTGGCAGAGGTGGCTTCCCCCACTAAAATATAATCCCACCGAAAATGACTAGACATATTTTTATCTAATCATAATCTTTTGAACTGTTCTTTATACTATATTAATGATTTTCCTTCTAATAAATCTTACCTTGATTTAATGAAATGATAGGTACTCGATTAGCATTATATAAAAAAATGTCAGCTCCATTCTCCTTATTTCCAGATGAACTAGAATTCAGGCTCAATGTGAGCCACAACTGGAGAAGTGATTCCAACTGAAAAAGAATAAATTCACAGAATAAAAATATATTATTATGAAATATCATTTAAACTTGTATATAAAACCTTATCACGAATAAAGAATTTATCCTGGGGCCAGCATTGTTGCATATCAGGTTAAACCGTCACCTGTAATTCCAGCATCCCATATGGAAGCTGGTTCCTGTCACGGCTGCTCCACTTCTGATACAGGTCCCTGCTAACGGCCTAGGAAAAGCCGCAGAAAATGGTTCAAGTACTTGGGCCCCAGCAACTACATGGGAGACATGAAACAAGTTCGTGGCTCTTGGCTTCAGCCTAGCCCAGCCTCAGACATTGTGGCCATTTGGGGAGTGAATCAACCAATGGAAAAATTACAATATCTTTCTTTCTCTCTCCTTTCTCTCTCTCTCTCTCTCTGTCTGCCTCTCTGGCTTTCAAATAAATAAATAAATTTCCGTTTTGAAAAATTAAGTTATGCTATTAAATACGTCCACCAGTTACTATATAATTCAGTTGACAAGCAAACCTCACTTCAAATTTTTGATGAAACAAAATTTGGTTCAGGGGCTGGTGCTGTGGCAGAGTGGGCTAAGTCTCCACCTGCAGCGCCGGGTTCCCATATGGGTGCCAGTTCGAGTCCCAGCTGCTCTACTGCCAATCCAGCTCTCTGCTATGGCCTGGGAAAGCACTGGAAGATGGCCCAAGTCCTTGGGCCCCTGTACTTGTATGGTAGACTTGGAAGAAGCTCCAGGCCCCTGGATTTGGATCAGCATAGCACAGGCCATTGTGGCTAATTAGGGAGTGAACCAGGAGATGGAAGACCTCATCTCTCTGCCTCTCCTTCTTTCTCTGTGTAACTTTGACTTTCAAATAAAAAAATCTATCTTTTAAAAAATTAGTTGAATTCAAATTTACAATTTGCCTCATAAATTTTTTACTAAATTACAACAGGTGATTCAAGCCCTGAAATCAGATTTAGGGAAAAATGCTGGCACTGAGCAGATAAAGCAATCGCCTGCAATGCCAGCACCCCTTACTGGAACACCAGCTGGATTCCCAAGCATTCCACTTTCAATTCAGCTCACACTAATGTGCCTGGGCAACAACATCAAGATGGCCTACATACTGAGACCACTACCACACACATGGAAAACCTGAACAGAGCTCCCGGCTCCCGGCTGCTAGCCACTGGGGAGTGAACGAACAGATAGAAGATTCATTCTAAAGTGTTGAAATCTTTACTGAGTTGGTCTTTATCGAGTATAAAGTTAATTAAAAATGAATCTTGGCGGGCACCGCAGCTCAATAGGCTAATCCTCCACCTAGCGGCGCCGGCACATCGGGTTCTAGTCCCGGTCTGGGCACCAGATTCTGTCCTGGCTGCTCCTCTTCTAGGCCAGCTCTCTGCTGTGGCCAGGGAGTGCAGTGGAGGATGGCCCAAGTACTTGGGCCCTGCACCCCATAGGAGACCAGGAGAAGCACCTGGCTCCTGCCTTCGGATCAGCGCGGTGCGCCGGCCGCAGCCGCATGGGCCCGCGGCGCCCATTGGAGGGTGAACCAACGGCAAAGGAAGACCTTTCCCTCTGTCTCTCTCTCTCTCACTGTCCACTCTGCATGTCAAAAAAAAAAAAATAATAATGAATCTTAATGAAGAATGGGATGGGAGTAGGGGTGGGGGGATGGGAGTAGGGGTGGGAGGGTGGGAGTAGGGATGGGAGGGTGGCTATATTCCAAAAGTTGTACCTATGAAATTTGTATTCATTAAATAAAGGCTTAAAAAAAAAGATTCATTCTCTCTCTCCCTGTCTCTGCCCCGCCCCCTCCCAGTCACTCTGTGTTTCAAATAAATAAAAAAGGAATATTTAATGAAAAAAGAGATCACAGACTTAATAGGAACTAAACAAATAAAATAGCTTAAAATCCTGGAAATTACAGATGGTCCCATAAGGAACTGAGATCATCAAAGTATTTCCAACACTTTTCCCTTGAAGTTTAACAATGAAATCATTGCTATCAGGTTGAATAGGAGCCTCCCAGTTAGTTTCATCTTTTATCAGGGTAGCATCATTTCTCATAAAGACATACCTGAACATGATGGACTTGAAGCATGGAAAAAAGTTTGTTGAAACAAACATTTAACATCGGGACAGAAGATAACTGGATAATAAGTTGGCTGGTTTGGTTCACTGCCTGAAAACCGCCTAGAAGTGAATCATCTGTTCCAGTGGGAGACTGTGACACTGCAAACAAACACCAGTATGGTAAACTATGCAGAAGACATGGTAACTGGCAGGTAAAAAAATTAATTAAAATTGCACTCTTTATTTCAAAGTTCTATATTAGTATTTCAAAATTCTGCATTTATAATATCACTTAAAGATAAAAAAGACCATAGAAGGAAGCTCCCAAATTCACAAGACTCTCTCAGCAAAGGAAAAGAACTTATTCTCTGTTAATTGTTAATTGCATTTTTTCCTAATTAAGAAAGGAAGAGAAAGAAAAGTATTACCTAACTAGTGTGGCAGTTTAAAATAATTCAGATTTTGATCTACTGACTCTTAATGCTGACTGCACATCACAATCGCCTGAGCAAAGTTTTCCAAGATTCTGATGCTCAGGTTCTACATCAAACTATGAGGAAAACGACATACTAAAAAAGAGACCCATTTATGTCAGAAGAATAACCAAAATGTAAAGTGATGCATGTACCATTTTCAAAAGGACACTCTAGTAAGTTGTTTAATGAAATGGACTACTCTGAGCAATGCTGTGCTGTCTGTGATCACAGGGAGGCTGTGCCGTACAAAAAGGGTTCCCATATCACAAGAAGATGAGAAGTAACAGTACTGGTGTACCAAGACCAAGATTACAGAGCACTGTCTCTGTTTCTCTTCTCTATAGCTTCTAAAACAAGAAATAAATGACGATTGTAAATCGAAAAGATTCAATTTAACTTACAGAAGGAAAAAAACCTCAAACTTCTCTATTGCTAAGGGTTGTGAAGTCTCCTTCAGGGGAGGAGCAGAGGCGATCATCTAGGTTGTAGCTACCATCTCTACGACTTTACTCACTCTATTCCAGGGAAGGTGGTGTGGTTTACAGGCCTAAGAAAAATGAAACCATCATCCTCTCCATAGCATGGCTCTTTCATCTTTGCTCCTGAGACACAGGGGGCTATGTAACTGTACTCCTCCGACATGCAGAGGTCTACAGAAGTCTAGCACTGTACATCAAGGTCAGCAAACCATGATCTGATGGCCAGATCTAGCAGGCCACATGTTTCTGTAGCACAGCAATGCCCATTTATTTACATCTTATCTACCACATCAAAGCTGAGTGCACACAACAATATACTATATGGCAACCTTTCAGAAGAAAAATACACTGTCCTTTTCTGTAGAAAGGTAATAAATCCTCTCAGTTCTGGGATCAGTTAGCAGGCCCACAGGGATGTCATTCTATCCTATGCTTTGCATTCTAGTCTTTTAAGATGGTGAAGATTTTATTATAAAAAAAAAATCCACTGTATGACACATCCATAATGAAATGAAATCACAGTCCACTAGCTAATCCCTTAGGCTTCTCTAGGAATTTCATTAACTAAATAATAGTACAAAAATAAAAGCATAATTCAGGTTTTAGACTGAGTCTAGAGCACTACATGGAGCTATTTGGCATGCTCTTTTACCATTTGTTGATTCCTTGTCTTAATTCTCAATATGCTACTAATTTAGAGGGGGAGAAGTGATACACTCAAACTCACAACACCCATGGAATTCTTAAAATGGCCCCTGTTCAACACACTTGAAAACAATCAAGAGATAAAGCACATATTACAATACTCTAAGAAGGGTAGTTTTACTTACATGTAGGAGATGTATTTGTTAGTGCCTGTAAAATGGAATCTGCTTCCAGAGTTGACATCATTTTCAACATAAGTTCTGCCTGCTGTTCAAGACCAACTTCAAGGCGAGCATCTAGGGCTATAAAAAGCAATTAGGGTCGGGTAGGGTACGGTGGGGTGGGGAGAAAGCATATAGCATATTTGACCATAATTACTCTTGTCTCCATGTCCTACAATGAAATGTTGACATCTGAAGGCACAACGTAAAAACAGCCTGGTATGTGCTATCAGAGCGAGAGCAGGGGGAAAATATCTGTGCAAGGTGGTTAGAAACAGAGAGTGGCTATACAGAGATAGGTAAATTAAATAGCAAAGTCATGATAATAAGGACAAAGAGAGCCATGTTTCTCACTGTCAGAGGAAAGAGGTATGGATTCTAAAAAAAGAATAAGACTCCATGGGGCTAGATACAAAAATATAGGTGCAAATGTCTGTGTACACGCACACACACACACAGAGAACCTAGTTCTGCCCATGAAAAGAGCCACCAAAATAACAACAAAAACATCTGGCATACAAATCATAGCTCCTAACCCACGTCAATCCTTTAAAAAGGTTCTGAAATACTATACTGCTCGCAAAGTGGCTAATTATCACAATGACGCAGTTAAGTAAACGATGAGCCTGAGGCATCACATTTTGCCAGAAAACAAAAAAGGGCCCAAACAATAACAAACACACATCAAGGACAGAGACCAGACTAAAGGAGATCCTACTGGTCATACCTGGGATGATTTACACCTCAGAACAAATAATGGCAACACTATAAATGTATTTCATGACACTGAGCTACACCCACATCAAAGATATGGCTGAAATGATAAACTGCATGTTATTTACATTCAATCACAATAAAAAATAAATGAAATTATAACCCACTGAGTAAATAGGAAAATTATGAATCCATTAAAAACTACAAGCTAATTCATTTTTCAAAAAATAAATTTGGTGAGGAACAGGATATTTGTAGGCTTTATCTCTGCTCCCTGAAACCTCAAAAGAATTATGACAGAGAGTAAAAGAGTAATTCAACCATGGAGAAGCCCAGCAGACACCTCCTCAATTAAGTGATCAAACTTAACACCACTGGGGGTGGGCAAACAAAAATCCCAGATCACCAAACAGCACACAATGAGAGAAAGCATTATTTCTGTGCTCCTCCTGCCAAGATGCATGATCTCAATCAAATTATGAGCAAGCAGCATACAAAAGCAAATTGAGGGACACTGTAAAAAATAATTGGTCTGTAATGTTCAAAAGCATCAGGGGCACAAACTCTGAGGAACAGCTGTAAACTGAACACTAAAGAGATATGACAATTAAATGCAAGGCATTGTTCTGCATTGGGCCCTTGTGGATACAGGACAGCTTCCGAACACTGACTACTATTTGAATGGGCTCTCAGTTCTGGATATAGTAACATCAAATTCCCGATTTTGATGAAAGACGCCTCTTTATGTGCTCATTAATAACATCCAGCTTTGTTAAACTAACGAATTAATGTAAGATGAGCAACAGATTCTCAAATAGTTCAGGATAACAAATATTCTCTGGAGTGAATTGCAACATTTCATTAAATGTGTGATAGTTTGAAAATTTTAAAGATGTTTTTTAAAAAATTAAGTATGTCTGACCTGTATGACTAGAAAAACACAAAAATTAAAATTCAATATGGTTTCATTCTATTTTTAAATAAAATACAAGTGTATAATTAAAGTAAGAAACTAAAACAAAATACAATTGAAATCACAGTCAATACCACAGAACCCACAACCAGCTTTTGTTGGGTGTTATTTTGAGAAACAAAAAAATGGACCATAAACAGAAGCTGCTGAACACCAAATGAAAGAAAATCAGCTCTGGATGGCACTCACAGCACAGCTGTGACACTAATAACACACCCAAGCTCAATTTCTCAATGCACATAGTATACATAAATTTAACTTCTTTTAAGGGTAGCGTATGTCTTAAAATGTAGATATACACTTACCCTGAGACACTGAAACACTAACAGTCTGTGATCCATTCTTCTCTGTGTTTGCTGGTGGCTTTGCTACAGGAATTCCCAGACCGCCAATGTAAGGGTTGTAATTGTACGTGCCATAATCAGCACCCCAGTAATCATACCACGTACTGCTTATTGGCTTAAAAAAACATAAAACAAATTGTGGTTTCTTTTTGTCTCTCTACTGAGTGACACATTACTTACATTATCTACACTTACCTAGGATTACAAAAGAAATATTCTCCCCATCCTTTAAATTTCCAAAACTCATTTATAAATTGTTTTAAAAATTTGAGAGAGAGAGTTACCTCCTATTCACCATTCACTGCCCAGATGCCCCCAATGGCAGACTATGACTGAGTGGGCTGGACTAACGCTGTGAGTAGAGAACCTAATCCAGCTCTCTCATGTGGGTGGCAGAAATCCAAGTACCTCGCACAACCACTGCCCAGGTCTGTATTTGCAGGAAGAGAATCACTCTGAAAAGGGACGTAGGTCTCCCAACTGCTAGGCCAAAGGCCAGCCTCTTCCACTTCTAATTTTAATGATTTACAAGGAAGGTTCAGTAACATTCTCTTCATTTTCTGCCAAAATCTCCAAATATCTTATTTGTCTATAGGAAACTAGCATAAGAAGTATCTATCATGAGCTACAAGAACACTACTACTATAAAGTATCACAACTGTCTCCTTTAGGAAAGTAGAGGCTAATAGAGAAGCATAGTCTGCAACAAACTCAGCTTATACAAGACTTAAATGCTGCCTGCAATGCTGGTATTCTATAACTATACTTCCACATCCTTACTAGTGATTATTATAAGTAATCGCTGATTCCTGTATTAATAAAAATGGTCTAAGTTTTCTTCGTACCACTGGATTTTTTTAAACTACTATAGTATCTACAGTAAATTAGTGCATCTTGAAGACAGTGAATAATGGGTTGTATTTGATGACAAACAGGTATAATTCCCTCTTTTAAGTAATTATTAAGCAGAAAGTTTAAGTGAAAAGACAAATTGTGAAGAATATTATAATGTATCATACCTTAAAAACTTTGGCTGCAAGAGGATCCTTTTCTAAATCAATATCTAAAGGATCAATATCAACTTCCATTAGATCTTGAAGTAACTCCAGGTCAATTTCTTTATCTTTTTCCAAAGAGGAGAGGGGAGGTGCACCTTCAAATAATTCATAGTTATTGTCTTGGTAGAGTATATCACATAACATTTACCTAATACACTGGTTTTAGTAATAGAAAGTTATTTTACTTACATGTAAAACATCTGCCTACTGATTTTAAATAAAGCCTTTAAATATTACACCTAGCAATTAAACATTAATAAATATGCAAATGTATCACTTTGTAACACAAAATAAACAGACTAATGCAATGATCTTTGATTTCCTAGGGGAAATACACCAGTATTAGCTCTTCTTAAATTAAGCCATATTAACTTTTTTTAAAAAGATTTATTTTATTTATTTAAAAGAGTTGCAGAGAAAGGTAGAGACAGAGTAGGAGGAGGGGAGTCTTCACTCCCCAGATGGCCCCAACGAATGGAGTTGAGCTGATCTGAAACCAGGAGCCAGGAGCTTCATCCAGGTCTCCAACATGGGTGCAGGGCCCAAGGACTTGGACCATCCTCCACTGCTTTCCAAGGCACATTAGCAAGGAGCTGGATTGTAAGTGGAGCAGCCAGAACTCAAACTGCTGCCCCATGGGATGCTGGTGCTGCAGGCCAGGGCTTTAACCTGTTACATCACAGCGCCGGCCCTACCACACTTATTTATTTGAAAAACAGATAAAGACAGAGAGACACACAGATAGGAAAAAAAAAAAAAAAAAAAAAAACACAGATAAAGACAGAGAGAGACTGATCTTCCATTTGCTGGTTCACTTCCAAAATGGCTGCAAAGGCCAGGGCTGGTCCAAAGCCAGGACCCTGGAGCTCCATTGGATTTTCCACATGCGAAGTAGGGGCCCAAGTCGTTGGGCCGTAATCTGCTGCCTTTGTAGGCACAGGAGCAGTGAAATGGATAAAAAAGTAGATGAGTCAGGACTTAAATCGGCACTCAATATGGGATGCCAGCATTGAAAGGGGGCACTTAGCTCACTGCATCACAACACCAGCACCAAGTCCATGATCTTTGATATTTCAAATAATTATTAATATGCTTGGAATGAATACATTATTCATTCTGTTTCATCCCCTTCCTTACATCCATATGACAGGTAATTTTACCCAGTAGTTAAGAGAAAAGCAAAGATTTCACTCGCAAGACTGCAATTTGGGGCTCACAGTGGGTTAAGTCATGGCTTGTGATGCCAGCATTCCATATCGGAATGCTGGTTTGATACCCAGTTGCTCTGGTTCTATTCCAGCTGCTTGCTCATGAGCATGAGTTATGAACAAAAGATGGCTTAAGTACTCAGGCCCTGGTCATCCATGTAGTGAACACAGAAGTTGTTTTGGGTTCTGGGCTCTGGGCTCTGGCCTGGCCTAGCCCTGACTGTTGCAGCCAATGCACCTGTGGATTCAAGTTCTTATGTCTCTCTGTCTCTCCCTCTCTCTGTTACTCTACCTTTCAAATAAATAAATCGTAAAAAAAAAGGGGGGGGGGCTGCTAATTACTTTTTCTATAATAAAAGAGAAATTATTTTGCTGTTTGATGCTTCCAAAATTTAAAGTTGCTTTCTATCTCTTGAAACCCTTACTTTCCCACGCAAGACCACAGATGACAAAATCCTTAACTCAGCTGATAGAAACAGAAAAAGTCTCTCCCAGAGAGTATAATCTATGTGAATAATAAATGAAAGGCAGTTCACCACGCAAATCGGAGGAAGATTTCTACTACAGATGAAGAGAGTATTAGACAGAAAAGATCATATTTTAAGAGCATAAAACTAATGAATGAAAAACCAGTTGAAAAATAACCACAGCATCTGACATATATTGGGCAAGAAGTACCACAGCATTTTAACAAGAAGTACCAAAATCACAAAGGAAATTAACTTACAAATACAGTTTTTAAAAAGGAAAAATATACCAATCCCTCCCACACACAAACACAAATTGAATCATGAAGATCAAGTTCTTTAAATCTTGCTACCTTTACCACAACATATCTTGAAATGTTTTCTATATTTTTACAACACAGCTAAATCAAATTATTACAAAATAATTAGGACATTATATAAGTACTTTGTGGCAATAAGCACTCCTTGGAAAACCAACTTGAAATGTACTCATCAGGAAAATAGCTCATGTAGTTTCATAGGGGCAAAGACCTAATGGAGAAACGCTATTTTCATTTACTGGAAAGAACTAAAGAGTATTTCAGGTAACACAATTTTAAAACTTATCCATGAGTGCACATTTAGATTAGTAGTTAAGATGCACACATCTTACACTGACGTGCCTGAATCTGGTACCTGGCTATAGCTCCTAATTTCATCTTTCTGACAACGCAGACCCTGAAAGGCAGCCATGACAGCTCAGGTCATTGGGTTCCTGCCACCCATGTAGAGAACTGGAATTGTATTCCCAGCTCTGGCCTTCAGCCCAGGCCTAGTTCTACTTGTTATAGGACTTTGGGGGAGTGAACCAATAGATGGGAGGGCTCATTCTCTCTCTCTCTCCCTTTCTCTCTCTCCCCCAAAATAATAAAAATTTACCTGTTATATCGTGTGTCAAAGGCTCATCAATAGTTTCCAGCAACTGAACCGCAGACTGCTGAAGAGAGTCATCAGAGTCCCCAGCTGTTGCACCAACATCATCACTCACTGTTCCTTCCTCCATGGCTTCTGCAGCTACTGGAGCCAACAATTCTCCTATATGTAAGCAGACAGTTCTAATCGCTTTAACAATATACACACAGTTTCATAAATCATATTAAACTATAATTTTTTCCTGTTGTTAGAGAATGACAGAATACATTCTATCATAAAAGAATCTAAGGCAAATGAGATTCCACCCTTGTAAGGGATATTAGGATGCACTACAATATTTATGAATATCAGACAAATAAATAGTGGCAGAAAACCCAATATATAAGGACAAGCCATTATTGTATTCACTTTACATATATTAACTTACTTATTCCACAACAATCTTACAAGGTACTTTTAGTTTTCTTAATTGACAGAAGAACAGAGGCACAGTGATTCTCTCAAGGCCACATAAAGAACCAGTAAACCAGCACAATTGTATCATTAATAAAGAAAGCACTAGTTCAATATCCATGCACTTCAACAACTTCTCTAAATATAGACTTGTCACCGGCCTCAACTTTGTTATAATGAGACATTTATGTTTTTAAGAGGGTTATAATTTATGTAAAAGATTACTTAGCTGAGTAATGACAAGCTACTTTTGTCATAACCTATAAGAAACAAATCCTGACAAACCTGCTAAAATATCTTGCAGCATACAAGTTAAGGAGTACTGAGCCCAAGCACCACCCCATGATATATCTCCTCTGTTGAAGTCAGTCCCAACCAGAAGTAACAGCAGTCTCTCCAGTTGCGGTTCATTGACAATCTCACACAGATGAATAGTTGGCCTTGTAGCATTTGCAATGCGTGCAAGAACCTGTAATACATTTTATGAAATCATATACTTAAATAGCAATTACAATTTTATTTTTTAAAAAGTAACAGAGGCATAGACTAAGTTACTGCTTGGGAAACCTGTATCCCATATGGTAGTATTGGTTTGAGTACCAACTACTACTCATTTCCAATCCAGCTTTCTACTAAACTGTCTGGGAAGGCAGTGGATAATGGCTTCAGTGCCTGGGCACACTGGAGACAAGAAAAGAGTTCCTCGCCCGTGGCTTCGGTTTGGCAGAGCCGTGAATAGTCATCATCTGGGAGTAAAGCAAGAGAAGGAAGATCTCTTAGCCATCCATCAACCCCATTACATTGCCTTTGAAATTTAAAAAAAATCTTAAAAAAAAAAAAAAAATGTGGCCAGGGGCAGCACTGTGGCCTGGCAGGTAAAGCTGCTGCCTGCAGTGCTAGCATCCTATATGGGCACTGGTTCAAGTCCCAGCTGCTCCACTTCTGACCCATCTCTCTGCTATGGCCTGGAAAAGCAGTAGAAAATAGCCCAAGTGCTTGGGGTCCAGCACCCATGTGGGAGACCTGGAAGAAGCTCCTGCCTCGTGGCTTCAGATCAGCCCAGCTCTGGCCGTTAAGGCCATTTGGGGAGTGAACCAGTGGATGGAAGACTCTCTCTCTTTCTCTGTGTAACTCTGCCTTTCAAATGAATAAATAAATCTTAAAAAAAAATAATGGCTAACATTGTAGCGTGACAAGAACATCCCATATCTGGGAGCCATTCTGAGTCCCCGCTGTTCTGCTTCTGATCCAGCTTCCTGCTCCACATTTGGGAAGGCAGCATATGATGATCTAATTACTCTGAGCCCCTACCACCCATTTGGGAGACAAGAATTGAGTTCTTGATTCCAGACTTCAGCATGGCCCAAGTCTAGCTGCTGTACCAATTTGGGTAATGAACCAACAGATGGAAGATCTCGTTCTCTCCATTCCATTGCTCTACCTTCCAAGTACATAATAAGTCGAGGAGAGGAGAGGAGAGGAGAGGAGGGGAGGGGAGGGGAGAGGAGCGGAGAGGAGGGGAGCGGAGATGAGGGGAGGGGAGGGAAGGGGAGAGGAGCAGAGAGGAGGAGAGCGGAGATGAGGGGAGTGGAGAGGGGCGGGGCGAGGTGAGGCGAGGCGAGGTGAAACCTGTAACTACTTTAGCACTGAGTAAGTTTTCAATAATGATATCTATTTTGGTGTCCAATCATTGGAAATGGAATGCCAAAGAATGTTATTTCATGAATTAAATATTACAATGTGAGTAGAGGCGCCGGAATTGTGTCATGGTAGATGAATTCACTGCCTGCAACACCAGCATTCCATGTGGGCACTGGTTGGAGTCCTGGCTGCTCTACTTCCTATCCAGCGTCCTGCTAATGCACCTGGGAAAGGAGCAAAAGATGGCTCAGGTAATTATTGGGCCCTGGCCACACATGTGAGAGACCTAGATGCTGTTCCAGGCCCCTGGCTGGTGAGGTCATTTGGGGAATGAACCAGCGAATGGAAGATCTTTGTCATTCCCTCTCTGTAACTCTGCCTTTCAAACAAATAAATCTTAAAAGTAAAATAAAATCTTAAAATAGTTAAAAATGATTTGTATAAATAGTGAATATGCTCTACAAAAGCAGTCATGGTAGCTGACCAGGGCCCGCACGGTGGTGCAGCAGGTTAAAGCCCCTGACTGCAGCGCTGGCATCCCTTATGGGCATCACTTGGAGCCCAGCTGCTCCTCTTCCAATCATCTCTCTGCTACGGTCTGGGACAGCAGTGGAAGATGGTCCAAGTCCTTGGGCCCCCTCACCCGTGTGGGAGACCCAGAAAAAGATCCTGGCTCCTGACTTCGGATCAGCTCAGCTCTAACCATTGTGGTCATTTGAGGAGTGAACCAATGGAATGGAAGACCTCTCTCTTTCTCTCTGTCTCTACCTCTCTCTGTAACTCTGTTTTTCAAATAAACAAAATAAATCTTTAAAAATACATAGAGAGATGATATACATATAATTTGACCTTATTTATTCAAGGTAGCTTAGAGATTGACATACCCTAATTACCTACATTTCAAACTCTCATATTTTAACTACATTTACACATAAGTTAGGTGTACCCAGGAGTAGACGAAAAAAAAAAAAGAGTTCATTTTTCAAGGCACAATAAAAAATGCAAACTGCAAAAAAAAAAAGAAGCACTATTATTTTTCTTAATCAAAATCAGTTAAAACTTTACCCTATGATAAATCTGTTTCCTACTCCTTAAGTCTATTCCTACAAATTAGCCTAATAGTTTACATACCTTACAAACAAATAGTAAGAGATCTGCATGACATGTAAAATCCATGGACAGGAGAAACAGAACAAGTTTCTGGACAACTGAGATACAACGTTCATGTGCCAGAGTAAATGGAAGAGGTTCTATCTCTGGACTTTCTTTTGTAGTTGTAACTTCTGTGTCTAAATTAGAACGAGACCATTCTGCTGTCCGTCGTAAACGAATTAAATCCTTAAAGTGCTGTACAAAAAAAGCCACAATATTTAAACCAATGTATATTTAATGCATAAAGAACATTTTTTCAGTATAAATTTACTTACGGAATAAGAATATTCACTCAACAAACATAACTTCTATCGATCAAAATATTTAAACAAATCACAAGCTTCAAAAATAAGATGATGGGGCCAGTTTTATGGATCAGTGACCTAGGCTAAATTGGAACTGCAAAGCTGGTATCTCATATCAGCACACCAGTTAGACTCTTGGCTGCTCCACTTCGAATTCAGCTCCTAACAAGTAAGCCTGAAAAAGCAGTGGAGAACCCAAGTGTTTGGGCCCCTACCACCCATTATGGGAGACCTGGATGGAGCTCTGGGCTGATGGCTTTGGCCTAGACCAACCATGTCAGCTGTGGCCATTTGAGGAGTGAACCAGGAGGTATAAGATTAATTTTTCTCTATTTCTCCCTGTCCCCCTGGCCCACTGTGCCTTTCAAATAAATAAACCTTTAAAATAAAAAAGGCAGCGGCTGGCACTATGGCGTAGTGAGTAAAGCCATTGCTTGCAGTGCTGGCATCCCATATGGGCACCAGTTCAAGTCCCAGTTGCTCTGCTTCTGTTCCAGCTCTAAGCTATGGCCTGGGAAAGCAGTGGAAGATGGCCCAAGTCCTTGGGCCCCTGCACCCATATAGGAGACCCAGAGGAAGCTCCTGGCTTCAGATGGGCACAGCTCTGGTCGTTGCAACCAATTGGGGAATGAACCAGCGGACGGAAGACCTCTCTCTCTCTCTCTCTCTCTGCCTCTCCTTCTCTCTGTGTGCAACGCTTTCAAATACATTAATAAATCTTAAAAAAGAAAATCAAAAAGGCAATATTGTTAAAAGCTATACTGATGAATATAGTTTACCTCTTATTTAGAGTACTATATAGGATTTTTAACAAAATTTAAGAAAAATCATGTTCTACAAAAAGATAATTGATTAAAACTACCATTTTAAGTAAATATTACTAAAATATCCTGAACATAATTCAAACAAAGTTGATGCAAAGAAAACTAACACAGCCACAAGTACAAAACACTAATTGAAATTATTTCAGCATCTATTAAATTATAATTTTATAGCTGAAGAAACGATACACAAGCTTGCTTACTACATGTGAACACACATTTACATAATACATATTTTTATTTTCAAGCTACTGCAACTAAGTCCACTTTGAAAGTAAGATACTAGAGAATACATAAAATCCACATTTATCATATACTTCCTTGAGTTAAAAGCCTTTGCCCCCCATTCCACAAGATGTCCAGGCTGGACTGATTTATTTGTTGATAAGCAGGAAAAAAAAACTATCTAAATTTCCTGATTATTATTAAAAATACTTAACCAGTCAAATAACTTAAAATACTAAAGCAGAAATTGACTTTTCTGAGAAAATTGCATTATGATGTTTAGATCATACCTTTGAAGTAGCCTGTTTCAGTTTTGCTTGCTCTACCAGGAGTTTATATGAGGATCCTTTGTTGCTCTGTATTTTTTCTTTTTCCATCTGCTCCACCAAAGCCTTCTGTTTTGCTTTTAATAGGTTAAGTTGCTTTAAAAAAACAAAATGTTTAATCTTAAATAATGATAAGGACACATTAGGTAAATTATTACTCATTGATTTCATACATCAAATTAATGGAATAAGTAATTCCTTGAAAGATACAGTAGGCCCAGCGCCGCTGCTCAATAGGCTAATCCTCTGCCTGCGGCGCCGGCACACCGGGTTCTAGTCCCGGTCGGGGTGCTGGATTCTGTCCCGGTTGCCCCTCTTCCAGGCCAGCTCTCTGCTGTGGCCAGGGAGTGCAGTGGAGGATGGCCCAAGTGCTTGGGCCCTGCACCTGCATGGGAGACCAGGAGGAAGCACCTGGCTCCTGGCTTTGGATCAGTGCGGTGCGCCAGCCGCAGCAGCCACTGGAAGATGAACCAACGGTAAAGGAAGACCTTTCTCCCTGTCTCTCTCACTGTCCACTCTGCCTGTCAAAAAATAAAATTAAAAAAAAAAAAAAAAGATACAGTAATACAATTTTAACTGTTGATGATTGGAAAAAAAAAATGGGAGCAAGTTTTGGCACAGCCGTTAGTGGCCTGCAATACCTGCATCTCCTATCACAGAGTCTGGTTTCAGTTCTGGTTCATACACTTCCAATCCAGCTTCCTACGAATGTCCCTGGGAAGGCAGCAGATGACTACTCAAATATTTAGATTCCTGCCACTCATATTCAAGGCACAGACAGAGTTCCTGTTTCCCATCTTGTGCCTGGCTGAGTCTTGGCTATTGCAGGCATCTGGTGTGAGCCAGCAGCTGGAAGATCACTCTCTCTCGATATCTGTGTCTGCATGTTTGTCTGCCTGCCTTTCAAATAAAACTACTTTAATTTTGATTTTAAAATGTGTCCATTATCATTTTTTTAGAAAGGCTGAGTTCCAACAGTCATACCGACCACAAGGTTGAAGTCATGATTTTCCTGTTGTTTATTTTTTAAAGCTCTGTTTATCTTGAAAGTCAGAGTTACAGAGAGAGAAGGGGATAGACTGATTCTTTTTTTAAAAAAGATTTATTTATTTTATTTGAAAGTCAGAATTATATATATAGAAAAAGAGATCTTCCATCCACTAATTCATTCCCCAAATACCTCCTGGCTGAAGCCAGGAGCTGCTTTTGAGTCTCCCATACAGATAGATGCAGGGGCCCAAGGATTTGGGCCATCTTCTGCTGCTTTCCCAGGCACATTAGCAGGGAGCTGTATTGGAAGTGGAGTAGCTAGGACTTAACTGCCACCCATATGGGATGCCAGCACTGCAGATGGCAGGTTAACCCTCTGTACCACAGCGCTGGTTTGTGTCCCAGCTGCTCCACTTCAATCCAGCTTCCTGTTATTGTGCCTGGGAAAACTGTGGGGAATGTGGTTGGGACCCTGCCACCAAAGAGGGAGATCTATATGAAGCTCCTGGCTCCAGATTTCGGCCTGGCCCAGCCCTGGCCATTGCAGCCATTTGGGGAGTGAATCAGGGGATGGAAGATCTTTTGTCTTTTTTTCTGACTCTGCTGTAACTCAACATTTCAAATCAATCTATATATACAGAGAGAGAGATTTTATACACACACACACACACACACACACACACATATATATACACACAAGGGGGGGGGGATTGATCAGTTCCTGGGTGTGGTAGCTGAAACTGCTTGGAGTGCCGGCATTGTGGCAAAGCAGGTAAAGCAATGGCCTGCAGCACCAGCATCCCATATGGCTGCCAATTTGAGACCTGGCTGTTCCACTTCCAGTCTAGCTCTGTTAGCATGCCTGGGATAGCACTGGAGGATAGCTCAAGTGCTTGTGCCCCTGAACCCACACAGGCAATCCGGAGGAGGAGGCTCCTGAATCCTGGCTTCAGCCTGGCCCAGCCTCGAATGTTACAGTCATTTGGTGAATGAACCAGCGATGGAGGATTTCTCTCTCTCCCTCTCTTATTGTGTGTGTGTGTGTGTGTGTGTGTCTGTTTGTCTGTCTGTCTTCCTCTCTGTAACTCTGACTTTCAAATGAGTGAGTAAACCTTAAAAAAAAAAAAAAAAGACATTGCTTGGGACTCTAGCTGGCATCCACCCTCCCAGTGCCTGGGTTGAAGTCTTGACTCTGCTTAGTTCCCATCCTCCTGGTAATGTGCACCATAAGAGGCAACAGGTAATCCCTTAGGAAGCTATCACCCACATGAGAGACTCAGATTGAGTTCTGAGCTCCTGGCTTTGGTCTGAACCAGTCCCAGCTGTGGTACTCATTTGGGGAGTGAACTAATGGAAAATACCTGTTTCAGTCTTTCTCTCATCTCTGCTTTTCAAATAAATCAATCATAATTTTAAAGAACATGATATTAATTTTTTTTTAATTTTTAACCAAAAAAATAATTAGCTCCTTATCTAAGGGAGAATAGAAGCAACTGGAAGACTTGCTGACATAAGTCACTAAAGACATTGAATGTGGTAGGTATTATTTTAATACAGGAAAATAACTATTTTTAAATACGTAGAAGAAAACATTTTTAGCATTTAATACTTCTTAGCTTTGCTTTTATGACAATTTCCCTCAAGATACTATACAGGTACTTGTGAAAAGTTCTTGGGAAATCAGAACCAAAAAATGTTTTTATTTCTGTTGCAAAAAAGTCTTGGAATTCATGCACAGGTTTTTTTTTTTTTATCATAATATGTGGTTTCCATGAATTTTCTGAAGATCTTTCAAATTTTGTTTTTTCTGGGGTTTTCTATTAATTAAATTTCTGACTTGTGTAACTGTAAACTCATATGCAACTTTAAAAACAGTACAGAGATCTCTTATACCCTTATCTCAATTTCTCTTAATGATGACAATTCATGAAACTATAATATATACAATAAGGTACTGACACTGATACAATTCACCAATCTGATTTCTCCAGTTTCCCTTGTTTTCACTCATACATTGCTCTGTGTATTCAGCTGCACGTAATTCTACAAGCATTAGTTAATGCATCTGCCACAACAATCAATACTGAACAGTTTCATCGCAAGGATTCCTCCTCATGTTATTCTTTTATAAATCAGCTCCCTCCTGTCCCACATGCCACAGCCCTGAAGTCTGGCAACCAGCAGTCTGAGCAATGAGCAACCAGCCAAAACTGGAGAAAACTCTCTATCCATAAAGACTCTACAAGCTCTGGATTAACTTCCTCATCCAGCCAAACATGCAGGAAGTCACTAGAAAGATATAGTTACAAGTAAATGCATAATTCAGTTATGGATTTCATAAACCTGCCTTCTCAAAGAAGGTACTGTAAATTTCAACTTGAAATAGGCAGGCATACAGGTTAAAATTGATTAGATTTGTGAACTGGAAGACCACGCCTTTGCCACACCCCTGTGTGACCTCATGCCCCTACCTGATGCCTTTGCCACGCCCCTGAACTATGGATGAACATTCAAATATGTAAATGCAGTGCTACTTAATTAAGACTTAATTTGCTTTACCATCTTTCGAAGGTCAACTGGAAGTCATTAGGAATGTGAGGGAGTGATATGATTCAGGTTTGTATTAAACTCATAGAGTTAGAATGGAAAATAGATTGGATTAAGGAACAAAAAAAGCAGGGAGACTTTTTTCTGACTAGGCGAAAGGTCATGGCAATCTCACTCTGAAGGGTAGTAATAGAGATGGCAAGGGTAAACATTTTAATGACATCACCAAAAATGTGTAAACCACATACTGACACATTTCACAAATAGAACAAAACTCAGTCTCCAGAGTAACTTCCCTAAGCTAAGTAGCACATTGAAGTTGACACCTAAGATCTGCCAGCAGCTCTATCACACACAGCCACCAAAATGATATTCTCAACATTAAAATTTTTAAAAAGTACTGACAACTACCTGTTTATGATGAACAAGCTGCTTTCTGATTTTCCTAGAATATAATCTATCAAGGCTACTGCTGCCTTTCGAAGATCTTGTTAAACTCTGAGTATGTAGATTATTGTTAATAAAACTCCACTGGTTACCTATAGGGAAAGGAAAAGGTTTATTAGTAATTCCATTAAGCATAGTTTAAAGTAATGTTCATACCCAAAAAACACAAAGCCCTAATACACACATGTCAATCACAATAAAGCAGCTTCTGCCGGCGCTGCGGCTCACTAGGCTAATCCTCCGCCTTGTGGCGCCGGCACACCGGGTTCTAGTCCCAGTCGGGGCGCCGGATTCTGTCCCGGTTGCCCCTCTTCCAGGCCAGCTCTCTGCTGTGGCCAGGGAGTGCAGTGGAGGATGGTCCAAGTGCTTGGGCCCTGCACCCCATGGGAGACCAGGAGAAGCACCTGGCTCCTACCATCGGATCAGCGCGGTGCGCCGGCCGCAGCGCATGGGCCGCGGCGGCCATTGAAGGGTGAACTAACGGCAAAGGAAGACCTGTCTCTCTCTCTCACTGTCCACCCTGCCTGTCAAAAAAAAACAAAAACAAAAAAAAACAATAAAGCAGCTTTAAAGAAAGAAAAGGAAAGCACAGCAAAGGAATCACCAGATGATTTGACCCTAGTTAAGTAACTGTCACTGCTCTACCCTTGACTCTAAATGTCTATAAGACATGACTGCTCCATGCGTCTCATCTTTTCTTTAGGATAATAGCTTCCTGCACAACATTTACATTTAGTCTTTCTTAAAACACAGCTTTGAATGCATCTTAATTCTAACAACTACTACTATTGCCCAATTCAGACACACCTGCTTTTGTGTAGAGACCAAAAAAGGATACTCAAAAATTAAAACTAAAAATTTTCAAAATAAGGTTGAATAATTTAAAAACCAGTGTAGTTACATTCATCCCCATTTTTTTATAACTATCTAAACAATCCTGTCATTCTTTTGTTCAAATTAGGCCCAATGCCCTATTTTACCAATAAAAACTCTCCAGTGCTTAACCAAAAAACATCTGTTTCTTGTTCTCTTAGTTCAAATTCATCAAATCCTGAAAAAGGTCTTTCACCAATGTTGCCATGGTATCCGAATAATATAAATCAAGCTGATTTCCAATGTTATTCCAACTTTATAATACAGCAATGTTTATTGTAACTGTATATCTTAACAGTACAATGACCCATATATACAAATTTTTTTTATAAAATCAGTAAAAAGAAAATTCCCTGTATATGAGAATTCTCATTTCTTCCAAAACATAATATTCTCAAAAACAACTGATTCAGCTAAAAAACATCTCAAGGAAACTTTTTAATATACTGGGATTCTGACAATGTGTAGAATTACAAATTTTATAGACTATAAAGGCTATATTTACATATTAGGTTTAATTATTTCAAAATCTTTTAATGAAATTCCCTGTTAGCTGGGAAAAGAAGAAAACAATTGGTCTTGCAGTTTGATTTCCTTGCAATACACAAAAAAATTACAGCTCAAAAACATAAAATCCGTGAATTTCTTTGAGCATTAAGGCAATCTGCAGGGGCCGGCACAGTAGGTTAATCCTCTGCCTGTGGCACCAGCATCCCATAGGGATGCCAGTTCTAGTCCCGGCTGCTCCTCTTCCAATAGAGTTCTCTGCTGTATCCTGGGAAAGCAGAAGAAATGGCCCATGTCCTTGGACCCCTGCACCTGCAAGGGAGACTGGAAAGAAGCACCTGGCTCCTGGCTTCAGACTGGCAGAGCACCAGTCACTTCGGCCATCTGGGGAGTGAACCAATGGAAGGAAGAGCTTTATCTCTCACTCTCAAATAAATAAATAAAATCTCAAAAAGGGGGAGGGGAAGGCAATCTACAGCTATTTAGAAGACCAACAATAGCAAGCAGAATTCACTATATCGAAATACAAAAAATATACAAGAACTCCCAAATTTCCCCTCTAACTCAATCACATATCTGTTACTATAAATTGTTTCCAAGTACGCTAAGAAAAACTTTGTGAAAGACACAGTTGTTGGGGCCGGCGCTGTGGCGTAGCAAGTTAAGCTGCCGCCTGCAGTGCAGGCATCCCATTCGGGCATTGGTTCGAGTAGAGGCTGCACCACTTCCAATCTGGCTCTCTGCTATGGCCTGAGAAAGCAGTAGAAGATGGCCCAAGTCCTTGGGCCCCTGCACCTGTGTGGGAGACCTGGAAGAAACTCCTCTCCTGGCTCCTGGCTTCGGATCGGCACAGCTCCAGCTACTGCAGCCAACTGGGGAGTGAACCAGTAGATGGAAGACCTCTCTGTCTCTGCCTCTCCTTCTCTCTCTGTGTAACTCTTTCAAATAAATAAATAAATCTTTAAAAAAAAAAAAAAGACATAGTTGTATTTGAAAATGAAAAGCCACATCCAGACAAAGGAGCCAGTTTTATATGTATCTCTGGTAAAGTTGATGTACATTTTACATAAATTACATACAGCTGGTCTCGAGGTCACCAGTTGATTGTGGAACAACTGCTAAGTCACTCAAAAGCCCCACCAACATATTACTATAAACTTCTAGTACCTGTCAGAAATCTCTCCCTGTCTTTACCATTCAAAGGTTTCTTTGCAGCTGCTGCTTCATCTTCAACAGTTGCCACATAATCCAGCAACCTGGACACCAGCATAACAACCCAACTGATCATGGGAATATCTAGTACTCCTATAAAGGAATGAGAGGGAAAAGAAATATATCCAGTGACTATTAGAGTCCTAATCAGCTCTGATAAACAACTAAGATAAAGTGTTTTGTAAATCTAAAAAAAAATCATATAATTGTTGACCCTAATATTTAACAGGCTGAATCCAACAGATAAATATTTTATAAACTAGAAAACAAGTAATAAGGTGTTACTGTTAAGACTCAAGAGGAGGCCAGCGCTGTGACACAGTGGGTTAATCCCCTGCCTGCAGTGCCGGCATCTCATATGGGCGCCGGGTTCTAGTCCCGACTGCCCCTCTTCCAATACAGCTTTCTGCTTTGGCCTGGGAAAGCAGTGGAAGATGGCCCAAGTGCTTGGCCCCTGCACCCACATGGGAGACCAAAAAGAAGCTCCTGGCTTCTGGCTTCGGATCAGCGCAGCTCCTGCCATTGCAGCCATTTGGGGAGTGAACCAACAGAAGGTAGACCTTTCTCTCTGTCTCTCTGTCTGTAACTCGACCTCTCAAATAAGTAAATAAAATCTTAAAAAAAAAAAAAAAAAAGAGTAGCTGAAAATAAAACCTCTAACTCAACTTACAATTCATATTAGCACTAAACCATGTTTTAAAGATTTAGTCTTACAATTATCTGGTTCAAATGAAACCCATTATTATCACCCAGAACAGTAATTGTGCCTTTTAAAGCATAAACTTTCATAACAGAGTCTGATTTTAGTTATAGAAAAAACATAATGTAACAATATCCAAGTTCAAATAATAAAAATGTAACAGTTTAATAAAGTAGTAACTGTAAGGCACTCAGTTACAGGGAGTGTGCTCATGCTACAAAGTTTACATGATAAAAACAAATGTGCTACAGTGGGTCTGGAGCAAGCATTTCTGAGTACATATTTTATAAAAGCAGTTTATATTGGAATTTTATGTTTTTAGTAAAAAGACTACTACCTTCTGTCCGCCTATGCATGGGTAACTGTGGCTGAAGAGGTGACAATAAATTATCCAGAAGATTCAGTAAGCTTTCTAATACTCCACTATTACTAAGTGATCTCTGACCAATGCAGGAAAGTAACATGAAGACTCTAAAAAACATTAAAAAAAACAAGTAAGATGATGTTAAAATTAGTTTTTCTTAGTTATTAGTTTTAATTACCATTATCAAGAAGAATTCAAACACTTAATGAAGAATGAAATAACTTTACCTTAGACTCAAAAACATTTAACGTATAAAGTAAGAAATACTTAAAAACAGAGACCTACAAATTTCAGGTTCACTACAGAATATAGTTTACTTCTAGCATGTATCATTGCCTTCAATACACTGCTGCTGAACCCGTGGGCATTCCCAAGACCGTCACGAGTCCTGCATCATTTCGCCCACACTTGATATTAACATACACGAGATTTTAAAACCTGAACAATGACTGACACAAACAAGTCACTACTAACAAATATCTTCAATATTTTCTGACCTACCTATCCTGTGGAAAGATGAGAAGCTGCTCTGAATTGTACAATTCCTGAAGAACATTAGAAAGAAACTGACCCCACCATCTTTCACCACCACATAGCTGCACAAGCAGAAGACCAGTGTGTAACCGTATCTTTGGGGTTCCACTAATGCACAAGTGTTTAAAGAGCTCTTCACAGGCCTGGGCATGGAACGTGCTCTGCAAAACTGCAGGAACAGAGTGTCCTATTACAAGAGAGAAAACAGTAAAATTTCCTATTTAAGTTTATGCTGTTGTCACACAATCTGCATACCTAGATATGCCTTCTTCTTTACCAGCAACCAGCAGACAATTATAATCTAGTTAATTTTCTATTTATTTACTTCTTCTATCTAAAAACTCACTGTTAAATATTTGTAGAAGAGCGAATGCTTATATTTCCTGTCTGTGAAGCTGGATGTGTCAGACAGATCTGAGTTTATGGTGGTATTGGGGATTAGAACCTGTGTCAGCGTTGGCGAGTATTCCTGGAATGATCAAAATGGTTGCTAACTAGATTACAACCACACTCTGTTAGGCTGACTATTTATGAAGTCTTCACTGCTGAGTCTTTAACAATACTTACTATTTTGCCATAAATACAATGATATGCATGTCAATAACAAACACAATAAACAAAACCCATCAAAAATCCACTCAAAAGAAAATAAGGAGGAAAAAAATGGGTGATTCTAAGAAGACATTTCATAATCACATTAGAAAGGATACAAAAACAATATACAGAAAATATTAACAAAGAACCTAAAACATGCAACAAAATCACAAATACTCATATATTCCCAGACTTAAAAGTACATAAACCAAATACCAACCACTGGAGGAGTGAAGTAGGCTGAGCAAAGTGTCCAGCAGATATCTGATGATGGTACGTAACTGCTCTGTGGAAGACATCTGAATTAAATCTTCTGGATCTGATGTTTCACTCAACATCTTCCGACTTGAACCGAGAGCCACTTTGAGCCTCTGTACTGCATTATGAGCCAAATTTAGTTGAAGCTGTAGCTGAATACAATCTTGATAAGCAGAAAAAACCCTACTGTCTTCCTCCACTGCCTTGTCTGGTTTTCGCAAAAAGTATTGTGCATTATTAGCACTGTTAAGAGGAGGAAGGTCAATACTTTGCAAAAGAGCTTCTAGACGATGACAAGCCAAGTTGTACCTGTAAGCAAGAAATAAATGAATAAACTAATTCCTGCAAATTCCCGTGATATACATGTACATACCAGCAACTAAATTTCTAAAATATGTCAATATACAACTGTTAAAAAAGAATTATTCAATTTTAAGTATTAATAAATGCAGTTAATTATTTAATCACAGTATTTCCACACATTAAGTATTATTACTGTGATATGCTACTGCCCAACTTCCTTTTGCTTGTTTCCATAAAGTTATAAAAAGACATTTTTTTACAAAAATACAAGTATAAAACTATATAAAAAATACAGTTTTGACAGAATTACAACACATTCGTAATTTTCTACTAACCGGCATTGTATATCCTCCTGTAGAGCAACCATCATCGTTAAATGCTGATCAATTTCTGGCTGGTTTGCAGATTCTCCTTCTCCCCTTAGAGGATCATGCATTAATTTCAGTTCACTTTCCCAAGGCAAGATATACGTATGACCATAGTAAAATCCTAAAGGAATTTTGGCTCTTGCATTGGTACTGCCGTAACGTCCAATGACAGTGATCTGAAATGAGAATGTGTAACTATACACACAAATCTGCCACAATAAAAATCTGAGCAATGTATTCAGATACAATATACAGTTTAATTCTTATATACTCAAGTATTTTTCATGAGTTTGTCACAAACATAGAAATCATCCATTTCCTCAAAGTAATTTACCTTCATGAATCTGCACACAGGAGGTGGTATTAAGTCATGAAGAATTAGTGAATGAGTACTTATATCAGTGGCCACTACCAACCGCCTTCCATCCATCTCTTCTCCTAATGTCCAAATGTCAATTGACAAAGAAGCCAAGTCACCACAAGTTGGAATCAACACATCTGTCAACAGTATTGATTTGCCAAAATCTAAAGTCACAAATCTCCTTGCTCCTATGAGAGAAACAGTTCATAAAAAACATTTCAATCAAATGATGCATCAAAAGCTGTTCAGAGTACTCATTATAAAATATGAAACCCATGGTGTCAGCACTTGTGGCATAGCAGTTAAGTCATTGCCTGCAATGCCACAATATATAGGCACTGGTGTGAGTCCTGGCTGGTCTATTTCCAATCCAGCTCCCTGCTAATGTGCCTGGGAAAGCAACAGAATATGCCCCATGTGTTTGGGCCACTGCACCAAGAGGGAGTCTGGGATGAAGTTCCTGGCTCCTTAGTTAGGTCAAGCCCAACCCTGGCTGCCATGGCCATTTGGAGAGTCAATCAGCGGACGGCAAATCTTTCTCTCTCCCCCTCCGTCTGTCTATCCCACTCTAAATCTGCCTTTCAACTTTAAAAAAAAAAATCTTAAAAAAAAAAAAAATAAAGAAACCCACTTTTAAAGTACAGGACAGAAAAATTACAATCAATCAATTAAAGTACAGGACAGAAAAATTAAACCGTAAGCTTCATTCACAACATTAGAGCATAAAAAATTAGATCACCAAAAGTAGTACATAATAAGTTAAATCTGTAAGTACTAATCTGCTCTCCTTTCAACAGTGGACATTACTTTTCTCAGTTTGACAACCAGATACAGTAAAGATATCAAACTGTATTATTTGACTTTAGCTTTCTTTAAGCTCTATTAAATTTCTTGTGGAATTGTACATTGTATTGGGGTTAAGATGCAAAATCAGTTTGTGTCTAAAAATCACACATAATGAACTACAACTAAAAATGCCTTGAAAAGGCCCTCAAAGGGAAAAACACATATCTCAATGTTTTCCCCAAAATGGGCACATCACTGTCTTTTTAGCTCTGCAAAATAAAAGAACCAAGAGATCTACAGCTCTCATTTCACATATGTTAAAAGGCTAAGTTTGGAGCTGGTGCTGTGGCATAGTAGGCTAAACCTCTGCCTGTGGCACTGGCATGCCTTCTGAGTGCCAGTTGGTGTTCCTGCTGTTTCTCTCCTGATCTGGCTCTCTGCTATGGCCTGGGAAAGCAGTAGAAGATGGCCCAAATGCTTAGGCCCCAGCACCAGCGGGGGAGACCTGGAAGAAGCTCCTGGCCCCTGACTTTAGATCGGCCCAGCTCTAGCTGCTGCAGAATCGGGGGATGGAAGGCCTTGTTCCCTGTCTCACACTCTCTCTAACTCTACATCTCAAATAAGTAAATATAATCTTAAAAAACAAAAACCAAAAAAAGGCCAAGTTCAATTAGTGAAACAGAGGGCAGATCATTAATAATATCATAATTCTTTTTATTTTTCATTGCATTGGGGTGACGGGCAGCTAGTAATCTTTCCAGTTACATTTTACAGTGAAGGAAAACAACTAAACTTCTAAGAATAGTGCTATTTTTGATGGAGCAATTTTGAAAGAAAACAAGGCAGTTACTAAAACTCTCATAAACAGAAATACTACTAAACAACAAACAAAGAACATGGCTCTCCTCCTCAAGGGCCTTAAGGGCCACAGTCTTTTGATTACATGGATAAAATAACCAAACTGCAGTATAAACAACTATTCAGATTTCCAAAGGCTACAGAACCACAAATTTTCACTCTAAATGATATAACCATTAATGGAGTTGCCAATCAATGATAAGATGGACATAAAATACAACATTTATTTCATTATTTGTCAAATTCCTTTTTCCAAATAAGGAAACATCCCACTGCAATAAAGCAATTATGGTTTAATAACGAAAAGTGCTACAAGTCTCTAGCCATGCCATTTCCCTAAGGATTTTGTTGAATTCTACTCCTGCTCAAGCATAGAACAGTTGGTAGGATTATAAGCTAAAAACTGTCTATTATCTATTCACAAATGTGTTCTAAATGAAAGCACCTATCCTAGTCACAATTCTCCAGCATATACGCGCAAGATTAACCTAGGTAAAATTTAAACTACCCAGAAACCCTGAGTGTTTTTAATATTACTCATCTATCTCAGTTTAAGAAATAGCAGTTCTGTCTGCTATTCACAAGAAATGCTTATACTACATGAATGCCAGTTTTAGGAAAACCTACTTGAGTCTCCATGAAATGGAGGCAGATATATACATCCTCATTACTTCAACAACTATGCCATGTACTCTCTAACTAGGGTTGAGCAAACATGCTTAACAGCACTCTTCAATTCTCCTTGGTGAGCAAAGAGCTCAAGCCTTACATAGTGTTCATACCTCGAATCCAACAGCAAATGTGATTTATTTGCAAAAGAAAGTCAAACTAAAGAATGATAATTTTTAATAGGGCCAGCAGGCTGGGCAGGAAAATATCTGATGAAAGTCAAAGATTACCTGAATGCATTCGCTCTATAATGATGGACTGGTGAGGTGGAGGCTGAAGAAAATGTGATGCGTGAGAAATTGCAAGGGCTAGACCAGAACCAAGAGGATTCTAGAAAAGAAAAGAGTATAATTCTACATTGATATTACCCTTGTTCTATAAAAATTACCAATGCTACCTAATTAACAAGTCTCATTTCCTGATATATATTCTGTAGCATTATATTTTATAAATATGATTTGATATATAGAGATACAGAGAAAGTTACAAGACAATTTTGCCTTCTAAAGTTAGTTTATTTCACATATTTTTTAATGTCTAGGGCAACACCTTTTTAAAACATAATTTACCATTCTGGACTTGTTGGAATTTTTGTTATGTGCAGCAAGATTGACTGTTGGGGGATCAATGACTGAGCCTGGGAAAAGTTGTGCAAGTTCGGCATTAATCACAACGGACACTGCTTCATTGGGTGGAGTGAGTGGTGGAGTCATAAAAAGTGGTGTTGTTTTTGGAGTGGGTGGAATAACATCAGATGGATGAATGAAGAATCCAGGGGCAGCCACTGGGTTGGAAGGCACAGAGTTGTGAACAGGACCTACTGCTGATGCTGCTGACGCTGCTGCAGCTGCTGCAGCTGTTGTCTGATGTAACTTGGCTTCCAGCTTTGCTTTCTGTAAAAGAAGTAAAAGCAACATATATAGACTAATCCTGCCTACCTACTTTGTGAGGAATACTACATGGGCATATATTACGAAGAGAAACACAAGTAACTAGAACCTAATTACACAAAAAGATAAATCAAAACTGGACTCAGCATAAGTGGAACATTACTTTGTTACATGTACTTCTTTAAAAATTGAATATGAAATTTCCTGTGTAACTGAGAACTTTTCTCAATTCAAAGGTAAAAATGAAGCAGAACGATTAAATGTGAAAAAGGAAGCAAAGTTCTGCTCACAACAAAATATTAAAAGAAGGTGGATTCTTGTGTTGATTAACCTGACATAATTTTGTCACCTGCATTTGCCACAGACTGTATTTAGACACCAATGAAACCTACAAAACATCTGATGCGATTATTAAATTTTAACGCGTGAATTTAACAGGGCTTTAAAGTATTGTTTTGGCTTGTACACTCCAAATGAATAGTAAGAGGTAATATTTGATCAGGAGTATTTAAACAGAGAATGGATTTTAATTGAAGACTCCACAAAAAAGCATTAATGAAATTCCCTCAAATATGTATCAACTAAAATGCATTCATGTAAGTTAAACAAGTTTAAATATATCACAAAGACTTTACCTCAATTTTTGTTGAAAATGATTAGCTCAGATGGGTCAACCTATTTTCCTTTATGAAAATAACGGTCATTTTATAGTACTTTTTCAGCTTTTGCAGTTTAGAGACAGCATGAACAAAGAGCCAAATAGTCTCCAACCTGTTGCTGAAGCTTCAAAAGCTGCTGCTGTTTCTCTTGCAGCACCTGCAGCTGTTGCTCGGCTGAAGCCATTGCATGAGAGAGAGACTGCAAAGCTACCTGGGCTGCTGAACTCAGGGCTGTCGAGGCTTCCCCAACTGTCCCAGATGATAGTCCACCTACTGCAGGAGTAACCCCGAAGGAACTCACTGGCATAAGACAAGAGGAAAACAAAACAAAACATACCAGGATGAAGAGAAGGTGCAAAAAGAAACATTCAAGGCACAGTACTTTAACACTAAAACTATGGTTAATTTTCATTTTACAAAAGGAATCCAGTGATTACAGAAAAAGAAACCTTAATGGCTGTTTCATTCTATAAAAGCACCCAAAATAGTTGGGCCTGGTCTCTTACACAGATAGCAGGGTCTCCCACACAGGTGGCAGAGACCCAACTACTTAAGCTATCATCCGCTACCTTCCAGGATATACATCAGCAGGGAGCCAGAAATTTCAAGTAGAGCCAGGACTTGAGACCAGGCCCTCCAATACAGCATGCAGTTGTCCCAAGTGGTGTCATAATCACTGTGCTAATGTACACCACCAAGAATGACTTTGCAAGCAAATAAAAATTAGCCAGTATATTTTTGAATTTATGAGTAATTTCAATTAATAAAAACTTTCACTTAATTTTATTAAAATGAGAATAATTTTATACAATCTAAGTGTAAGAAATTAGTGTTTACTAAGCTTTTGTACAACAACAATATGCCCCTTTACACACAAACAAGATCCAAAAGACCCTTAATTTTAAGAACATCATTCAAAAAGATAAATGACACTCATTCTCTTTTTTTTTTTTTTTTTTTGACAGGCAGAGTGGACAGTGAGAGAGAGAGACAGAGAGAAAGGTCTTCCTTTGCCGTTGGTTCACCCTCCAATGGCCGCCGCGGCCGGCGCGCTGCGGCCGGCGTACCGCGCTGATCCGATGGCAGGAGCCAGGAGCCAGGTGCTTCTCCTGGTCTCCCATGGGGTGCAGGGCCCAAGCACCTGGGCCATCCTCCACTGCACTCCCTGGCCACAGCAGAGGGCTGGCCTGGAAGAGGGGCAACCGGGACAGAATCCGGCGCCCCGACCGGGACTAGAACCCGGTGTGCCGGCGCCGCTAGGCGGAGGATTAGCCTAGTGAGCCGCGGCGCCGGCCTTCATTTCTCATTTTGAAATACAGTTTAGACCAGGGATCAGTAACATCCAGCCCACAAAATCATTCGGTCTGGCCCTGCCAAGGCTACAACAGGCAGGACTCAAAATTCAGTAAATCTATAGTAGGCTAATTTTTAAGTTGATAATTTTGTATGGCCTGCAAATGATGTTATAAAAAATCGAAATGGCCCTTAGTAGAAAAAAGGCCCCTACTTTGATCTGGATGAATATAAAGACTGCGCAGAATATATAAAGCAACGTTTCCTACTATATGCACCCAGAACTCTAAGTAAAGAAGCATGCTTCGCACATGGCCAAATTTAGCACACAGCTTAGCCATAAACATTATCAAAAACGACTCTATGAAATTCTACAAAGAAATTTCTTTTATCTTCCTCTTCAATGACAGTCAAAATCAAATTTCAAAAGCAGCATCTTCCCCTAAATATTTACAAAATATCATATGGAGGGCCGGAGCCACGGCTCACTAGGCTAATCCTCCGCCTTGCGGCGCCGGCACACCGGGTTCTAGTCCCAGTCGGGGCGCCGGATTCTGTCCCGGTTGCCCCTCTTCCAGGCCAGCTCTCTACTGTGGCCAGGGAGTGCAGTGGAGGATGGTCCAAGTGCTTGGGCCCTGCACCCCATGGGAGACCAGGAGAAGCACCTGGCTCCTGCCATCGGATCAGCACGGTGCGCTGGCTGCAGCGCGCCGGCCGCGGCGGTCATTGGAGGGTGAACCAATGGCAAAGGAAGACCTTTCCCTCTGTCTCTCTCTCTCACTGTCCACTCTGCCTGTCAAAAAAAATAAATAAATAAAAAATCATCATATGGAAAAATCTGAGATAAAAACTTAATTTCACAACTTAAGATTTATTTACTTATTTGAAAGAGAGAGAGAGAGAGGGAACGAGAAGATGGAGAGGTGGAGGGGGAGATATCTTCCATTTGCTGGATCTCCTCAAATGGCTCTAACAGCTATGGCTGCACCAGACTGAAGCCAGGAGCCAGAATTCTTATCTAAAACGCCCATATGGTAGCAGGGACTCAAGTGCTTGAGCTATCACCTACTGCTTCCCAGCCACATTACCAGGATACCTCTGGGGAATCAGAGTGGCTGGGACTCAATAAGGAATGTGGGCACCCTAAGCAGCAGTGTAACCCCCTCACCACAATGTCCACCCCTCACAACTTAATTACTAACAAGGCAGCATAAAACCAAAGGCGGGGACAAATCTGATGGCAGAATTAATATTTATACAGTAACAGGTCTTTACTGCAAGTTCCACTGGGAAAAGGTGGCCGCTACGCTAACAGCCAACAATCAGTGTACACTATCATGTGACACTGTTTTAATAATTTACTGAAGTCAACAAATGAATAACCTTATGGGCCAGATAACATGTGTTCCTTTTTAGGTTGATTAAGTAAAGAATGGCTCAGAGAAGTTACCCTAGAAAGCCCATAGTGTGACGTGGTATGAGAACCAAGGACACAGGCAGGCATTTGGTGCAGTGGTTAAGATACTGCTTGGGTAGATGGGCCAAGTCCTCAGGTCCCTGCACCTGCATCAAGACCCAGAAGTAGCTCCTGGCTCCAGGCTTTGGATTGGCCCAGCTCTGACCATTGCAGCCATCTGGGGAGTCAACTAGTGGACAGAAGACCCCCGTCTCCCCCACCTCTCTGTAACACTACTTTTTAAATAAATAAATAAATCTTTCGAAAAAAAAAATACTGCTTGGGACACCAGCATTCCATACCGGACTGTCTGGGTTAAAATCCTGCCTCCATTCCTGATTCCAGCTTTCTGTTAATGTACACCCTAGGAGGCAACAGGTGATGGCTCAAGTAGTTGGGTACCTGCCACTCATGTTGGGGACCAGACTGAGTTACAGGCTCCTGGCTTCAGCCTGGTCTGGCCTGTTGCAAGCACTCAGGGAGTAACCAGAGGATAGGAGATATTTATTTCTCTCTTTCTCTGCCTTTTGAAAAAGAACGAACCCAGGGCTGCATGAAGACAAATTCCGTGCAAAATACAATGCTAAGTGCTAAATTTATATCATCTTAATTGAATGTTTGCAATAAAGCACTATATACTATTTAGGCAATTTATTCCTAACATTATAATTGTATGTATTACCAATAATCATAATCTACCATATAGATAATTAAATTAGAGGAGAAGGAAACAAAGGTGATTTGCTCATAGTGAAAAGGGGAAAAATTCAGGCACTTGCAATCTGTCTTTGTAACACTAACAAGTGTTATTTCAAAAAAGTATAAAGAGAAAGTTAAAAGGTTAAAGTCATTTTTCAGTACCATATGATCACCAATCAGGACGCTACTCTAATGTTTACTAAAAACCTCTACCTACTTTTAGGGTGGGCAGACTACAGAAGACATTGCTTGAAAAGTACAGACTACCTCTGGAAAGACAAGAAATTAGCTCCAATACATCCTTTGCAGGAGAGTAAATGGGTAGAAAGTATCAAGGAATACTTTTTCAAACAAATTTTTATCTTTAAAACTTTCTTTTACCTTCTGAAGGTATGATTTACTTTGGACACAAACATTTTCTTGAAATAAAGATTTAAATCCTGGATACTTACTGTCATTATAATTACCACAAAAGAGCCTGATTGATAACTAGTTTTCTTAAAGTTTAATCTCTTTGACAAATAACTGTTAATAGTTCAAGAAAAGAAACACAAATTAATTCTGACCCTTCTATAATCTATATACTTCAAAAAATTAAATTTTAATTTAAATTGGCAATCTTTACTACCTAAGTTATACATTTCAATTAGTGGTTATGCCTATAACTGAAAAATACTAGGAAATTCATAATAAAAAGGCACCAAAATAAGGAACTGATTAATTCCTTTTCTAAAAGCCTCTTGTAATTCTAGAACCAAGTACAAGATTAAATTTTCCATGATTTCTCATATGCAAACTGCATTTTCTTTTTATTAAAATGTTGAAGAGAATAAATTGCCACCTGTTTACACAAAACCACCAAGGGCACAATCAGTTAAAGACAATCAAACCCTTCAGAGATTATAATGTAAACATAAAACCACATACCATTATTCTTATCAATTTCAATTATTTGTGCCACAATAGAATCAACTGCAAGTAAACAGTAATCTTATAGTGTGGGATAAAAAAATTACACAACACAAAACACAGAAAATTAATAAGATTTTCCACAGATTGTCAAAACTTAAATGTAAGTGCAATGTTTTCAAAACATCAGCACCACCACATACACAGCACAGTCAAGGACTACTTTAGATATCAAAAAGCTGCTTTAAACCAGTTGGAAAAACATCATTCCCTATTTATTCATCTCAACTTGTTCATAAACATTACCAACTATACCATTAATTTTAAATTCAAGAAACATCTTTATGATGCCAACAGTAGACACAGTGTGGACAGAACACAACTGGCCGCCAGCTGGTGACTGTTGACGGTGAGCAATGGAAACATAAGTGTATTTTAATTTTGCATTCCATTTCTTTCTGCTTGTTATTTTTCAAATTAAAGTTTCTAAGAAGGTATACACAGAGAAACAGAACGATTTAAGACGATGCTCTTGTGGGTAGAGGGTGGGAAGTGGGGTACCGATGACATGATGTAAAACCTTTTATCCTCCCCCTAAAACGCTCTCCCATGAATACACTTCCACTACACACAATAGCAATGAAACTGAGATTATAAGCTGATATCTCAATACTTACATATTCCTGTCTTACCAAGGAAAGTGTAATAAAAGGAGGTATATACCAGTAAACGTACTTGCATCATCCCTTTCTATTCGGGTTCCGTCACTAGTGGACACACAAGTAAAGTGCAGTGGTTCAACTTCCAGGAGTCCAGTGAGAGATGTGAAACTACCCTCAGCAGCCGTGCAACTGCTGACCTTTCCGCTCCCTAGAACAGAAAAAAGACCAGTCTCAGACTATGTGCAGAGAGTCCTTAAAAGCCAAGTCATATTGGTAATGTTAACAGCTACTCCAATTATAATTAGAAATATATAAACACATAAAAAAAAGGAAAAGAAAAAGTCCTCGAAAGAGGAAGGAACATGGCACATTTGAGGAAACGAAAGAATAGTATGACTAGAAAACAGTTCTTGATCCTAAGATCCCTCCACGTATTTTCAAATATTACCAACTCCAACAAGCTTTTATTCACATTATTGATGCATACACTGATATTTACAACAATAGTAATGTTAAAATGAGAAAAAAAAATGTAAATTACATCATGTAGGGGCAGGCACTGTGGCATAGTGGGTTAAGCCACCTATCATGACACCTGCATCCAGTATCAGGTTCAAATCCCTGCTCCTCCACTTCAAATCAAGCTTCTTATTAATGTGCCCAGAAAGGTAACAGAGGATGACCCAAATCAGAGACCAGGATACAGTTTCCAGTTCCTGGCTTCAGCCTGGCTCAGACCCAGCTGTTGCAGGAATCTGGGGAAATGAATTAGCAGATCAAAGAACTCTCTCTTCTTCCCCTCTCTTACTGTCACTCTGCATTTCAAATAAATAAAAAAATCTTTTGGGCCAGCATCTTGGCATCCCAGCTGCTCCACTCTTGATCCAGCTCCCTGATAATGTGCTGGGAAAGCAGTGGAAAATGGCCCAGGTCCTTGGACCCCTGCACCCTCGTGGGAGAACTGGATGAAACTCCTGGTTCCTGGTTTCAGACTAGCCCAGCTGCAGCTGTTGTGGCCATCTGGGGAGTGAACCAGTGGATGGAATATATCTTTCTTCCTTTCTTTATGTAACTTTGCCTGTCCAATAAATACATAAATCTTTAAAAAAAAAAAAAGAAATAAGGCTATTTATTTTAAATATACTTCAACTTATAAAATAACTATTACCTAAAACAAAAATAATTTAGTAAGAGTGGCACTGTTTTTCCCTATTTGCAAATCTCTTTAAAATCTAGTTTATCAGAGGATCACAGTAGTCTCCTTTCTGCCTCTGCATTCAGTGTGGGTTTTCATGCACACTTTGATAGAAATGTGTGGAGTTGGGAGAAGTATTTTAATCATCAAGCATATTCTAAAACTTGACAAGTGATTTGCTTCTTTTATTTTTAACTTTTACTTAATAAATATAAATTTCCAAAGTACAGCTTTTGGATTATAGTGGCTTTCTCCCCCCTCCCCCTCCTACCCACAACCATCCCATCTCCCACTCCCTCTCCCATCCCATTCTTCATCAAGGTTCATTTTCGATTATCTTTATATACAGAAGATCAACTTAGTATATATTAAGATTTCAACAGTTTGTACCCATGCAGAAACACAAAGTATAAAGTACTGTTTGAGTACTAGTTATACTGTTAATTCACACAAAAGTTAGTTACAATGTGGCATCTCTGAAATTTTAGAAATGAATTGATCAAACTCTGTTACATTAAGATCAATTGGTGTAGTTTTAAGGAATCTTTTCCCTATGCACAATGACAAAACACTATATGGAAAATATTGGATCACCGCTTCCCAATGTTAACATTTCATTATTATCATTCCATCATAATCCATCACAAAAATCTTTACATGCCAGGAAGCCATCAAGCTCACTATAGAAGACACATCTTTTCCAAAATTATAATTTTTGCTTAAAAACTCCACTTTTAACATTGGAAAACTCCCAAAGCAGGTTATTTTTATTCTAAGAAAATGTCTGCCAAATAACCACGTCATCTTAATGAGCATAGCTTTGTCTGCCACCCATTCTTTTTTTTTTTTTTTTAATAAAGATTTATTTATGCAGTTTCAAATAGTTACAGAGGGAGGGGGAGAGCCAAAGAGCAAAGGAGAAAGTGGAAGGGAGAGCGAGAGAGAAATTGATCTTCCATCTACTAGTTCACTCTCCAGATGGTCACAACAACCAGCAGTAGGCCAGGCCAGAGCTAGGAACTTCTTCGAGGTCTCCCAAGTGGGTGACAGGGGCCCCAACACTTAGGCCATCTTGCACTGCTTTCCCAGGCCATTAGCAGGGATCTCAATCACAAGTGGAACAGCTCAGACACTACTGGCCCTGTCAACCATTCTTGCAAATAAAAATGTGCCCCTTGCCACAAGCATCTTGTTCGTCTCGGAACCCTAACAAGTGCAAAAATTTAGTTCCCTGAAAGAACCGCAGTACACAGCATGCAAAAGTTTTTTGTCCATATTTACCATTTTATCATGGAATATTTGGGAGAGGTGTACTAATGTTTGCAAAATCTAATAAAATTAGTCATATTTTTAACTTTTTATTTACATGTAATACCTGTACATTTCTATGGGGTATAGTCTAGTACTTCTACACATTTATATAGCACAAACTGATCAAATCAGAAAATTTCCATTTCCATATCTTTGTATCTGGAGCCTAACAGTCTCCTTGCCAGCTGTCTGCACAGTGTATAACAACACAGCAATGTGAACTACTCAGCCATGCACTCTGGAACACTTAGAACCTACTAACTCTAAGTGTGCTTTTTTTTGGCTCTCCTTACCTAGCCTTCATGTAACCTCGGACCACCCACAAAATTAGTAATTTTTACTGTTTCATCATGGACATTTAAATGAAACTGATATATTTTAATTTCAAATGCATAGTAAGGAACACACTTTTTGCACAATCAGTACAATTATCGATGCAAATAGGCATTGATCAAGACAAGTACATCCTACTATCGGAAAAATACTTCTGACTCCAAAGATCCCCTGAAGGGTCTCAGGAACCATAAGGAATCTACTGACCACACTATGAGAATCACTGGTCTAAGGAAAGGAAAATAAGAGACAAATGGCACAATACTAAGGGTGAAGGAAAGAAGGTCAAATCACAGAGGATTTTATATGGCACATGAGAGACTTAGAACTTCAGCATAATAGAAAGCCATGAAAATGTATCTTAAGAAGAGAGGCTGAGACATTAGGTTTGCATCCAAAAGAAAACCACCCTCGCTGCAATGTGGAAAATGCTTTGAAGCAGAGCAACAACAGACAGCAAAAGACCAGAACAAAAATTACTACTATTGTGCAGGTTCAAGGTGGCTGTGGCTGGACTGTAATTGTGTGAATGACCAGGAGAGGTAAGAGTAAGCACGTGTAAAACATACAAAGGAAAAACAAGTAGGATCTGGAAACAGGCTCCATATGGAGCACAAGAGAGACGCAAGTCGAAGCATCAGGGTGACATTTAGTCAGTGAACACAAGCAGTAACAGACACACTCAAGGCAACATAAGTCATTAAAAGCAAGTATGATCTCTTTGAATAAAATCTTTACTGTGTGTTGCAAATGAGTTGGAATAACTAAACATCCAATGAATGCCGGTAATGTCACAGGGGCAAAGGGCAGAGCTGAGGCATTTTACATTTCTACATTTGATATCTATGCTTTGCTTTTTTCACAATTCATTATTTAAAAAAAAAAACATTAACTTTCAAAATTTACATTTGCTGTGGCAGTTATCTTAATGTACTTAAAAATAAATTTTATAACATTTTTGTTTACTAGCAATACTTGGCAATAAGTACATTTGGATGACAAAAATAAAATAGCCACTACTTAACTGAAAATAACTAAAAATTCTAGCACTTGAAAAGATACTACATAGTGTTACAGAGAAACCTAAAGCCTTAAAAATTTGTAGGATACATATAATGAATACAAAGCTTAACCTCAGAAAGTGATAGCAGATGGAGAAGTTCTTTTCATTCTCTACTCTTGCTTATGATAGTAAGTTTATATCAATTTTACATTTTTAAACTAAAAAACAACTTTGTAGAATCAGCAAAAAGACATCATATGAAAATGCAAAGGCTACAATTTTAAAGTTTTTTATAAGCAAATTAAAGTCACAGATATGCAGTGAAAAATAAAAAAATGAAATAAATTCACAACCATTTAAGATAACCTTAATATACCGTTATTTTGATTAGAGCAGCAAGGGAGAAGAAGTTAAGATAAATGGTTTAATGACGGATAGAGGTTAAGTTTTAAAGAACATTAGTTCTCCAAAGACAAAATACAGTAACTATAACCTCATAAAATAAATGGTAACTTAAACTCAAGATAAAACATTCATAAATTCCTTTAATTAAAGAAGTCACTACCTGAAAGGACATCTGACAAATCAATTTCGTCTGACTGGACACCAATGCTGCTGTTGTATACATTTTTACAGGAAGAGCCACTCATCTCCAAATCAAAGAGGACCGGATCAAATGGCGAGCTATATAACCCATATCTGAAAAACAAAGCAACGTACTAAGCAATTTCCCATCAGCCATCTAACTAACAAATTACTAATATATACTTAGTTTTAAAAGCAGTCTAGGGGCCGGTGTTGTGGTATAGTAAGTTAAGCCTCTGCCTGGGGATCCCATATGGGTGCCAGTTCTTGTCCTGGCTGTTTCTCTTCCAATCCAGCTCCCTTATGGCCTGGGAAAGCAGTGACTCAACTACTTGGGCCCCTCCCCCTACATGGGAGACCCAGAAAAAACTCTTGGCTCCTGGCTTCAAATTGGCCCAGCTCCAGCAGTTTAGGCCACTTGCGGAGTAAACGAGCGGATGGAAGACTTCTCTCTCTGTCTGTCCCTCTGTCTCTAACTCTGCCTCCCAAATAAATAAATCTTTTTTTAAAAAGGAAAAGGAAAAAAAAAGCAGTCTAACAGGGCAGAGGAAGATTCTAACCAGATTTAGCTGACATAACAAGTGTTTTCTCTATAATTGATACCACAAAAAAGACACTGTCCAGAGACTCCACAATTGTGACTCTGAGTCCAATAAGCTTGCAGCTAATATACTAAGACTGCCCCCTGCAGACCAAAGGACACGAGGGCTACCAGGTGCTTGCTTCTGCCTCCCCTTCCTTCATCATTACAAGGACACAATTAGCACAAAGGCTTTGAGTAAAATCTCATTGAAATCATGATTTCTAATCTAATTAGAAAATCACTATTCTAAATAGAGGAATACTCTATTTTAAACACTGAAGGTCAGGCAACATATCAAATCTAACCTGTTTCTGTTTCTTAGGGCATTTTCATCAGAAAAATACAGTTAATTTACTTACTGCGATTCCACCTATAAAGTTGCCATAATAAATAGGTTCTAATATTTATTCCATTAGCAAAGAATGCCATTCTAAGAATTAAATATAATTTCCCCAGAATAAAATTTGTCTTCAAGACTTCTCAAATTGTCAGAGAATAGTTTTAGAGAAAATTAAAAAAAAGAAAATCTTATATTAGTATCATTTGTAAAAAGGTAAAGCATAAACCAAACATATTTTTGAAGAAAAACAGTGTATTAAGCGTATTTATGAAGTAATGGTCCTGTGCAAAGGTGGCATCACTTTATGCATATTACAATACCTTGTTTGAAGTAAGGCCTCCATTGGCGTTAGCCTGTCCTGTAACTGTCTGGACACAGCAGTAAGCAAAGATGCACAAGCTGTACTGCACCCAGCCAAATCTTCATCTTTAACATAATTCAACAGGACAAAATACCAATAGACAGAACCTAGAAAACAACAATAAAAACATTTCTGTTTCTTCTTTGTCCTCTAACACACAGAACTGCAGGTACATATTTGTTAGTATACCAACTTCTGTTAAAAAAAAAAACAACTCCCTTTTCTGGAAAGAAAATCTTTAAAGGCAACTTACAAAAAAGGACAAATCCTTTGAAGGGATCAAAGATAACACAGAAAAGCCAGCATTGTGGCGTGGGGGATAAAGCTGCCACCTGTGCTGCAGGCAGTCCATATGGGTGCTGATTTGTGCCCCAGCTGCTCCACTTAAGATCCAGTTCCCTGCTAATGGCTAGGAAGGGCAGAGGAAGATGGCCCAAGTGCATCTGCCATCCACATGAGACACCCAGGTGAAACTCCAATCTTGGTTTTGGCCTGGCTCAGCCCTGGCCGGTGCAGCCACTTGGAGAATGAACCGACAGACAGAAGACCTATCTCTCTCTCTGTAACTCTACCTCTTAAATAAATAAATAAATAAATCTGTTATTTTTTAAAAGTGGGATATGGATTTCTATGAAGTACATCCTACTATATTTTCTTACATTGAGAATTTCAGACTTATTCTGAGAGCTGTATCAAGTCAACATAGGCATTTAGATGTAAGTTAATGTGAGATGACTTTAAGGGACACTTTATAATAGCTGGAAAATTAAGAGACTACAGGTCCTTTAAGTCATCCTTCCAGAAATACTGCATGTATATGCTAAGATTTTCCATACCAATGGATGGCAGTGAGCTTCAAACACTACAATTTAGCAAGTGCATGAGTAGAGTTATTCTATACTGCCAGATATAAAACATGGCTTCAAAGATGAATCATGCTGGTATGTATTCAACTTGAGATGTCTTAACTATAAATACATCCCAGAATTTAAGCATCTTGCCTCTAAAACTATCCTCAAGAAACTGAAACATGAAAAACTGTTACAGTGAGCAACTGAGTCTAAAACATGCTACTCTACATTTATATAATAGTAGTATGTTCAAAGTAAAAATGCTCTATAAAACTATAAAATAATCATTTATCAATTGAGAAACAATTTTTTCAAGTTTACTTCAAAGATCCTTGTGAATTTATATCTCATTGAGATAAGTTTTAGAATGGATCAGCTATCTGTAAAACAGAAGATGGTGAGAAATGTATATTTAAAAATAACATTAGATTTATCTTGACTTGATTAACTACATTCGTTCTTGAGAGGCATTTCCATGGACTCTTTGGGCATTAATAAAAACCACATTCCCTTTTAGGGAATTCCAGTTTGCCACAGTTATCTGGAGTCAAACATACTATACATATATGCAAGAAAACTGGGATGATTATACTTCCTTATGTCATCTACCTGGTACTTGTGGGAATATCCATTTGTGCATCTGATCTACAGCCAGGAAATAACCAACCAATTCAAAGATTTTAAAGAACACATATGAATTAAGAAGACTTGATGTTCACTTAACTGTCCCTTTAACCTTTCCTAGGAATATTACTGAAATGGAATATATGTCCACCTAACTTTAGTTTATCAACCCCTTTGAAAAACAGAGATAAGCTAGCTACAGAATAAAATGGGCCTAATAGAAAAAAAGAGACACTAAATAATCCCCACTCTAATTGTCTGACATGTTCTATCACTACAGCTATTTGTGATTAAATGTACATACCTCCAGTTGCTGCTGCAGGCAAAAATGCCATGTTATCAAGTAAAGCCTTCAAAAGAACAGATCCAAATCCTGGCTGACATGGGTCACATTTGCCATTACTGAAAAAAATTAAGCAAGAAAAATTTCAAAGACATTCTTCAATCTCAAACCTAGCATACTACTATAAAATATTCATTTGATTACAGGAAAAATCTGGCTTGAATATATATATATATATATTTTACAATAATCATTATAAATATTATGGGTTAAACCACTTTACTAAAAAGGGCTAACAAGTAAATAAAATCAATAATAACCATGAGCTGTTAAACACTTATTGGACAGCTTTAGTTTCAAGATTCAGAGAAAATGATTTGTAAAATGTTATAGAAGCCGGCGCCGCGGCTCACTAGGCTAATCCTCCACCTTGCGGCGCCGGCACACTGGGTTCTAGTCCCGGTCAGGGCGCCGGATTCTGTCCCGGTTGCCCCTCTTCCAGGCCAGCTCTCTGCTGTGGCCCGGGACCCTGCACCTCATGGGAGACCAGGAGAAGCACCTGGCTCCTGCCATCGGATCAGCGCGGTGCGCCGGCCGCAGCGCAACGGCCGTGGTGGCCATTGGAGGGTGAACCTTTTTCTCTGTCTCTCTCTCTCTCTGTCCAACCTGCCTGTCAAAAAAAAAATTAAAAAAAAAAAAAATGTTACAGAAAAGTCCAATAAGATGGCTATCTGGGCTATTTTTAAATCCTATGAAATATGTGATAAAAGATAAGTTTATTTAGTTGCAAAATAATTTTGAAGTTCATGTCTATGAGGGATCTTCAAGCTCATGAAATACGCATTCATGCGTTCCAAACTCACTTTTTAACAATAATGGTACATACTTATGGGATACAGTGGGATATTTCAATTCAGGTATACAATGTGTACTGATCAAAATGTTGATAATCAACATTTCCCCTCCTATGACATTACTTTATGAAGGCAAACTCCTAGTGTATACTGTATGAACAAGTAGAAGAAAGAAACTAAAGCTTCTTTGCACCAAAATAAATGTCGTTTTTTTTTTTTAAAGCTTCTGAGGTGTCTTGAGCTGGCATCCACTTTATTTATTTATTTATTTATTTATTTTCGACAGGCAGAGTGGACAGAGAGAGAGAGAGAGACAGAAAGGTCTTCCCCCTCCGTTGCTTCACCCCTCAATGGCCGCTGCGGCCGGCGCACCGAGCTGATCCGATGGCAGGAGCCAGGTGCTTCTCCTGGTCTCCCATGCGGGTGCAGGGCCCAAGTACCTGGGCCATCCTCCACTGCACTCCCTGGCCACAGCAGAGAGCTGGCCTGGAAGAGGGGCAACCGGGACAGAATCCGGCACCCTGACCGGTACCAGAACCCGGGGTGCCAGTGCCGCAGGCTGAGGATTAGCCTATTGAGCCACGGTGCCGGCCATAAATGTCTTTTTTTTTTTTTTTTTAATTTTTGACAGGCAGAGTGGACAGTGAGAGAGAGAGACAGAGAGAGAAAGGTCTTCCTTTGCCGTTGGTTCACCCTCCAATGGCTGCCGCTGCAGCCGGCGCACCGCGCTGATCCGATGGCAGGAGCCAGGAGCCAGGTGCTTTTCCTGGTCTCCCATGGGGTGCAGGGCCCAAGCACCTGGGCCATCCTCCACTGCACTCCCTGGCCATAGCAGAGAGCTGGCCTGGAAGAGGGGCAACCGGGACAGAATCCGGCGCCCCGACCGGGACTAGAACCCGGTGTGCCGGCGCCGCAAGGTGGAGGATTAGCCTATTGAGCCACGGCGCCGGCCCCATAAATGTCTTTTAAAAAATATTTCATTTATTTGATGGAGAGAAGGAAGCAGAGAGAAAGAGACACAAAACATTCTCATTCATTGGTTTATTCCCCAACTGCCTGCAATGACTGAGGCCAGCATGGCCAGGCCTGGTCAGGACCGAAGTCAGGAGCTAGGAACACAATCCAGATCTTCCACATGAGTGGCAGAAGCCCATATACCACTATCTCACAAGATTTTCATCAGCAGTAAGTTGCAGTCAGAGCTAGAGAAAGAAACGGAACCAAAACATTCCAGTGTGGGATGTGGGCGTGTTAACCACTAGGCCAAATGCCCACCCCAAATAAATGTCATCATTTAATCCCATTTTCCCAGGAACATTCTGAAGCACCCTTGTATAACAAGATTCACAAATTCAGATGAAGAAAAGGCAAGCAGGGAGAGTTAAGAATAAAAGTATCAGAAGGACTCCCCTTACAGAATGCGCTAAACCACTACTAATAGATAGAGAAGCTTAGTAGGCTTCTTTTATTAACAGACCTACTTTACAAGATATCATAGCCTGCTAACACAAAATTTTTTCTTAGAATCTCAATAATCTTCATCAACATTTGAAATTCTTTTCGGGCCAGTGCTGTGGCATAGCATCCCATATGGGCACCATTTTGTGTTTCAGCTGCTCCACTTCCAATTCAGCTCCTTGCCAGGGAAAGCAGCGGAAGACGGCCCAGGTCTTTGGGTCCCTGCCACCCACGTGGGAGACCCAGAAGAAGCTCCTGGCTCCTGACTTTAGCCTGGCCCAGCTACAGCCATTGCAGCCATTTGGGGAGTGAACCAGTGGATGGAAGATCTCTCGCTCTCGCTCTCTCTGTGCCTCTTCCTCTCTCTAACTCTGCCTTTCAAATAAATAAATCTTTAAAAAAGAAAAAGAAGAAAAAGAAATTCTCTTAAGCAACACATATTCACTGAGTATCAGATCACTAGGCAGACAAGGATATCACCCAATCAAACCAGAGGTACACCAAAAAAGTATACTTTCAACTTAAAACACACCAACCTAATGCACAAGGCTAGAAATCGGGCACACTTATGAGCAATACTTCGTCCTGCCTCAAAGAAGCAAACACGTACAATATCTGAAAGACATTTTCGTGTTTTTGAAAGTAAGCTCTCATTTCCTTCTTTTGAGCTGCAAAACAGTACCAGACATTTAGATTAGTTTTAAAACATCCAAAGAATAAGCAACAGTAGTAAGCAAACTTTTTTTTTTTTTTTTTAAAGTATTAACCTTCCAGGTCCATTTGAATGTACTCCAGCTAACCAACAAAGAGTATCCAACACAAGGCTCTGGGCATGTTCTGTGATTTGACCATCATCTACTTTTCTGCAAAGAGTGTTAAGAAGCTTCTCATGAAATTCTGAAAACTGTAACATGGCACATCGTTGCACTCTACAAGAAAGAAACAATGAAAATTAATTACCAAACAAAATAGAACAATTAAACAATCTGTTTGATCACAAGATATTTTAAATCATGAATTTCACAACTATGTCTGTAAAAATGTTTACAGGGCAGGAATTAACCCTGGCTGTTTACACGCCCATGTCCCATATGGAAGTACTTGTGTTGAGTATCTAGCTGTAGCTCCTGACTCCAGCCACCAGCTGATGCAGATCTTCAGAGGTAGCAATGATGGCTCCAATGGGAATTTTTTTCTTTTTAAGATTTATTTATTTGAAAGGCAAAGTTACAAAGAGAGGGAAAGACAGAGACAGAGAGCTTCCATCAGCTGGTTCATTCTGGCCACAATAGCCAGGGCTGAGGCAGGTTGAAGCTTTATCCAGCCTCCCACATGGATGAAGGGGCCCAAGGACAAAGGCCATCCTCTGCTGCTTTTCCCAGGCACATTAGCAGGGAGGTGGATCAGAAACAAAGAGGCCAGGACTTGAACTGGCAACCATACAGGATGCCAGCATTGCAGGCTTTGGCTTAACCTGTTAAGCTACAGCATCAGTCCCATAAGTGTACTCTTGCCATGTACATGTATGGCCACTGCAGACAAGAAAGGTAGGGATTAAACCACTAAACAGGAACACCCTCATTCTTTCTGTATCTCCCTCCTTCACAAATATTTAAAACAAACAAACAAAAAACTCTTTAAAATATTATAATGTAGTGCTTAACTTGTACAAAGTTTTAGAAGAACTAAAGTTTACAATAATGTATCATACTCTGACAATTACAACTTCAAATCAAATTTATTTCCTTTCTTATTTATTATTAGTGAATAGCAAGCACAGTGCACACAACAGTGATAAACCAATGAAGTAGGAAAATCGAGACCCTCACAAATCTAAAAATTTTTTTTAAAGATTTATTCATTTAAAAGAGTTACAGAGAGAGAGAGGTCTCCCATCCTCTGGTTCACTCTCCAAATGAACACAACTACCAGAGCTGGGCTGATCCACCGCCAGGAGCCAGGAGCTTTTTCCAGATCTCCCACATAGGTGCAGGAACCCAAGGGCTTAGGCCATCCTCTGCTGCTTTCCCGGGTGTATTAAAAGGGAGTTGGGTCGAAAGTGGAGCAGCTGGGACTGGAATTGGTACCCATATGGGATGCTGGAACCACAAGTGGTGGCTTTACATGCTATACCACAGCACTGGCCGCTACAAATGCTTAAGATAAAAGGAAAGCAACCAAAAATCTCAGGTAGACAGAGACATTTAGCCCCTTTTTAAAATGTCCAATAGGAGGTCAGTGTTGTGGTGTGGCTGATAAAGTCACTGTCTTCAACACCCTCATCCCATATGGACACCAGCTGATATCCCAGCTGCTCCACTTCAGATCCAGCTCCCTGCTAATTGCCTGGGGAAAGCAGCAGAAGACAGACCTAGTATTTGGGCCCCTGACACCAAAGTGCAAGACCTGGAAGAAGATTAGGCTTCAGCCTGGCTCAACCCTGGCCACTGTGGACATTTTGGGAGTGAACAAGCAGATATGAAATCTCTAACTATCCCTGTTGTCCCCCTACTCCATAATTTTGACTTTCAAATAAATAAAACAACAGGGGAAGACACTGTAGCTTAGTGGGTAAAAATGCTGCCTGCAATTCTGGCATTCCACACGGGCACTGGTTCAGGTCCAGGCTGTTCCACTTCCGATCCAACTCTCTGCTATGGCCTGGGAAAGCACAAGATGGCCCAAGTCCTTGGACTCTTGCACCCTCATGGGAGACATGGAAGAAGCTCCTGGCTCCTTGCTTCAGATAGGCATAGCTCCCACTGCTGCAGCCATTTGGGGAATGAACCAGCGGATGGAAGACCTCTCTCTCTCTCTCTCTGCCTTTCAAATAAATAAAATATATTTAAAAAAAAAAAAAAAAGGCCGGCACCACGGCTCACTTGGCTAATCCTCTGCCTGCGGCACCGGCACCCTGGATTCTAGTTCTGGCTGGGGAGCCGGATTCTGCCCCGGTTGCTCCTCTTCCAGTCCAGCTCTCTGCTGTGGCCCGGGAGTGCAGTGGAGAATGGCCCAAGTGCTTGGGCCCTGCACCTGCATGGGAGACCAGGAGAAAGCACCTGGCTCCTGGCTTCGGATCGGTGCAGCACCGGCCGTAACAGCCATTTGGGGGGTGAACCAATGGAAGGAAGACCTTTCTCTCTGTCTCTCTCTCTAACTCTGTATGTCAAAGAAAAAAAAAAAAAAAAGCTAGGGTTATACTGGAGTAAATGGATCTGGACTTCTGGCAGCAGTTCTTGTCACCAGCTTCTTGCTAACGTAGACCCTGAAGGCAGCATTAATGATTCAAGCAGTTGGGTTCCTGTCACCCAAATGAGACCTAAATTGAGTTCCTAGCTCCTAGATTTTGCCCCTGGGGCCAATGCAGGTATCTAAGGAGTAACCAGCTGATGGGGTAGCACTTACTTGCCTCTGATTCCCCCCAACTCTATTTTTCAGTTTCTCCAATTAAAAAAAATTTTTTTTCTAGCCAAACGTAGGTTATTAAATTGTATACGTGAATTGTTATGTTTACACATCGTCTATTTATTACTATGAGAATAGCAGGAGGATGAGACTACCTTTCTTTAGAGATTGAAGTTTTCTTGAATCTTCTAATGGTGACTGAGACCTCTTGAAGTAAATCACAGCCCCGGAGGTTTTCAGATTTACGAGTACCACTTGCATTCTCATTCTTGACATTCGATGATTTTTCCTAAGCATACAATCACACATAACTGAATAAACAAACAAAACTAAAAAACTTATTTACAATTAATATTGTGAAAGGAAAAGTAACTGAATTATATGACTATCAAAACATAAATCTTAAAATCACAGTTTTTACTCTCATAGTCAATAAATGACTAATTTTCGACAAAGTTATAAAAGGAGGGGAAAAAGACATAGTCACTGTTCTAAAACCAAGAATCTACTGATTAAAGATTATAAAAGCAAAGCTGAGTCAACTCCAGCTACAGCTCCTTTATGTTCTATGAGATACACCACTTTCTCAACTGCTATTCTCCATTGTTGCAAAATTTAAAAATGAGATAACTACTTCCCAGCTTCTTTTCCTACATTCTCCCAAATGTTCACAAAAACAAACAAACAAAGAAACAAAAAGGATGATGAACCAGTACAGAACATAGGAAAGGAATCCTCATACCTAAGAAAGTAAACAACACGGAATGAATCAATTCTAAAATAAAGATAATTATTATAATTATTCCCTAACTGAGTATACTTTATAAAAGCTAGAGAATTTGCCTAAAGCTATTCAAGACATTTTCTTAATTATATTCCTGCAAATCATTACAAAGAAAAAAAAATCTTTATTGACGTTTTACGTGACACAAACCAAGTATCACGTAAAACATCAATAAAGAGCCAAACCACTTTCAGCACTATGCCAACTCACATCCACAGTGCTTCAAACAGCATCACTACGGCTAAAAAGCATAGTGCCATACCTTTCCTGCTGCAACTTTAGCCAAGAGGGAAGCCAGTGAGTAACCCTTAGTACTCTGGTGTTTCAGGGATGGAAGTCTCACAACAGGACGTACACCACCATTACAAATGTCATCTGTTCCTCTTTCATTCACTGCCTTGACATGGATTAAAAATGAGCGATATTTTCCTCCTGCCATACCTAAAAGAGTATGCAATGTGATAAAGAACTGAATTACCAAAAAAGGGAATTGTTTTGCATCTTCATAGAGCAAGCTAAATAGTTAACTCCACAAAAAGAAAAGTATACTAGGTCAGAGTTTTTTAATTACATTGTTTATCATACTGTTGTATTATCTTCATATGATGGCAACAAAAACCAAAAACATTGGAGTTAGCCAGTCTTACGTATGCACATACACAGTATACACATATCCAGTAAAAAACAAAGGCTTTGGAGTCACTACCTGGATTTGAACAATGACTCCACCATGTATTAGGCATGTGAGAAATGATCCTCTCTGTGGTTCCCTTACTTTAAATGTAAATTGAGAGGGTAAATGAGAAAGTGTCTATCTCAAGAGATAATTAAAATACATATCACTGTGCTTGGCACAACAGAAAGCACTCTAGTTAAATAGTTATTTTCACTACTATGTTTTATTTTGTTTTAGCTGCATTGTGATAATACTATACAATCTATATGCAAAATTCTTTGCAAAAATACCTTCAGATTCACAGACATGCCAGCAAAGCATTAGTCTACTGATGCCTTACCAGTTATAAACCCTTTTGTGATCACAAAAGCCACTCTGCTTGTTTGTTTCCTGTATACTTCTCTGCCTACTATGCTTGCACCACCCTGTTACACTGACTGCTGAACTACTCCAGATTCAAGTATCTGGCTACCTCTCAAGCAGCTATTTCAAATATTTTTGGTCCATTTCACTTTTTACATTAAAATTTAGCAACCATTTGCTCCAGTTTTAACGATTTAGGGAGGGATTTAAATTAAGTAACAATGAATTCTAAAAAAACTAACACATTCACATTGTTGAGACTTTCCAGATACATGCATATAATTCAACCCTCCATTGTGTCAGAACCATTATTTTTATTTTCATACAATTTAAGCTTCACATGCTCATTACATACAAGTAACTTATACTCACTATTGTAAACTAGTATGAAGTCTATCATATCAGTCTCGAAAATTTAATCAATGCATAAGATACCATCAAGAAAACAAAGTGAAACTTGTATTTACAATAGTCTCCCTCTTTGTCTACAGGACAACATTGCAAGACCTCCAGGGGATGCCAAAACCATGGATAGCACCAAATCCTATAGATATTATGTTTTTCCTATACATAACATACCTACAATAAAGTTTAATGTTTTTTCCATCTTAATTAAACATTTGTCACACTGTGGCTCTACTTCTACAACTTTAGATGTGACAGCAAAACTAGGATGAATTTCTTTTTCCTTCTTCACAATTCCACAAACAGCAAATTCATTCTTAGCATCAATCTTAGCCACCTTAGTTTAAGATTATTTTTCTTCTCTTAAATAAGTCAAGAACTTTCACCCTTTCTCCTTGAAAGAAGTACTAATACAGAAGAGGTATTTAGCAGTTCAGTTAAGAGCTGAGTCCCACACAGCAGTCTATAGGTTCAAGTCTCAGCTCCTGATTCCTACTTCTCGCTAATTCACACCCTGGGAGGCAGCAGTGATGGCTCAAATAATTGGGTTCCTGCCACGCACGTGGGAGACCTGGACTGACTTCTCCCCTCCCAGCTTCAGCCCCAGACTAGCTCTGGCCATTACAGGTATTTGTGGAGTCAACCAGCTGATGAGAGCTATCTGGGTATCTACTTCTCTGCTTCTCAAACAACCACAATCATACTTTAAAGCTCCTCTTTGGCACTGTCAAACTGTCAGCATCACTACTCTTGTGCTTTGGGGCCAGTGCTAGTGAAATAAGTTACTTCAACCCAGAACTAGAATATCTTGATGGTCAGGCTGGTGAGAAGGCCATGAGTGACTAATGTCAGGTAGTATATTTGGCATAGACAGGCTGGACCAAAGGATGATTCATGACCTGGACTGGATAGAACAGAATGATGTGAGATTTTATCGCACTACTGAGAACAGCCCACAATTTAAAGCTGTTCCACTTCTGATCCAGCTCCCTGCCAATGACCCGGGAAAGCAGTGGAAGATGGCCTAGGTGCTTGGGCCCCTTGCACCCACATGGGAGACCCAGATGAAGCTTCAGGCTCTGGTTTAGAACAGCTCCAGCCTTTAGTCATTTGGGGAGTGAACTAATGGATGGAAGACCTCTCTGTCTGTCTCTCCTTCTCTCTGTCTGTAACTCTGCCTCTCAAATAAATGAAACTTAAAAACAAAATTTGTAGCTAATGAACTAGTTATTTCTGGAATTTCCATTTAGTATTTTCTGACTGAGACTGACCATGGCTAACAAATCACTGAAAGTAAAAACTGTAGACAAGTGGGACTACTGTATACCATGCATTGCAACTAAGAATAATATGTGAACAGCACAAACATTATGAAGGAACTACATGCAATTCAGATTTGTAATTCAGGTGGTAAGCCGTTTTCTTAGTTTGGAGAAGGACCTTCACACCTCACTGTGCCTCCAAATTTTTTCAACAATCAAGCTCGGTATTTTATTTGCTTTTTTTAATCAACCTCTGGGATACAAAAAAAAGACCTACAACTAATATTTCTACTTACTATCCACATAATAATCAATTACCTTTAAACATAAACTATATTTTGCATCTGTTTAGGATCTAAACTGTATCAAATATAATTAAGACTTCCCCAAAAAAGCCCTCTGAGTAAAAATAATACAATATACAACATTCTAATGACACAGGAGTCTAAAATGATAAGATAAAAATGGCAGAATATGTCTGATTTCTCAGAAGATCTTTATGAAGTCACACTACAGTAACTTCCTTAGTTTTTTAAAACCACTGAGACCATCACCCAAAAAGGATCAAATGTCTCATATACAGTGACTTATAAGAGAAAATAACTTCAGAAGCCAGCAAGTTGATAGAATTTCTAATTAAGTCCCAAACAAAACACTAAGTTTTCAAGTTCATTTTTTAAAAATAATTTTTACAATTGCAGTATTATTCAATTTGCTTTTGTAAAAATGTTATTACTTCACCTTTAACAAGTTTGGGACTTGTTAACGTCAACATCCCGGCATGCCCTGATAGATCAAGGCCACTAGCAAGCCACACTGGCCCACACAGAATATCTTCTTTGTGATCCTCTAAAAATGGACATAACCTAAGACCTAAAAAGAAAACACACATTTTTCTTTGAAATTAGTTTTTATTTATGTTACTATTTATAAACAAATATCTAACTCAATTACATATAATACTACCACACAAAATAGCATACTTAGAAAGAAATCATTGTCATGCTTAGGAACTATAATCAATTATCCAATATATTACATTGATTTCCAGTCCCATATTATTTAAAATTTCACCTCGATTTTCAAAAAATTTATGAGACCATGAGTTGATTTCAAATCCCAAGGCATTAAAAAACAAGAATGCAAGTATTAGCGCAGCTGTGTTCACAAAGATGAGCTGAAAGTTAAAGCATGTTGCCAAAGCAGAATTTTTGGTTATGTTTAATCATGTTTTTAAGACCAGGTTTTTGCAAGCCATAAGAAATTTGTGCCCAACATGATGCATTCGGATCTCTACTCCTTTTACTGTCATGGACAACAGCTCTATAATTTAACTCACACTGTGATTCCTCTACATCCATGTGCTGCATTTCTTCATTCAAATCAACCAGGGACGGTTTCCCATTTTGTTCCACTTCAATGTTAAGAGCTGGAGACAAAGGAAAGGTGATCTGCCTATCTACTGCTGTTTCTAGAGGATAAAAATATTAGTAAACTTAATTTTGTTTAATATCAATGATTTATGTGCCTATAAACCTAAATTTTTCTGTTAATTTGGGAAATACTTTGATTTTCCTGACAGATGCAACAAAATAGCTGTCAGGAGAGAATAAAATTCAAATAACTGTTTTATGTACTTTTCTCTCCTCTTATGATAATAAAACATTCACCTGAAGAAATAAATTATTGGCGACTAAACTAAAAGTTCTTATCCTGTGCTACACAGTATAAGCACCTGCAGGGCTTTAAAAATACCTATGTCTAATCCTAGACTCAATTAAATCAAAATGTTACAGCTCACAAAAATACATACATACACACACACACACATATACAAACACATATATACACAAACGCATACATATATGGTACATATAATTTTTGACACAGAAAGTCTTTCAGGTTTAAATATCTGAACTCCTGGTTTTAAGTTGCCATTTTACCCTAAAATCAGTCTTTTAGATTAACTTGTTAAAAAAAAAAAAACACTAAGAAGTAACACTTAGTTTCTATCATGCTAACTGAATGCAATTTAATAATTCACTATATCAAATTCTGAACTTACAAGAAAGCTAAATAAAAACAGGCAATTATTTGACAATACATATAACAATGGCTTCATTATAAAAAGAATAGTTAACTTCAGGTAACATAGTCTTCACAATCAAGTCTCAGGAAAAGAAATGCATAAAGACAGTAATGCTAAAATTGAAAATAGCTCACAAAGGAACTAATTCTACCCCCCCCCCAGCATGATTATTATCCAAATTTATGCAATTCTGAACACCACTGAATTACTGAAAAGCTCTGAAATGTTCTCTGGATTACTTTTCTAAATAAAATCACAAAAAATACAGCAGTCAAGTAGCTCTGAGGTTACTGATGCAGGGAAGGGCATCAAACCTAGATAACCAAGGTGAAAATTAGTTTTTTACTTAAAGAAATCAATCACAAGACAAAATCTTCAAACATAATTTGCATCCGTTCTTACCATTAACTTTCCCTAAGCCTGGAGCTTTGTTTTTCAGCAATGTCACTTGTATCTGTGGAATATTAGTGATGTTTGAGTTCAAAACAAATTTGAAGTCCACATGTCCAACCATACAAGCTTTAGGTAGAACCAATTCAAATACATGTTCATCCCAGCTGTTACTGTCAAATAAAGAGGGAGATGCTAATAATTAAAAGCAAAAAAAAAAAAAAAAAAAAAAAAAAAAAAAAAAAACTTCCTTCAGCCATAAGCTTATTTCCTTTAATATTACTTTTCTTACTTTTTGATTTGTAGAGTCCACAGTAAAATTTAATGTTTCTCATGGAATCAGAGAAGGCTAAACTTAGAGCAATGAAAGATCCTACCTTACGAATCAATACCTGCCTTGAGACTTATATATCTAGTCAATAAATCATTATTTCTCAAACTGTGGACCATCTTGCATCAAAATAATCACACATTCCTGGGCATCACTCTGTATCCAGGGTGCCAAGTACTCATTTTAAAACAAGTATTGTGTGTGTGTGTGGTTTTAAATTCTATATACATGTTAGAAAGTGAAAATCTCCAAATCATACTCCATCATACCCAGATGTCTACCACATATCTCAAATTCCTCATGCAAAAACAAAAACAAAAGCATACTTCTTATCTCTTCCTACATATCATGAAACAGAAACTCCACTTTTCAATTAGCTCAAGCAAAATCTCACTGTCATCCTTGACTCTCCTCTCATCAGATGCTAAATATTTCAGCAAATTCTTCTCTTTTCACCTCCAAATTACTGCTATGATCCAGCCCTCTCCTTTCATAACCTGCATCACTGTCAATATGGTCCAAACTACCACTGCATTTAACCTGGACTATTCGCACAATAGCAATCAAACTACAGTTTGATCACTGCATCCCTCCCAGGTAATCACCTTTATTCCACACACAGTACTCACAGGAATCCTTTTGGACAACAAGTCATACCACACGCTGCTGCGTTCACAGCCCTCCAACATCTTCCCATCTCATACGACATAAAAGGCTTTCTGACTGAGGCGTGTAAGGATGATCGCGTGCTCTGGCCCACAGCCACCTGGTCTCATCTCACTTCTTCCCACTCTCCCCTACCTTCACTGCGCACCAGCAACAGTGGTCTTCACACTCTTTGTAGAATTCACAAAAAACACACCTTAGGATCTTTGTATTTGCTATTGCCTGTGAATCAGTATCCCTCTGGAGATTAAAAATCCACTTGCTTACTACACTCATATACACTTACATAACTATTCCTTCAGCATACTGTTTTTAACAATCTTCACAGTTTTTATGACCACACAGCATAGTACAGATAAAAGTAGTTCAAAAAGTTCATAGGAAATGGAAAAGTTCAAGTTTATTTGGTACAGAAAAATTAGAAATACGATGCATACACAGAGTTGTCAAAAAGTTCATAGAAAACACATGCTGAAAAAACAATGCATGCATTTGAAGTATTTTTTGCATGAAAATAAACCTGGTTTTTCTTTTAAATTGAGAGAGGGAGGGAGAGAGAGAGAGAGAAATAGATAGATGGAGCTGCCATCCACTGGTTCACGCCTGAAATGTCCACATGATAACAACAGGAGCATGGCCAAAGACAACTCAATCCAGGTCTCCCATGTGGGTGGCAGGAAGGCAATCACAGGAATCATCATCACAACCTCCAAAAGTCTACAAGAACAGGAAGCTGGAGTCTAGCACAGAGCCAGGTATTGAACACAAGCACTCCAAAATGAGAAGTTGGCACCTTTTTTTTTTCTTTAGATTTATTTGAAAAGGGGGGGATAGATCTTTCATCTGCTGATTAATTCCTCAAATGCCCAAAACAACCTGGACTGGGACAGGGTGAAGCCAGCAGCCTAGGACTCCTTTTGGGCCTCCCAAGTGGGTGGCAGTGACTCAAACAGTTGAGCCATCATCTTTTGCTTCTAGCACATCAGCAGGGAACTGGATCAGAAGCAGACTAGCCAAGACTTGAACGACACTCCAATATGGGATACAGGCATCCCTAGCAGTGGCTGAACTCATTTGTATCACAACACCCATCCCAGCTAGTGTCTTAACTGCTAGAACAGACAACCCAACCCAAAACCATCTCTTAACTGTACCAACTTTTTGAAATCTCCTTGGATCTGTTCACTGTTTTTCCCTATTAAAATGTAAATTCTATGAGAGCCCTACTACTAGAGTACAAGAATATCTGCCTGAAAAAAAAAAAAAAGCCAACAAGCATTTAAATATTTTTTAAATATATTCATGAACCAAGTGACCAAATTATTGTAATGGTGAATTACAATCACTAGTTTACCCTACCACTGAGAATAAGAATAGCAATTCCCAAAATCAAGATGACAGATGGAATAGTATCGGTAATAAGAAAAAATTAAGAGAATTACTAGTAACATCCCCAGGAATCCCACACTGTCTCTAACACACACATAATATGGACTTAAAGCAAAGTATCTCAGGAAGCGGTTTTACCCGTCAGTCTGCAGTTTCCAAGTTCTAGTATGCTGAGCAGCATCTCCATGGTGTTGCTGATGCAAATGCTGAGGATGCCTCCTTTGCTGCTGTTCTTGCTGAACTTCAACCCAGCATGGAGGAACAGTAGCTGAAAACCGTGGAGTCAGAGTCTCAAAGCGGGTTAGCTCCACTAGAGACGTCAAGATTTCAAGAGTGAAAGGCTGGTCCACCAACAAATCAACTCCTTAATATTAGTGAATGAAGTAATCGAAAGGTTGGAAAAAAAAATAAAAAGGAAGCTGAAGTTTTAATTCATGTTTTTGGTCTATTCAATTACAACACTGCCAGATACCTTTAAAGCTAATAAAGTAGGCTCAGATTTCCCACTTTCATGGTAGTTAAAAGTATCTTATAAACCTACCAGTAGCATAACAGTAACAATCTGTGTCAGACAGTTTAATATTCTTTTACAAATATTGAATTCACATCTACAAAATGTCTAACATTAGTCAAAACTGAGAAGCTCTTCTTATTTCAATTAAAAATGAATTTTAAAAAGACTTAAATATGAGATCTGGTAGGTTTAGAAAATTTTTTACAAAGAAATATGACTACAGTTCTACAAAATTACTGTAGTGTTTACTTCAAACCACATCTTTTCCTTTAAGTTTAGACCCTTTTAAATCCAAATAAAGCAATATTAAATATTTGTAAACATTTATAGAATATCAATGTCCTTTCATATTATTTCATTGCTCAATCTTTATTAAAAAGTACTCTTTGCAGTTTATATAGAAATTCTCCATTCTTCCAGTAACCTATAAAATATTAACACATTCAGTATGTTAGTTTTTATAGCAAATTATATAGTTAACTAAGACAATCAGCCTAGATTAATTACAATAGGTCAGTATATCTCAAGTTGAAGAGGATTCGATGGACAACAAGTCACTTAGAAATATTTGGTTGTCCTAATGGGGACAGTGTGTATACTCCTGGAATCTAGTAGGTAGAAGCAGCCGGAAATACTGCTAACACAGCAGAGGAAAGTCTTCCAACACCAAAAAATTCTGATAGAAAATACAGTGAAGATATTGCTGTTGGTGCAAGGATGATCAAATGCCCAAATATAAGTGTTCATGTTGTAACTGAAGTTCAAATGCCCAAATATAAGTGTGAATTATTTCTACTCAGAATACGTTTGAGTTTAAACACACTTTTCATTAACTATTTATTAAAGTTCTTTTTTTTTTTTTTTTGACAGGCAGAGTGGACAGAGAGAGAGACAGAGAGAAAGGTCTTCCTTTGCCGTTGGTTCACCCTCCAATGGCCGCCGCAGCCCATGCACTGCGGCCGGCGCACCGCGCTGATCCGATGGCAGGAGCCAGGAGCCAGGTGCTTTTCCTGGTCTCCCATGGGGTGCAGGGCCCAAGCACTTGGGCCATCCTCCACTGCACTCCCTGGCCACAGCAGAGGGCTGGCCTGGAAGAGGGGCAACCGGGACAGAATCCGGCACCCCGACCGGGACTAGAACCCGGTGTGCCGGTGCCACTAGGCGGAGGATTAGCCTAGTGAGCCGCGGCGCCGGCCTATTAAAGTTCTTTTAAATGCTATCTTCAAAGGGAAAAATGTTGTCAGTGCTAAGAGCAAAACATAACTGAACAATGGAAACACAAAAGAAAACAAAAAACGGAGGTAAGAAAGCTCAGTGTGACCCATGAAGCACAAGAAATAGAATTACATATTCAGGAAATCATGTAGAGTTTCTTGTAACTGGAGACTGAGAAGCAAGCTAGCATGGTTTCATCAAACTCCTTAAAGCAAAGAATGGGTTTTTAAAGCAAGGAGTAATGCGCTATCGGGACTTCTTTTTTGTTTTAAGATATATTTATTTATTTGAAAGAATGACAGTGATTGGTGGGGAGGATGCAGAGATTTTGCATTCACTGGTTCACTCCCCAGATGGCCATAAGGACCAGGGCTGGGCCACACTGAAGCCAGGAGGCAGGAGCATATTCCGGGTCTCCCACTTGGGTATAGAGGCCCAAGCACTTGGGCCATCCTTGTCTGCTTTCCCAGGCACATTTGCAGGCAGGTGGATCAGAAGTAGAGCAGCCAGGACTCCAACCGGCACCCACATGGGATACCAGTGCTTCAGCAGCTTAAAACCAGCTCACCACAGCACCGGCTCTATCATTACTACTCTTGGTGGGGAAAAAGAGCTTTGGGGGCCAGAGTTGTGGAACAATGGGTTAAGCCACTACCTGAAATGCCAGCATCCCATATGGGCACTGGTTCAAATCCCAGCTTTTCTTCCAATCCAGCTCCCTGCTAATGTGCCTGGGAAAGCAGCAGAGGATGACCCAAAGACGGTCACAGGAGTCCTGGATGAAGCTCCTGGCTTCCTGACTTCAGCAGGGCAAGCCCCAGCACTTAAGGCCATTTAGAGAGTGGACCAGTGGATGGAAGGTCTTTCGCTCTTTCTATCTCTCCCTCTCTCGCTCTTTGTTAACTCCACCTATCAAATGAATAAATCTTTAAAAAAAAAAAGAAAAAACTAGCTTTGGAGAGCAGTGTGGAAGATGGGTGGGTAAAAAAGGCCAAAACACAAACCACACTAACTAAAAGAAATCTATACAGAAGTTTATGATGGGGCAATGTGAATGTGCAGATAATGACCTCAATGAAAACATACCTTTTCAGGCTTTTAATTCCTGTTGTCATATTAAAATGTTAGCCAGTCCACTGATTTTCACCATACTTAAATGCATAAACTCTCCTGTTATTTCCTAACTAGAAGAAAAGTCCCTTAAAAGCGGAATAATGTTTTTATCTCTTACACAGTCCTGCTAATATTAAGCTACTACAGAATAAAAATCATTTCTCATTTTACTGTGCTATAACATCTGCCAACTATTAAAAAACAAAGACAAAAACATGCAGTAACAAGTCTGCTGAAATATCAACAAGAAAATGAACTTCTCCTCCTCAAAGCAACCAAAAGTTGATTATGACAATTGAAATAGTGGTTAAAATTACGTTAGAAAGGCTCAGAAAACTTAAAATCACCAGATTTTCCATTTTTAAAAAACACATTTAAAATGTAATGTCATACCTGAAATGCCAGGACTTGAAGGATTTGACAAAGGTTTAGAACCTTCTGAAGATGGTTCTATTCCTTTGGAAAGAGATCCATCCACTAGAATATCAGCTTCATCAATATCATCACAGGTGCCTCCAATTTGGAGAAAATGAAGCTCACCACCTAAGTGCAGCAAAATTCCATCAACATTGATATATGGACTATGGATGAACATTCAAATATGTAAATACAATGCTACTTAATTAAGACTTAATTTGCTTTACCATTACTTAATAGGCAGATAAGGAGGACTAGCAAAGTAATATATCCCTGAGAATTTAGAAATTTAATTACCAAAGGACTTGCAAACTGCAAACCAAGTGTAACGAACAAAATGACCAACAGATAAACATACCTGAAAACAAGTATTTACCAGCATTAACTATGTGCAAGACACTGTTTTAGGAGCTTGAATTAATTCATCTAATCATCACCCCAAACCCTTGAAGTAGGGACTGTCCCTGGGGCCATTTTACAGAAGAGGAACTGAAACACAGTCTAACCTGTAAATCCTAGCCGTACAAACTGAACAGATATTTCTTGTTTTCTGAAGTGCCCACAATGAAATGAAAGCAAATAAAATTTCTAGCTTTTATATCTCTGTTACAGGAAAAAAAAAAAAAGAGCAACCATTTAAGACAAACAACCATCAACAGAGAATAGTAATTCTAACACAACAATCCGGAGATTCACTTCCAGCATGACAGAATAAGGACAACGATTATCAGTGTCTGACTGAATACGAACCTATGCTGACACAACAAAAAGGAAAAACAACTTCAAAATAAAACTGAGGGGAAAAAAATGAAGAGACCACCTGAGCTGACACTGCAAACAGATTTGGTGAGGAAATTTACAAACCATAGCAACAACCTCCAAGAAGGGAGAAGTCAGAATCTACTAACAAATGAAATATTACAAGACATGCAAAGACTGACCCATACTCAAGAATGGGGGGGGGGGGGGGCCAGAAAACAGTACCCAGGTCTCTCTTTTAGCAGATCAAGATTTTAAAGAAGCTATTGTAAATATTTCTATGGAACAAGAGAAAAGCAGGTATAGAAAATTTCAGTAAATAATGTTCCAAATGACTCAGCAAAGGTAGACTATTTTTTCTTAATTTTTATTTATTTGACAGATAACAATGAGAGAGAGACAGAGAGAAAGGTCATCCTTCTGTTGGTTCACTCCCCTAATGGTCACTACGGCCGGTGCTGCGCCGATCGGAAGCCAGGAGCCAGGTGCTTCCTCCTGGTCTCCCATGCAGGTGCAGGCGCCCAAGCACATGGGCCATCCTCCACTGCCCTTCCGGGCCACAGCCGAGAGCCGGACTGGAAGAGGAGCAACCGGGACTAGAACCCGGTGTCCATATGGGATGCCGGCGGATGCAGGCGGAGGATTAACCAAGTGAGCCATGGCGCCGGTCCCGACTATTTTAAAAAGCACAAAAGGGGAATTTTGTACTTGCTAAGTAAAATCATGGAAATAAAAAGTTCACTAGAGAGGCAAGCACATCTGAGATGGCAGTAGAAGGAATCAGTGAAATGAAGACAGATCAAGAGAAATTAACCAACCTGAAAACAGAAGAAAAAAAATGAAAAGAATGTTAGGCCTAAGAGGCTGATCAATTACAAGAACATATATGTGAGGCCAGCATTGTGGCACAGTGGTTAGGCCATCACCTAATCAGCATCTCATGTCAGCGTCAGTTCCCATCCAGCTACTCTACTTCCTGTCCACTCCCTGCTTGTGTCCTGGGAAGTCTGCAGAAGATGGTCCAAGGGCTTGGTCCCCTGCCACCAGTGTAGGGTACCTAAAAGGAATGCCAAGGCTTCAGCCTGGTCCAACCGCAGCTATCAGAGCCATTTAGGGAGTGAAATCAGTGAGTGGAAGATATCTCTCTTTGTGTCCACCCGCCACCCTCTACCTCCCACCCCCGCAGCCCCTGTAAATCCCTGCCTTTCATGTATATAAATAAATCTATCAAAAAACAAAATGTACATACATGTAACAAACTCCATAAAGAGGAGAGAAAAAAAATCTGTAAGAAATAATGGGGGCCAGCGCCGCGGCTCAATAGGCTAATCCTCCGCCTGCAGTGCCGGCACACCGGGTTCTAGTCCCGGTCGGGGCGCCGATTCTGTCCCAGTTGCCCCTCTTCCAGGCCAGCTCTCTGCTGTGGCCAGGGAGTGCAGTGGAGGATGGCCCAAGTGCTTGGGCCCTGCACTCGCATGGGAGACTAGGAGAAGCACCTGGCTCTGGGCTTTGGATCAGCGTGGTCCACCGGCCGCGGCGGCCATTGGAGGGTGAACCAACAGCAAAGGAAGACCTTTCTCTCTGTCTCTCTCTCTCACTGTCCACTCTACCTGTCAAAAAAAAAAAAAAAAAAAGAAAGAAAGAAAAAATGGGAAGCCAGCACTGTGGCACAGCAGGTAAAGTGGCCACCTGCAACATTGGCATCCAATATTGGCCCCATTCAAGTCCCGGCTGCTCCAGTTCTGATCCAGCTCCCTGCTAATGGCCTGGAAAAAGTAGTGGAAGATTGTCCAAGTGGAAGGTGAGCCCCTGCTACTCAGGTAGGAGACCCAGAAGATTCTCTTGGTTCCTGGCTTCAACGGGGTCCAGCCCTGGCTGTTGCAGCCATCTGGGGAGTGAACCAATAGATAGTCTCTGTGTGTGTGTGTGTGTGTGTGTGTGTGTGTGTGTCTGTGTCTACCTCTCTTTCAAAATAAATAAAATCTTTGAGGAAAAAAAGGCAAAGAAATAAAGAACAGGCCAAAATTTCCGAAATTTGATGAAAAACTGTTCACCACAAATCCATCAGTTCAATGAGTCAAGCAGGACAAATACAGAGACACACACATACAAAGTGTTGCGAGTCAAAGGCCAATAGAACATCATGAAATGAGCAAGATAAAAATGACACCACAGAAACAGTAACATCAACAGATGACCTACCAGGAACTACAGATGACAGAAGGCTCTGGGATGACATTCGAAGTGCACAGAAACTGTCAACTAATAACTCCATCCACAGCATTCTTCACAAAATGAAGAAGCAGAGACACTTTCAGACAAGGGCAGGGTTTAGAGCACAAACTGTATATATTTTGCTAAGTCAGCAGTGGGCTCATGTCTGCCGTTAAGACATTCACATCCCATAATGGAGTGGTGGGGTTTGATTGTGATTCCCAATTCCAGCTGCCTGTAATGTACACCCTCGGAAGCAGCAGGTACGGGAGAGCTTCGCAGTCAGGTCCCTGTCAGGTCCCAGGCATTTGGGGAGTAAACCAGCTGACCGGAGCTCTCTCACTGTCTCTGTTTCTGTGTGTGTGTGTCTCTCTCAAATAAATAAATTTTTAAAAAGATTTATTTATTTAAAAGCCAGAGTTACACAGAGAGATGAGAGAGAGAGAGAGAGAGAGAGAGAGAGAGAGGTCTTCCATCCACTAGTTCACTCCCCAATTGGCCGCAACAGCCCGAGCTGTGCCGATCCAAAGCCAGCAGCCAAGAGCTTCTTCCGAGTCTCTGAGGGGCAAGGTCTTTAACCGCTCGCCTGGGCACCAGCCAACAGCTCCAGTCACATGGGCCACTGTCTCCACAGCTGTGGCAAGGCAGAGGATTGAGGGGTAGCACTGGCTTGCCAAGACTACTTCTGCAGTGGCCGCTCCTCTGCTCCTTCCGGTGTCATTCGTGTGTACACATCTAGCTCAGTAGTTGCTTTGGCAGTGGGAACCTTTTTTCTTCCAACGGCTATTAGATATTTTATAATGTCACTTGCAGGCCACACAGAATATCCACTTATAAATTAGCTTGCCACAGATTCATTGAATTGCCAGTCCTGCTTGCAGGATTGGGCCTTGCAGTAGTACCCTTCAGCCTCAACCCTCCCCCTTCCCTGCCATGCCCTGGAGCTTCCTGCTCCGCTGTTCAGCCTGAAGGCACCAGTCCGTGAGTCTGTTTATGTGTTGGTTTTCAGTGGTTTTATTGATCACAATCTACTTTAGAATAAATACTGACTTCATTTTACTTTTTAAAATTGCACTTAATTGAGGGTCCAGTACTGTAGCATAGTAGATAAAGCTGCTGCCTGCAGTGCCAGCATCCCATATGGCTGCCAATTTGAGACCTAGCTGCTCCACTTCTGATCCAGCTCTCTGCTGTGGCCTGGGAAAGCAGCAGACGATGGTCCAAGTCCTGGGGTCCCTGCACCCGCGTGGGAGACCCGGAAGAAGCTCCTGGCTCCTGGTTTCCGATTGGCACAGCTCTGGCCATTGCAGTCATCTGGGGAATGAACCAGTGGATGGAAGACCTCTCTCTCCCTCTCTGTAACTCTGCCTTTCAAATAAAATAAATAAATTAAAAAAAAAAAAAAAAAAAACACAACTCGCCCCTCACCCCAGTGCTGGGGCCGTGCATTTTGACTGGTTAGGTAGTGCCTGGAGGACTAGAGCAAATCTTTTTCCGGCCTTCTCAGGCTGAAGCTGTCCGCCCCAGTCTCTACAGGGATATTTAAAGGGACAGAACCCTTTTGATGAGGGGACTGTAGAGCAAGGGAGGTCTCTGTCAGGTCACTGACAGCAGAGAAAATGAAATATAAACCTCAGCAGTCACACATGACAACAAACACAACCTTTGTAAAAATAGCCTGGAAAAGTCACAAATGGACAGCTGCAGCCAACAAGAGACATCTCCCTGACTGGAAGAACTACATTCCCAGAGGTAACCCATAACAACCATCAGAAAGTCCCAATCCCAACAATTTACAAAGCACTCCAAGGAACAGCAAAATGTGGCCCATTCACAGGAAAAAAGGACTCACATACTCGGCAGCGATGTTAAATCAACTGCCTTCCTTACATCACTTTAATAAAGGCAATAATGGTCAAAAACTAAAGAAAAACAGTTAAGTGATCTAAATACAGAAAGATGATGAATTAAAATTCTTCAAAATTAAACTCAGTATATCAAATAATACTATCAAGACGGAGAAATGACAACCCACAGAATGAGAAAATATCTGTAAATCATGTGTCTAATAAGGACTTACTATCCTGAATTTATATTTAAAAAAGTTCACAACCCAATAAACATTCGATTTCAAAAGTAGGCGAAGAACATGA